CAAGTGGAAAAACAAATCAATCTCTCTTTATCTCTCTCTCTCTCTCAAATCAATCAGTAAAAAATAAATAAAATCTTTTTAGGTATAATTCACATACAATAAAATCCACCACTTTAAAATGGGCAACTCAGCCCTGGCTGGTGTGGCTCAGTGGATTGAGCGCTGGCCTCCAAACCACAGGGTTGCCAGTTCAATTCCCTATCAGGGCACACGCCTGGGTTGCAGGCTAGGTCCCCAGTAGAGGGTACATGAGAGGCAACCACATAGGGATATTTTTCTCCCTCTCTTTCTCTCTCCCTTCCTCTCTGTCTAAAATAAATAAATAAAATCTTTTTAAAAATGGGCAACTCAGCGCTTGAAGTACATTCCCAACACTGTGTGACCAGCATCTCTGTCTCATTGCAGAGCAGTTTCACCCCCAAGAGAAACCTGTGCACTCTCCCCAGTCACTCTCCAGCCCCTCCCTCTCCCCACCCTCAGCTCCTGGCGGTCACCGCTCTGCTTCCTGTTTCCGTATTTGCCTATTCCAGACATTTCACTTAACAGAGGTGTCCAACCTTCTGGTGTCTCTGGGCCACATTGGAAGAAGACTTATCTTGGGCCACACACTAAATACATTGCAACATGTAATCACACACAAAAAAATCTCATCATGTTTTAAGTAAATTTACAATTTTGTGTTGGGCCGCATTCACAGCCATTCTGCGCTGCAGGAGGCCTGCAGGCCACAGGTTGGACACCCCGGAATGGAACCCTCCAGTAGGTGACCTTTCGCGTCTGGCTTCTGTCACTGAACACGCCTTCAAGGCTCGTCCACACTGTAGCCCGGGTCGGGGCTTCATTCCCTTTCACGGCAGAGTAATCTCCCATTGCACGAACAGACCATGTGTTGTGCATTCATTCCTCAGTTTTCCCACCTTTTGGCGTTCGTGAATACTGCTGCTCCGAACGTCCCTGTACACGTTTTTCCGTGGGCATGTACTTTCGATTCTTTTGGAGTGGAATTCCCAGATGTGGAATCTCTGGGACACAGGTAACTCTACATTTAAATGTTGAGGAGTGTCCATGCTTTCCAGAGCAGCTGTGCCATTTTACATTCCCAGTTTTGATTAAACCATCCTCGTGGGGGTGAGGTGGCATCTCGTTGTGGTTTATCTTTGTGTTTCCCTGTGGCTAACGGCAGTGAACATCTATGTGGCCATTGGCCATTTGCTTGTCTTTGGGGAAACATATATTCCAGTTCTTCACACATTTCTTACTTTTTTCAAGTATTTTATTTATTTATTTTTAAACAGAGGGGAAAGGAGGGAGAAAGGGAGAGAAACATCAGTGTGTAGTTGCCTCTCACTTGCCCCCTACTGGGGACCTGGCCCGCAACCCAGGCATGTGCCCTGACTGGGAATCAAACTGGTGACCCTCTGGTTCGCAGGCTGGAGCTCAGTCCACTGAGCCACACCAGCCAGGGCTAATTTACTTAAATTTTAATTGTTGAATTGAAAACCAGGAAAAGGAGAGGCACGGATATATGGAGACCTCCAGAGAGGGGGATAAAGACCCAGAGAGAGAAGGAAAGACAGAAAGAGGGGGAAAGCAGAGTGAGGGACTGAGTTTGAGGATCGGGAAGGACACCAGGACAGAAGGAGGGCGGATAGCTCTCTGCTGGGAAAGAAGGTGGAGGGACAGCTGTTTGCAGCAGCACCCTGTCTCTGGGGGCAACCTGGAGCTGAGATCTGAGCTGAGGTGGTAGACTGCCCCTAGGGCAGGTGACAGAGTCCAGAGGAAGCTGACGGGTGGGTGTGATAGCACGAGGAGCCCCACCCTGCAGGTGTGAGTCACTAAACTAGAGGAAAAGCACCCCAGGAGACAGGTCGTGGGCCCTACTCTGCCTCAGAAAGACACCCAGGTCCTGGCCAGGTGTGTGTGTGTGTGCCTGTGTGCACTTGTGCTGTGCTTACTTAGCAATGGCACATTATTCATTTTTAAAGGTTTTGTACAGTGAACTGTAACACACACCCTGAAATGGATAAAACACGTTATGTGCAAGCAAGCAAAGTATCCATCGGAGGATAAACAGATAAACACGGTGTGATCCGTCCATCCAATGGAATAACATTACTCAGACTTAGGAAGGCAGGAGATGCTGGCTCAAGCTACCACACAGAAGGACATTATGCTGCAGGAAAGCAGATAGTCACAGAAACACAAACACTGCACTACTTCACTAGGGGAGGTTACTCGGCACAGGTAGAGTCAAAGGGACAGAAGGTAGAATGTTGAATGCTAGGGGCTGAGGGGAGGGGGAAGGGGGAGTTGGTGCTTGATGATGGGGACAGAGTCTCAGTTTTGCAAGAAGAAAAACGTTCTGGAGACGAACTCCACTGATAGATGCACAACAACGTGAATGTACTCAGAGCACTGCACTGTACTGTACACTTAAAAACGGTTAAAATGGCTCTGGCTGGTGTGGCTCAGTGGATTGGGCACTGGACTGCAAACAAAAGGGTTTGCACATGCCTGGGTTGTGGGCCAGGTCCCCAGTAGGGGGCGCGCGAGAGGCAACCAAACATTGATGTTTCTCTCCCTCTCTTTCTCCCTCCCTTCCCCTGTCTAAAAATAAATTAAAAAAAATATTTTTTAAAGATAAAATAAAATAACTGTTTAGTTTTTCAATTATAGTTGACATACAATATTACATCAGTTCCAGGTGCACGGCATAGTAATTAGACATTAACATGATTTACGAAGTGATTTCCCCAATATGCCCAGTACCCACCTGACACTGTACATAGTTATTACACTGTTACTGACTATGTTCCCTGTGCTGCACTTTACATCCCCGTGGCTATTGTGCAACCACCAAGTTACACTTTTTAATCCCTTCCTCTGTTTCACCCATTCCCCCAACCCTCCTCCCACCTGGCAACCATCAAAATGTTCCGTGTATCTACGAGTCTGTTTCTGTTTTATCTGCTTGTTTGTTTTGTTAGATTCCACAGCTAAGTGAGATCACATGGTATTTGTCTTTCTCTGTCTGGCATATTTCACTGAGCATAATGCCCTCCAGGTGCATTCACGTCATTGCAGATGACAAGACTTAATTCTTTCTTATGGCTGAGTAAATTCCATTTCTTCCTTATCCATTCATCAGATCCATTCTTCTTGTTTTGTGCACAGTTTAGCCTGTTGTTTCCAGGGCTGCAGAATGCCCGCCCTGCACACCACGGGCGCCTTCTCCCCTCCCCCAGTGATCATTGGCAGGCTTCCGTGGACACCACCGCCGCCATAAACAACAGCATGAAGAACATCCATGTCCCCGGGGGGGAGGGGTGACAACTTCTTCAGCCTCTTCATCAAAAACAGGGGGATTGCCAGGCCATGAAATCTGCAGATACTTCATTTAACTAAGTTTTACGAAATTGCACTTTAACGCAGCTGCTCATCAAAGACATAAAACCGGTTCTGCTTCATGATTCTCCCTGCCTCACACCTGGACCTGAGGCTTTGGAGCTTAGAAGTTGAGGAATTTACAGTCTTTGTTTTCCCTCCCATTCTGACAGCTCCCCCTTAGGTCGCTGCATTAGCTATTGTGAAGGGCTAATTCTGAGAAAGGTAGGCAGGAGAGCAGAAAGCTAAGGATGAAACTTCCGCAGGTGGGAGAGAGGGGAGAATTTCAGTCGGGTGCGCGCGCCCCTTTGTGGTCTAATCATCCATTACACTCCCCCACAACCATTAACTGCCTGCTAATTTACATCTAAATTCAAATGATATTTCTTGGACACCATCTGTGTGCTAAACCAGCGATGTCCAGTTGAAATACACACGTAATTTTAAACTGCTAGCCATGTTAAAAGCGTTTTTTAAAAAAGCCCTGGCCCGGTAGCTCAGTTAGTTAGAACATCATCCTGATACGCCTAGGTTCAGGATTTTATCCCTGCTCAGGGTGCATGTAAGAATCACTCAATGAATGCATCAATAAGTGGAATAACAAATCAATGTTTCACTCACATCGATGTTTCTCTTGTTTTTCTAAAAATAAATAAATAAAATCTTTTTTAAAATAAGAATTAAAAATTGTGATGAGTGAAAAGGATGAGTTAGAGTTGATGGCAAACTACAGCCCTCAAGCTAAACATGGCTTTTTATGCTTCTAAATGGTTGAAAAAAGTCCAAAGGATATTTTGGGACGTGTTAAAATTGTTTGAGCCTTGGCTGGCGTGGCTCAGTGGATTGAGCGCGGGCTGCGAACCAAAGCATCGCAGGTTCAATTCCCAGTCAGGACACATGCCTGGGTTGCAGGCCATGGCCCCCAGCAACCGCACATTGATGTTTCTCTCTCTCTCTCTCTCTCTCTCTCTCTCTTTCTCCCTCCCTTCCCTCTCTAAAAATAAATAAATAAAATCTTTTTAAAAACTTTAAAAAATTGTTTGAGATTCAAATGTCAGTACCATTCCCGCATTGCGTGTGGCTGCTTTCCCGTTCCTATCGTAGAGAAGTTGATATGGAAGCAAAAAAGAGCTAGGAGGTATTTGGGGAAATCAGAGCACTGTTCAATAGATTAAAGCAATTTTAAATATCCTGAGTGTAAACTTGACTCTTCTAGGTAGTCTAAATACTTCATGTGAGTGGAATCATACGGATTAGTCTTTTCTTGGCTGGCTTACTTCACTCAGCGTAATGGCCTTGAGGTCCATCCATTTAGTAGCACGTGTCAGAATTTCCTCCCTTTTGAAGACAGAACGATATCCCATTGCATAGATACACCACATATTGTTTGACCACTGGACTCCCTCAGTGCCTGGAACATAGTGGGTGCTCCATTGACATTTATTGTAAATACTGGGAGCAGAGGCTGTGTGCCTCACAATACATTGCAGTGGCTGAAACAGGGCCTGGCACAGAGTAGGCGCTCAGCAGAGACCCGCCTGCCCTCTACTCTCCGGCCTCCCTGACCCGGCCCGGGGCCGGCTGGGTCCTCTCTGTGACGTCACAAAGGCCCTGCCATGCCTCTGGTCTTGACCCTTGCGCTGCTCGTGGGCCTGAGCGCCCACGGGGGCTGGGGCTGCCTGCAGTGTGACACCTCCGTGAGTTTGGCCCTGAGGCAGCCGCGCTTGGCCATCATCCCCAGCCGCTTCCGTTGGGGGCAGCAGGGGGCCCGCGCTCAGGCCCTGCTGCTGGGCATAGAGGGGTCTTTCTTCCAGAACTACGCGGTGAAGGCGTTTGTGGGGCAAGTGGGTGCGTGCTGGGGAGGGGTGGATGCCTAGCACTGTGGAGAAAGGGACAGGGGGTCCAAGCCAGAGAAAGGTGGGGGTGAGAGACCCTTTGGAGACCACGCCCCCTAGAGGGGAGGGCGGGGCCTATGCTGGATAAAGGTCCGGGAGGAGTCGCTTGGCTCTCTGAGGGACCCAATGGCATTTCTTCCCCTCTTGTCCCCAGAGACACGTCACCTGAAACTGCTGGCATCCTTTATCAAGACTCAAGCAAAAAGCTTAAAGGTTAAGTCTCTGAGAGGTAGGAACTAAGAGGGAAAACCTTTTCCCAGCCCCCTCCTCCCTCCTTTTCCACCTGTCCACCATCCTTCCCCTTGATTTAAACCTTAAAGCAAACACGCGTGCATAGCCTTTTCTGTGAGTCTGGTACAGTTCTAAGTGCTTTATTTACAAATCTACCAGAGTTTAGGTGGGCACGGCCCTTTCCCGAGGGGGAGACTGAGGTTCAGACACCCCCAAAGCTAGGAAGAGAGATGAGGATTTGAATCTGGGACATCCCGCCCAAAAGGTCTGGTGACCTTTTGGTTCTCAGGCTGGGATTCAATCCACTGAGACACACCAAACAGGGTGAGTAGCCCCCTTTTTTAAAAAAGGTAGACAAAAGCAGGTGAAGTTAATTTTAATATATATTATTTAACCCCATACTTAAAATATGGGGTTGTCATTTCAACATGCATGCCACATGAAAACGATTTATTGTGATATTTTACAATTACTATTTTTCATACCATGGCTTTGAAATCCAGCATGTATTTCACACGAACTGCTTATCTCGATTCAGACTAGCCCCTCTTGAGGGCTCAGTAGCCATATGTGGCTAGTGGCTGACATACTGGACAGTGCAGGTCCAGGTAATTAACATATGAACCACAAGGCTGGATGAAATCATGGAGTGAGCGTAGACCCAAAAAGAGGACAGGAGAGCAAATCAGAGGAAAGGAAAGGGGAAGTGATGGAGCCCACCCCTCTGTCATTACCAAATGAAGAAACAGAGGCCAAGGGAAGGTGGTTTTTAACCTGGGGCCGCACTGTGAACCGGAAGCTGGGTGCAGTGCTTCCCAGGCCCATAGATCAGCCCAGTGGACCCTGAGTCATACCTGATCTTGGTTACTCCTGATGAGTGAAAAGGAGTTTCCTCATCCCTCCTCTCTGAAGCTGCTGACGGGTGCCGAGTGCCTCACAGGGCTCTTCCTTCTCGGATGAGCCTCTGCTGGAAGAGCTGGTGACTCTCAGGGAGAAGGTGACTATGAAACTCAAAAGAGCTTTAAGTGTGTATGAATTAAAAGGTGCGGCAATTCCCCACTGAGCCCCTCCTCTCACTTTTTCTCCCAAACTCACCTCCCCTTTTCTCTGCCCCTCCCCAATAGGCCTTTCATGTCTTTCCCAGACTCACTCCTCCCTCCCTCTCCGGGTCCCTTCCCAGTAAATTCTCAACTTGCTCTCCTGACTTAACTCACCTCAGCTCTCTTCTCTTGCAGCCTGCAACCACAGAATTTGCCGTGAGTCCTGGACTTACCATCTGTCCCTTCCTTCTCTACCCTTCCATTCCTCTTTACCCTGTCTCCCACAAATAAGGCCCACTATCACCCCTACTCCATCTAGTGGAACCCCCCATTCCAAAGCTCTGGTACCTAGGGATATCTGATTATTGGGGGGCTTATGAAAAGTGCAAGCTGCAAAAAAAGTACTTTAGGGAGAATGTTAGGCGGGATAGGAAAGCCTACATCCTAGTTAAACAAAACAACACAAAACAAAACAAAACATCACATGTCAGTGGTTTAACAAAAGAAAGGTTTATTTCTTTCACCCCAAATCCATTGAGAGTTGAGCTATTCTTCCATCTGATGAATCAAGGATCCAGGCTATGCCCATATTGTAGCTTCTAAACAAGCCTTGGAAGGGAGAAAGGATATGGAATTCTGCATGAAGTTTTATCGCCAAGCCTGAGAAGTAGCTTTGCATCCCTCTGTCCCCTTTGGACAGAACTAAGTCACATGCTTGCAACCTACTGCAAAGGAACCTGGGAAACATAGTCTTCCTGAGTAGCAGGTGGTGAAGGAGATGATCAGCGAGCATCCAGCTAGTCTATGCCACAGGTGGCTGCAAATAGGAATGGAGACGTGAAAGCATTCTTTTGTAGATATTTAATTAAACATGTGTTTGACTTTAATTAATTGTCTACAAACAATGTTGGGTTAACTGGACAGCTGCAACTTAATTCAACTCTTTAGTCAACTTATGTATTTTATTAATATATAAAATTATTTCTGATGTGAATCATCAGTGCATTTTGCTCAGCTTGCCCTGCTGCACGTGGGGCCTCCAAATTTGTCAGGGTGGAGGGACTCCAGATCCTCTTTCCCCTTCCTCCTCCCTACCTTCAGCCCACTTCTTCCCTTCCCTTGTCCAGACTCACCAAAAGAAGAGGTCTTAGACTGTTTACAATGCCTGAATGTCAGCCCCAAGTGCGTGAAAAGGGAGCACTGTTTTGGTAAGCTCTTGTTGAGGGGGGAGGACACAGGACAGGTGCACAAGAGATGCAGTCCGCCACGTCCCAACGGATGTGGGTCTGGAGGTCTCCCACGTGCAGCCCTGCAGCCTGCCCTGCACCCTTCCCCACCGTGTGGCCCAGCAGGTGCTGCCACTTTCTGAAACTCATTTTTCCCTGCCGCCGAATGGGAAGCCTCCTCTGTAACTTTACGATGCATTTAGTGCCAGAGTGGCAGGTGCTGCGAAAATGCTTTCTCTGTAGCCGTACCTGGGGAGTCAGGAAGGATGGGCTGAATTTGTTCATTCATTCAGAATTTTTTTAAAAATACATATCCTTTGAGCAGAGAAAATGGTACAGTGAAGCCCCGTATATACATCAAGATTGGATAGTCACGTTGGACCCTTTCATATGCTGTCCTCTCCCTCTGTCACGCTGCTCCTCCGACCCCGTCACTTCAACAAAGTCTCAGAGTTTCCCTCCTCAGAGAAGACTCTTCGATCACCTCTGTAAAGTAGTGCTTTCCATCAAATTATCTTGACAATGAATGTTCCTCCCATTTGATTCACTTATTTTATTTATTTATTTTTTGCCACAGTGTTTTTTAAAAAATCAGGCATCATGAGATTTCACCCATTCATAGTGTCTGCCTCTAAAAATGAGGACATTTTCTACATGACCACACTCAACAAACCTAACAACAATTCTTCAGTATCAATAATTGCAAGTCCTTTTTTCAACTTCCCTAACTGCCCCCAGAATACTTTCCTCTGTTCATTCATTGAAACAGAAGTCCAATGAAAGCTCATTTCATTCAATGGTTACATCTTTTCTCTCTCTCTCTCTCTCTCTCTCTCTCTCTCTCTCTCTCTCTCTCTCTCTTTTATGATCTCCACCCTGCCATGACATTGAGCAATTGAAAAGAAAGAATGTGTCTATTTGCTCTGTTAGGGTGGTGTTTACCTACAAAAAAAAAATTGGAGCACCCTCTAATGCCCCAAACTGAGGATCAGCAGAATGGGAGAGAAATGTCTCACTGAGCCCACATTTTGATGGAGTGAAGGGTCAGACCAGGCTTTCTCAGCCTTGTTGCTGCTAACACGTGGGGCTGGGTAATTCTTTACTCTAAGGCTGTCCTACTTATTGCGGCTCCACCAGCCTCCACTCACTACACCCCAGTAGTACCCGCCCACATACTCACACAAAAGGCATCACACTCATTTCCAGCCTCCAGACATTCCCAAATATCCCCTGGAGGACAAAAGAGTCCCCAGCTGAGAGCCACTCTTAGATGATAATTATACCTAAACAAATATAGGGACTAATTCCAGATGGCAGTAGGGCTCTTAATGAAAACAAAACAGAGAGAAAGTCCCTGGGTGTGGCGGGGGCCGGTGCTACTTTAGAGAGTGCAGGTGGGGAGGCCTCTCTAACGAAGGGGTGTCTGAGATCTAAAGGGATTGGGGGACCAGGTGAAAGATAGAGGGAACAGCAGGTGCAAAGATCCAACATAGTTGAGCAACGAGAAGGAAGCTAGTGTGGCCATTGCCAAATGAATCAAGAGGAGGGCAGTAGGGGAGCTAGCCACGTGGGGACCAGGCCGTGCCGGGTGATGGACCACCGTGAAGACTTGGGCTTTCATTCTGAATGAGAGAAGAGCCGTGGGAGGGGTCTGGGAGCCGAGGAGGGACAGGAGTGGACTTAGGTGTTAACCGGCGCCCCTGGCGGCCACGTGGGGAACTGTAGTGCGGAGAAGCCCGGAGAAGGAGGATGGGGCTGGACCAGGTCAGGAGCCGAGGAGGTGGTTCAAATTCTGGATACGTTTATGAAGGTGGAGCCAAGAGGCTTTGCGGACAGAAGGAAAGAGTTGGAGCGAGAGGGAGAGTGGAAGGTGCAGAATGGGACTCCCAAGGCCACTTTCAGAGCCAGCAAAGACGCAGGCGGACTTTCTTCTTACCATGAAATTGCCAGCATTTTGCATCCCCCCTCTCGTGTTCTTGGGTAGAGGGACGAACCAAGTTCTCCTCCCACCCTCACCCCCACCCAATGAGATGCATTTCGCACTGTGACGTGCTGAGGGTGGACAGAGGTGGGTTCACAGTGGTATCCCAAGCACCTAGAATGGTGCCTGGGACGCAGAATTTGAGGAATGGATGAAGGGAGAGTGAGAGCCGGGAGAAGGGAGAGGACCACGTAGAGTGCAGAGGGCCCAGGTAAATGAACGAGCGGTGGGTGTGGTCAAGGCCAGGGAAGGGTGGTAACAGAGGCCGCGCTGTGTCCGCCCACCCGCCCAGTGGACAGGCAGCCCCGCGTGGCCCTGCAGTACGACAAAGAGAGTATCCACCCGCAGAAGCAGGCCCTGCTTGGCATCATCCTTTCCTTGTTTCTGGCTGTCTTCGCCTTTGTGGTCATCGTGGCTTCGTGAGTCATCCCTGCTGCCTCCTGAGGCCCCCAAAGGTGGCCTCTAAGCCCCTCAAAAATGGCACTGCCCTGAATAGGTCACGTGTCTTTTGGGAGTCTCCTAGCCAGTCACTTTTTGTCTCTGTCTCTGTCTCCGTCTCTTTTTCTCTCCCTCTTTCTTCTCTGTCTCTCCTTCCCTCTCTCCATCTCTTCTCTCTTGCTTGTCTCTGTGTCTCTGTCTCTCATCATCTTCCCTCCTCCCCCCACCACTACATTATGTCTTTCCTCTGTCCTCAGCACTTTTGCCTTTGTGGGTCTCTTCTTCCATTAAAAACAAAACAAAACAAAACAAAAAAACTAAACTAAAAATTATATTTTGTGGATGTGCTGGTTTGAAGATAGATATAGTCCAAACTGGATTTATTATATTATTCTTATTATTATTCTTATAATTCATTGTTACATTATTTCCTTCTGCTTTGAAAAGCATTTAAAATGAAAACATTTCCATAGGCCCCAAGCATGGACCCCACAGTGCCAAGAGCAGAAGATGCCCTCACTGCACTTTCTCCCCCTCGTAGCATCTCCCTGCCTATCTGCTTACCCTCTCCAGCCTCTCTCCGCCTCTTCCACCTGCCTCTCGCCCTCCTTTCCCTGACACCTCAGCATCTTCATATTCAATTTTAGACAATCCCAGTGCTGCTCTCTCAGGGGCGGTGGCGAGCATTAAGTCAGTACTTAGCGCAAGGAACGTCAGCTCTAATGTGAGCTCGTTCTGGTGTCCCCTTCTTTCTCCCTCTCTGAAACTCTTCATCTCTCTGCCTCTTCCACTGGGCTTTCTCCTCCCCTCCTCTGTCCCAGTCCCAAATCTGCCACTCCCCCCGCTCTCCCCGCTGCCCCCAGGTTGAATCTGTGGCTCTCAGTTTCTCTCTGCTTCTCTGAATGCCCCTCCCGGTCTCTGGGTCTCTGCTCCTGACTCCCACCCCACATGGCCCACACACTGTCTGTCTGTCAGCCCCTCTGTGCTGCTTTATCTGTCTCACTGTTGTCACCTCCTTTGTCTCCCATCTTCCCTCTCTTTTTCCAGCGCCTTTCCCCTCTCCCCATGTTTGAACCTCTCTCCCTGTCTTCAACTGGTCTTCGTCTCTGCCCTCCCCTCTGCCATCTCCGGGACTCCCTTTCTGTCTTGAATTCTGTTTCTCTCTCTCTCTCAGCCTCTTGCCCAAGTTCTGCCTCACCTCTCAGTTTCTCTTTTACAGAACTCTCTCCTTGCTTTCTGCCATTGTCTCCCTGTGTATTAATTTCTTGTCACAAGTGGCTTAAGGCAACACATTTACTCTCATACAATTCTGGAGGCCAGAAGTCCCAAATCAAAAGGTTGGCAGGGTTGGTTCCTTCTGGGGGTTCTGAGAGAGAATCCATTCCATACCTGCCTCTACCTTCTGATGGCTGCTGGCATTCTTGGCATTCCTGGGTGTGTGGCTTCCCTCTAATCTCTGCCTGCCTCAGTCTTCATGTGGCTCCTCCCTCTCTCCCTTGGGCCCAGCCCAAATCCAGAATAATCCTTTTTTTTTAAGATTTTATTTATTTTTAGAGAGAGGAGGAAGGAAGGAGAAAGAGAGAAACATCAATGTGTGGTTGCCTCTCACACATCCAGGCACGTCCCCTGACTGGCAATCAAACCAGTGGCCCTTTGGTTCACAGGCCTGTGCTCAATCCACTGAGCTACACCAGCCAGGGCTAAATCAAGAATTATCTTATTTGATCTTAATTACATCTGCAAAGACCTTATTTCCAAGTAAGGCCATCTGCACAGGTACTGGCAGTTAGGGCTTGGATATATCTTTTGGAAAACACAGTTCCACCTACGACACCTGCTTCTCTCTTTTCCTTACTTATCTCTCTTTTTGCCTTTCCCTTCTGTCTGAGTCTCTTGCTGTGACCGTGTCTCTCAGTGACTTCTCCCACTCTATTTCCACACTTTACCCCTACTCCCCGTCCCAACTTTTAACTCCTCCCTCCTCGTGAGCCAACACTGATTGGCTGAGAACCCTGGAAATCTGCCCAGAGACCCATGATGTCACTAACTAAGCCAAATAAGACTGATGATTGGAGGGAAGTTTGGGGTGGCGGGTTGGTTGACCTAGAGGGGCCTGAAGATCTCTTTTCTAACCTCCAGGCTTTTTCTCTCTGACCAGGGCTATCACTTACAGGCAAAACCGGAAACTCCTGCTGCAGTAGGGTGGTGGTTTGGGGGTTGTGAGAGGGAATTGAAAAGACATTTAATAAAGTCTGTGACAAATTTCTCAATGTCTCCATCAGTTACTGGAGGACCCTCCCAGCAATGGTCCAGATCTAGACACCCGACTTCCAAGAGGGCTAAACCACTAGTGAGGGCTTGAAAGGGCATCCATTCCTATTTGGGGGGGAATGCATCCAAAATAAGATGACACCACAGTGGGACCATAAGGGACGGTCAGGCAGAGGAACAGCAGTGGTCAGTGTGGGAGGACAGGTGTCCCTCCCTATCTGAACTCTTAAATGGTCACCCTCTGTGGTCCTGAAAAGACTCAGATACATTTTCATGGACATCTTTTACTGTCTGGACTCTTACTACTCGCCAACCCAAAGCAGAAAGCAAATAGATTTGGGTCGCATGGTGTCCCGTTTCGGGTCCTGCCAGCAGAACTGTTGCTGTCTCGCTGTTATGTTTGGTGGGAGGGACGGGTTGATAAGAAAGGCAGAGTTTAGCTGGAGATTCGGTGCTTAGCATAATGCTTGGTGGAAAGCAGGCACTCAAATATTTGTTGAATAAATGAAGATTAATGAGGATAGTAGTGTTGGGGCGAGGGACGGGGGGTGGGGTACGCAGGAAGCCTACGAAGACGACATTGGCCCATACACCAAAATGCAATTAATGCCAGGGAAAGGAGCTTGGCAGTTTTTCCCAGGACCTGAAATTGAAACCTCAAATATCTTTTTGTTGTTGTTGTTTTGGTTTTGAAGATTTTATTTATTTTCAGAGAAAGGGGAAGGGAGGGAGAGAGGGAGAGAAACATCGATGCGTGGTTGCCTCTCGCACGCCCCCTACTGGGGACCTGGCCTGCAACCCAGACGTGCGCCCTGAGTGGGTACCGAACCTACAACCCTTTGGCTTGCAGGCCAGCACTCAGTCCACTGAGCCACACCAGCCAGGCAAAACCTCAAATATCTTAAGGGTGCAGGTAGGTGAAGAAATATCTTAAGGAGGATGGAAAATACTCAGCTCCATCCCACAGTGAGCAAATAAGATGAAGTAAGAGCCCCAGTGTTTTCAGCTCTTCATATTTTTCAATAGACCCAGAAATTCAGATTTTTGTAAAATGTGAAATCTCTCCATTAAAATAGTGTGGACAACTAACTTTTTCAAATACTGAAGACCAACTCAAGACATTTTTGCTACCATTCTAAGGTGACGGGGAAATATCTAAGGCTGGGCATTACTTATATAATTTAGGTATTAGCAAAGGACGTTCTAAGTGTTGATGGATCCCACTGAAGCCCCTAATTAACTACATTTCCCAGAAACCTCTGCCTTCCACCATGAGTCCTTTAAATACTATATCCTAGACTAGTTAAAGGTAGAAGGTGTGCACAGTAGAGTTGGACTTCTGATTGGTCAAACCCTTGACTTCCTTGTTCTAGCCACACAGTGCCGAGATAAGTTTCGTTACCTGCACGGTAAAGCGCTTTGAGTGGAGAGGTTTTCTTTTTCTTGTATTTTTATTTTTCAATTACAGTTTACATTCAATATGATCTCGTATTAGTTTCAGGTGTGCAGCACAGCATTTAGACACTCATGCACTTTACAAAGTGTTCCTCCCCCTCCCCCCAACATTTCTAGTACCTACCGGCCACCATACATAGTTATTACCATAGGAACTTAGAGGTTTGAAGAGGTAGTGAAGAGGCTCAAAGGTCTTAGTTACACTGGGCTCCAAACGAGAGGATTCTGGGAATGGTAGTTTCCGGCCTCTGGCCTCTCCACTGCTTCCCCCTCACCTCCCCGTCACCGCACACCCAACTTTCTTCCCCAAGCTAGACGGCCCATTTAGCGGGAGCTGATAGACGCTAGTCACCTTGGCAACGTCGCTCTGGGCGTGCATGACGTCACCATTACCAGCGACTGGCAAAGGGTGGAGCTACTGCAGACGAATCAGGGTTGCTTGGCTTCCAGTCACTTAAATTGGTGGCCACACCGAAGCTCACTCCCGCTTGGGTAGTAGTGTTGTTTGAATATTAAAATGTCTTCACACTACTGGTCCAGTCATTACCTTAACTGCTTGGGAATTTCCTAGGAACAATGCATAATGCAGTAAACGGATAATTAAATTGTGCATTAATTATAGTGTGATGAGAACTCCCAGAGTGCGCAGAGTATCAAGCGGGAGAGACAGACTGTCACCAAATAATTACAATACAACAATTATTATAATATCAGTGCTTGGATTCTGGGATGTTCCTGTGGGAACCCAGGGAGGGAGTAGCCAACTCTGGCTTGGCAGGGTGGGAAGAGGAGAAAGTTTAGTATAGGAATGGCTGTAAGAACGTGTTCTTGCTATACTAGGGGGACCACTTGGTAAAGTATATAATTGTCTAACCACTAGCCTGGACACCTGAAATGAATACAAAATATTGAATATGAACTGTAGTTGAAAAATATAATTTAAGGAAAAAGAGCTTGTTCCTGGCAGAAAAAAATAGTTTCCAAAAGTAGAGGAGAGCCCTGGCTGGTGTAGCTCAGTGGATTGAGTGCGGGCTGCGAACCAAACGGTTGGTGGTTCGATTCCCAGTCAGGGCACATGTATGGGTTGCGGGCCGATTCCCTGGTGGGGGTCACATGAGAGGCAACCACACATTGGTGTTTCCCTCCCTCTCTTTCTCCCTCCCTCTCCCTCTCTCTAAAAATAAATAGTCTTAAAAAAATAAAATATTTTTAAAAAGAAGTACAGGAGAAAGGACATCCCAGACAGAGGGAACCACAAATACGAATGTCAAGAGGTGAAACTTCATGGCTTGTTTTAATAATATTGATAGCAACCACGTAGATGGCGTTTTCTGCCACATGTTGTTCTAATGGCTTTATCTATATGGACCTATTCAAATCTCATAATCCAATGAAGAGGGTATTTATTTTCTCCCCATGTACAATGAGGAAGTGGGGGAACGGAGAGGTTAATGACTTGGCCCTCTGGGGCTACATGGGGAACAGACTGGAAGGGAGACCTGGAGGCCAGAAGGTTCGGAATGAGACTGGAGTAAGGTTCTGAGTGAGAGGACAAGGCCTGAACCAGGGCCAGGTTCATGGGCATGGAGAAGGCAGCAGGCACCAGGAGCCTGGCATTGACAGAAAGGGCTTCCCTCGACCTGCCGGCCCTGGCTGTGTCTTCAAGCCACCGAGATGCATAGATCTCCTTGGGGATGCCTGACGCACTTCTATAGGGTGCTCATACAAGTTAAATAAGCCAATAAGGCCCGCTGCGTGTTGTGACAGCTGTTATTTCATTCTGGCAATGAATGGCCCATCTAGGCTTTACTCAAGTACATATGTATATTTTACATCTTTATAAACATGAAAGCTATATAACTGCAATTCTTGTTCTTTTAACCTTCGTTCTCAAGCACTTCACCATGTCATCGTCTGGTTGCCATAAGTACTTCAGGATTCCATAACGTCTTAGAGGCGGAATGTACCGCTATTTATTTATTTAACTGAACCCCTGAGTCCATACAATTAAAAATAGCTTTTTGTTATTTTGTTTCTGATTGGAATTTGACTTCTTCCAAGTTGCACTTCAGGGACCTAGACTCCTTTCATCTGCAACATGTGACTCTCAAAGTCACACTCTTCATCTGAATAAACAGAAGGGAAAAGACTGTGCAAGTGACAAGTGGGAGGTTTTAACGGCTGGATCTGGGCGAGGCATGCATTACTTCTGCTCACATTTTATTGGCCAGAACTCAGTCTCACGGTGACCCCAAATTGCAAGTGAAAAGATTTAACTAAAAGGGAATATTCGCGATGCTAGTGCAGCCAAACACTTCCAAAATACTATATTTATTTGGGAAATGCAAAACCCTGTGTATTTAGAGCTTTTTTCCCTTCCTGACCCACATCCTATTTCCACACTGTTTCCTAGCATTCCCCTCAGAGACCTTAGGCCGTGGAGGAGCCGCAGAGGCTTCTGGGAAATGTAGTCCTGGTGAGAAACCCCGTTTAAAGCACCAGGACTTGTTTCGAGACAGAGACTGCGCAGGCGCATTCCGCGGCCAGCCAGTGGATGGGAAGGCCTGGTCACCCTTTGAAAACTGCGAAGGCGCACAGGTGAGTCTCGACCTGGAGGACCAGAGCTGAAGCAGGTAGGTGCGTGGCAGGCCCAGACGAGAAGCGGGCACTCAGGGGGCGGGGCCGGAGTGGGAGTGGGAGGGGCATTGTGGGCGGTGCCCCGCCACCTCCTGTCATTCGCGAGGCAGCCCCAGAACCCCCTGCCCTCTGCGCAACTAGGACGATCTCAGCGCTCTGCATTTGGGCGCCCGCTATTTGCCAGGAGACTGGTCAAGCGCGAATTGCTTCGATCCCTAAGAGGGAGGATTTACATTTCCTCAATTTGCAGGTGAAGAGATCAGCGCGGCTTCTCCCAAGTCACAATGCTAATAAGGGATAGACCTAGGATCCCATTGACCTGAGCGCCAGTGAGTATCCGCACAGTCACGCCCTTGATCTCTGACCTTATTGTGAGCATCTCTGGGTCTCTTGTGTCCTCTTTCTGATCCCACCCACCACCCCGATGCCGTTCTGTCTCCCTGTTCTTTCTCAGGTTTCCTGCTCTTCTGTCTCCATGTCTCTGTCGCCTGCTCTCTGGGTCTCTGCCACCTCCCTGAATCTCTGGCCCCCTTTCTCTGGGTCTCTGTGCAGCGCCCCCGCCCCACAAGAGTCTCTGTGTTTTTTTTTTCTAAAAACAAGGTTATTTTTCTTCCAAAACCACGGCACCATAATGACACCAGGAAATTAATCTGAATATATCACCATTAGCTAACCTAGAGGCCTTCTTCAAATTTTGCTAAATGTCTCAATATTATTTTTTAAAAATTGTTTACCTCTGCTCTTCTTTTTTTAATTTTAAATATTTTATTTATTTTTAGACAGAGGGGAGAGGGAGAGGAACATCACTGTGGGGCTGCCTCTCAAGCGCCCCCTACTGGGGACCTGGACCACAACCCAGGCATATGCCCTGACTGGGACTCGAACCAGCGACCCTTTGGTTCACAGGCCAGCACTCAATCCACTGAGCCACGCCTACCAGGGCCCCAATAATATTCTTTTTTAAGATTTTATTTATTTATTTTTAGAGAGGGGAAGGGAAGGAGAAAGGGAAAGAAAGATCAATGTGTGGTTGCCTCTTGCGTGCCCCCTACCGGGGACTTGGCCTGCACCCAGGCACATTCCCTGACTGGAATTGAACTGGTGACCATCTGGTTCTCAGGCCAGCATTCAATCCACTGAGCCACACCAGCCAGGGCCCCAATAATATTCCTAATGGCAGAAGAAAACCCCATATCACCCACTGCATTGGTTGTCAGCAGAGATACCTTAGGAGTGACGCTGTGTCCTTCTCATTAGATCAAGAGCCCTTGATGTCAGCTTGCCCATCATGGGTCACATCAGCCTTGACCACTTTTCCACTCCAAAGTTACCCTCTACTTTTTGTAAGTAATAAACGACTTGCAAGGAGACAGTTAAGTGACCTAGTGGTTTCAGCCTTCTGGTGCCTGAAGCCTGTGAAGCCAAGTGTGCCTGTAGCTGTTTGCCTTGGAGACACATGGGAGGCTCTACATCTTTTTATGTTTTATTTTAATTTTTTACATTTTATTCATATTTAGACAGAGAGGAAGAGAAAGAGAAAGAGAGGGAGAGAAATATCAGTGTGTGGTTGCCTCTTGAGCGCCCCCTGCTAGGGACGTGGCCTGCAACCCAGGCATGTGCCCTGACTGGGAATCAAACTGGTGACCCTTTGGTTTGCAGCTCATGCTCAATCCACTGAGCTACACCAATTAGGTCCTGAATCTTTCTATTTTATTTATTTTTATCAGTTTCCCCTTTGCAACTGTAACAAATGACCACAAACCTGGTGGCTTCAGACAACAAAATGTATTCTCTTACACTCCTAGAGGTCAGAAGTCTGACACAGGGATCACTGGGCTGAAACCAAGGTGTCAGTGGAGCCATGCTCTTTCTGGAGGTTCTAGGGAAGAATTCATTTCCTTGCCTTTTTGAGCTTCTGGAAGCCGCCGTGGGTGTGGCCCCTTCCTCCAGCTTCAAAGCCAGGGGCATAGGCCCATCCAGATCATCCAGGGCAGTCTTCCCATCCGAAGGTGTTGAACTTCACAACAACATTCACCCCAGAGATATCTTTTGGAGCCGCTCTTCAGCCCACCACCTGATCGATGTCCAGCACTGTCTCCCCCACCAGGCAGGGAGCCCCTTGAAGCCATAGCTGCATCTCACTCATTTCTGGGTCCTCGAATCGGAAGGGTTGACTTTGTGGGCTAGACTTCTGGGCTCTAATCCAACAATGATACTTGATACCTCTATGACCTTGAGCTAGGCCTGCACGGTGGTTTCCTTTTCCTCATCTGGGGCTAACCACTCCGAGAGCTGTGGTGTGAGTGCAGTGAGCCAAACCCACTGATGGCTTGTGGTTGTTTCAGAACAGGGACCTCAGGCCTCCTATCCTGAGCTTTTGCTCTGGCTCTTAGGACACCAGTGCCGACTCTGCCATGAGGCTCCTTTAGGAAAGCGTCTGTCTGTCAGTCTGTTTACGCCAGAACTGACTCCATTTCTGTTCTCCAGTCTCCTCTTCCAGCTCTGCAGACTCAGGCCTGGCCCTTTGTCCTGGATATGCGTCCCCAGGAGCCAGCAGTGACCACCAGGACCCTGACAGCTGAGGACCAGGTGAGTCTGGGTCCCCTCTTCCCCGAGATGATTTTGTGGACCCCAGAGGGCCATCCTCATCTCTGTCTGTGGCTTGGAGATCTTCTGCCCCTCCCATGCCGGGAGAAAGGCTGTGTTGGGAGGAGCTCTGGGGGTGTGAGGAGAGGGGAGGGTGGGGCGGGCTGCTCTGAGCTGGCACATTATGACATGGTCTGACAGTCAATAATGTTAACGCTCATCAGCCTTTTGGTTCCCAGGTGAAATGGGCAGTGGTTTAATGGTTTCCCCCCTGAGCCTTATCTGTGGAGTTGGGAGTGGGGGCTGGGTTCAGAGTTGGTGTCTGGGATGGAGTGTGACTTGGGAATGTGCGGCTCTCGTACACAGTGGCTTCATATCTTTTTAAATAACCTTCACCTAAGGATATATTTTAGATCCTTAGAGAGAGGGCCTTGATCTGAGAGAGGAAGAGGAAGGGAAAGATAGAGGGAAGGAAAGAGAGAGGAAGGGAGAGGGAGAGAGATACATTGATGTGAGAAACATCGATTGATTCCCTCCTGTACATGCCCCAGCAGGGATTGAACCTGCAACCTAGGTATGTGCTCTAACTGGGGATCCAACGCTCAACCTTTTGGTTTATGGGACAACACTCCAACCAAGTGAGTTACTTGGCCAGAACTCATTGACATATTTATTATGACAGTTTTCACCCATATGGCAAACTCTCATATACTAAAATAATTGCATATTACAATGATTTTCCAACAGATGGCAGTAAAGAGTCATGAGAAAGGTGGAGCTTGGTCTACTTTCTACCCAAGTGCCTGTGGGCTAACAGCTGCCTAGGCTTTTTATTTTAATACATTACTTCAACTGGTTTTATTCAGTTCTCTGAAACCTGTTCAAGCACAGGGAGCAAGTGGTAGGCTACTGACCTTTGACCTCTCCTGACCCAGAGTTCCAGAAGTCTGTGTCCCTCCACTTTTGACCCTGTTAGGTATCAGTGACTTTCAAGGATGTGGCTGTGGATTTCACTCTGGAGGAATGGGACCAGCTAGGGCCTGGCCAGAGGGAGCTGTACCGGGACGTGATGCTGGAGAACTACCAGAACCTTCTTTCATTAGGTGAGGCCCTACTCTCTGCCTTCCCAGAAGGAGGCACGATGCCTCCTCCTGCCCCCCTCTCCTAAGCAGTCACCCACTGCTTAACTGTGAGTGGTCCCTGGGGTCATGTGGTACCCTCTCTGCTCTGTCCCTGCTGGCTGGCCTCTGTCTGTCTCCGTCTCTCCCAGAGTCCCGCCTCTCTGAGGGCCTGAGTCCTCTGCCTGCCCCATCATATCTTCTCTGTGCCCCCACCCTCTTCTCTGGCTTCCCTCTCCACGTGTGTGTGCCTCAGGCTCCTGCTGGAAAGCCTGCTCCAGAGTCTCAGACTCCAAGTTCTCCCCAGATATCCTCCAGGCCACAGGCTCCATGTCGAATCCTCGCCCCAAAGCACATAAGTGCTGTTTCCCAAAGTGTCTCCTGAGTCCCACATTTGTCCACGCACCCCCTCCTGTCCCCCACCCCGGTGCAAGTCACTGCCACCTTCACCACACTCACCCTGAGCTCAGAGTCTCCATACTGACCTGCTCCTCCCTCCCCCTCCAGGTCCCCATCTGTGGTTGGCCCCACGTCCTCCAGATCCCTAGTTCCATCCTCCCTAGTTCCATCCTCACCTTCCTCTTCCTCTTTCTCTTTCTCAGAACATCAGGCCCCACCCACCCACCCACTGCCAACTCTTTGCATGTCCCCTCCTCTCTGTCCACACAGCCTGGCCCTGCTCTGGCCTTGTCCTCTCCCCACACCAGCCTCCTCTCTGCTGTCTTTCCTTCTCAATTCCTTCTTCTGGCTCCTCTGTCTCTCCTTTTCCCTGTAAGCTACCATGGTAGGAAGGCTCCGACCTCAGCCCTCCTCCCTCACACACTTCCTCTGAACAAACTCATTAAAAGCTCAGCTGAAGTGCCTGTGTGAGGTCCCCAGGACCGCTCCCAGGCTCAGTGACACACGAGGAGGACTCACAGGCCTCAGCATGGCTGTGTACCAGAAGCTCATCAGACTCCTGGTGCGGTTTTTCCTGGGTGCTGGTCCTACCAACCTCACCCCAGCCTCCACCTGCACCTTCACACACGGCCTTCTTCCCTCCATATGCATCTGTGTGTCTCTCCTCTTCTCACAAGGACACCAGTCGTCGGATTTCAGTCTCACCCTAATCCAGTACGACCTTGTGTTAACTAATTACATCCGCAAATCCTCTGTTTCCAAACAAGGCCACATTAGGAGGTTCCTATGGACATAATTTTGGGAGAGTGCTGCTCAGCCCACTAGAGGAAGAGAGAAGTTGGTGATCACAAAAGCAGCAGGCATAAAAAGAAACATGAAATGAATTTTACTAACATAGTTTGTTTCACCCCCTTTATCCAAAAATATGGTTGCCCTGACTAGTGTAACTCAGTTGTTTGGGCATTGTCCTGAAAACCGACAGGTCACTGGTTCAATTCCCAGTCAGGGCACATGCCTAGGCTGCAGGTTTGGTCCCCAGTCGGGGCGTGTACAAGAGGCAACCAATCAATGTTTCTCCCTCACATCCGTGTTTCTCTCCCTCCCTTCCTCCCTCCCTTCCCTGTTCTCTAAAAATACATAAATAAAATTTAAAAATAAACAAAAATAAGACCATTTCAGCACATGTCAAAATCATAGTCAATATGTAAACTGTTAATGAGATATTTTGTATTCTTCTCCACACGAAGTTCTATGGAACAAGGGTGCATCTCACTCTCAGCTTCAATAGCACAAAGCTAGGGCATTCAACGGTGACGCCAGGGCTAGGGCTTCCTCTGCGGCAGACAATCAGCCAGTGAATCTTTTTGGTTTTTTTTTTTAAGATTTTATTTATTTTTAGAGAGAGGGGAAGGGATGGAAAAAAAGAGAAACATCCATGTGTGGTTGTGTCTTGTGCTCCCCAAACTGGGGACCTGGCCCACAAATCAGGCATGTGCCCCAACTGGGAATTGTCCTTTTGGTTCACAGGCCCATGCTCAATCCACTGAGCTACACCAGCCAGAGCCAGCCAGTGAGTCTTGCGCTGACCATTAGAGTGTCTGACCACAAGGCATCAATGTGTGCATCTCCTCTGCAGACCCAGAGTCTGAGGCCCAGCCCTGAGGCCTGCCTGTGACCCCAGTGGCACCCATGGCCAGGTCTCATGTCTCTTCCAGGGTCAGGGCTTCTGGGGTCCAAACCTGACATGATCTCCTGTCTGGAGCGAGGGGAAGAGCCCAGGATGAAGAAGAGAGAAGCCCAGCAAGTTACCTGTCCAGGTATGTGAGGATGTCTAGCAGATGTGAGTCATCTTCCTGTCTCATCTGTCATGATCAGAGATGGTCATTCAAGAATGAGGCAGCATTGCCCTGGCCGGTGTGGCTCAGTGGATTGAGTGCCAGCCTACAAACCAAAGGGTGGCTGGTTTGATTCCCAGTCAGGGTATGTGCCTGGGTTGCAGGCCAGGTACCCAGTGGAGGGCATGCAAGAGGCAACCACAGATTAATGTTTCTCTCCCTCTCTTTCTCCCTCTCTTCCCCTCTCTCTAAAAATAAAAATAAAATAAAATAAAGTGTTTTAAAAAAAGAAAGAAAAAAATTTTAAAAAGAAACAGTGTAGGAACAAAGGAAGTAGGAATATTTATTTTTCATTGTGATCACCTCTTAAAGTTTACTTTTTAATAATTAAACTACATGATTTTAAATATGTCATGTGGAAAGTGAAATTCCCTTATAATCTCATGTCATGACATTTTGAGATGTAATTCAGTTATGCCATTCACCTGCCAAGATTGGGTATTTTTAATATTTTACAATCTAAACAGTTTCAAATGACATCAAGCAATTATATTTTTTAGAATGTTACTGATATCAAACATCTTTTTACAGCCTTATCGACCACTTGTTTTTCTTCTGCAAAATGTCCATTCATATTCTTGCTCCACTATTGGATTAGACTGTTTTTCTTATTTTTTTAAAGATTTTATTGATTTATTTTTAGAGAGAGTGGAAGGGAGGGAAAAAGAAGGGAGAGAAACATCAATGTACAAGGGATACATCGATCTGTTGCCTCTCACATACCCCTAAATGGGGACCCAGGCACGTGCCCTGACTGGGAGCAGAACAGGTGACTTTTTGGTTCACAGGCCAGCATTCAATCCACTGGGCCACACCAGCCAGAGTTGTATTTTTTTAATTTGTAAAAATGTATTATCTTATGGCTAATAAACAACTGCACACAGACATACACTGTCTTCCAACTCAGTTCTTTTCATTTTAGAACATACTGAGGCCATCCTTCCATGTCAGAACATGAATCTATCTACCTTATGCTTTTTGAAATAGCAACATAAACTTCGAAACTTTCCTTTTTATGTTTACAATACCAGTTCTACATAATCAGCTTCCCATGTCCTGGAACAGACCATTTTCATACTTCCCACTTCTTTCAGACCTGGAGACAAGCTTGGCCATGACTCAGGAGAAACTTCCAGAAAAGAGTATTTCCGAAGAGGCAGCTTCCCCAATGGGAAAGATGGAGGGGATTTTAAAGGCAGTGCTTGGAGATGCCAAGTTGGGGGAATCCTGGACATACACTTGCCACTTGGAGAACCAGGGAAAGCAGGAGAGGCATTTGAAGTGTTTGTTTGCTTCTTCCAAGGAAAACGCCTGTGGGGAGAGAGGCCTGGGCTGTAAGGAGCTTGGGAGAAGCTTCAGGAAGACCTCAGCTTTCATCAGGAAGCACAGAGTGCCTGGGGTAGAGAGGCCTCAGAAATGGGATGCGTCAAAATGCCAAAGGGCCTGTGTAGAGAAGAAACTGTTTCACTGCACAGAATGTGGGAGAGCCTTTGTCTACCATTCAGACTATGCCCTGCACCAGAGAACTCACACGGGAGAGAAACCCTGCAAGTGCAATGACTGCGGGAAGGCATTCAGCAACAGCTCATATTTCATTCAGCATCACATTATTCACACAGGAGAGAAACCCTACATGTGCAACGATTGTGGCAAGACCTTTACTCAGAGCTCATCACTGACCGAGCATCAGAGGATCCACACTGGGGAGAAACCATACCAATGCCGGGAATGCGGGAAGGCCTTCACCCAGAGCTCCTCCCTCATTAAGCACCAGCGGTGCCACACTGGGGAGAAGCCCTATAAATGTGGCCAGTGTGGGAAGTTCTACTCTCAGGTGTCCCACCTCACCCGCCACCAGAAAATCCACATGGGCGTGAAGCCCTACAAATGTGGTGAGTGTGGCAAGACGTTCTGTCACACCTCCTCCCTGAGCCAGCACCAGACAATCCACACGGGGGAGAAAGCCTACAGATGTAACGAGTGTGGGAAAAGCTTCAGCCACAGCTCGTCCCTGACCCAGCATCAGCGGGTTCACACAGGAGAAAAACCCTACGAGTGTTCCAAGTGTGGCAAAGCCTTCAGCCACAGTTCGTCCCTGACTCAGCACCAGAGGATTCACACTGGTGAGAAGCCCTATGAGTGTCACGAGTGCGGGAAGGCTTACACACAGATTTCCCACCTCATGAGGCACCAGAGCATTCACATGGGGGAAAAACCATATACCTGTAATGAGTGTGGCAAGGCTTTCAGTCACAACTCCTCCTTTACTCAACACCAGACGACTCACACTGGTGAGAAGCCCTACAAATGTAATGAGTGTGGGAAAACCTTCAGCCAGAACTCTTCCCTGACGCGCCACCAGAGGATTCACACCGGGGAGAAGCCCTACAAGTGTAACATTTGCGGGAAAGCCTATACCCAGATTTCCCACCTCATTCAACACCAGAGGGTTCACACTGGGGAGAAACCTTACGAGTGCAGTGACTGTGGGAAAGCTTTCAGTCGGAGCACCCACCTTATGGAGCATCAGAAAATCCACACAGGAGAGAAACCGTATAAGTGTAAGGAGTGTGGGAAGACATTCAGTCACAACTCATCCCTTACACAGCATCAGAGGATTCACACCGGTGAGAAACCCTACGCCTGTAAGGAATGTGGGAAAGCCTTCAACCAGAGCATTCACCTTATTCAGCATCAGAGGATTCATACTGGAGAGAAGCCCTACAAATGTAGCAACTGTGGGAAAACCTATACCCAGATCTCACACCTTATTCAACACCAGAAAGTTCACACAGGTGACAGGCACTATGCGTGTAAAGAATATGGAGAGGATTTCAGCTGGAGCTCACACCTGGCCCAACATCAGAGACTTCACACTATGCACAGCACCTATGTCTGTGATGATTTTGAGAAAACCTTTGTTTGGAGGACACAGCTTGCTGATAATCAGAGAACTCATGCTGATTAGAAAACCTGAGAATGAAACAAACTGGCATTTCCACTGCCAGATTCAGTTCAGCCCTCATCAGCATTGGTAATTTCTTCCCAAAGAGGAACTCAAACACTACACATTGTGACAATTGGTCTCTTTTTTTCCTAAAGGAGGAAAGAGTTTATCTCCAGCTCGGACAGCTTCTCATCATTTTAGCTCTCAAATCTCAATATCCTCCCTATTTCTCAGTCCTGCCATGTCACTAGGGGGTGATCTAACTGGGTTGCAGATACACCTGGGATCTTCAATAAGGTCTCTCTGAGCTTTTAAATGTTTTGATTGTTCATTAAATTGGAACTGAAAATTCAAGAAAAAAAGACAGCTGGAAAGAATAACCCTATAGAATAAAACTCTCAACTATGTCACTGAATTTAAATACTAGACCATTTTAGTTTCCTTTAAAACTTTACGATACAAATTTCACTGCAAAATCTGCAGCTTGCTCAAACACTGAATGTGTGTCACATGTTTACAGCCATTTTTTATGTTCTGTTGTTTTTGTCTTTTCCATTTTCAGAATTTGTACTTTACAAAGCAGTTACCCTATTAACATAATTTTCTGATTTTATTCATGCCAAAAGGGATGTATTTCTTTCCTTTTAAAAAAATATTTTATTTATTTATTTTAGACATAAGAGAAAGGAGGGAGAAAAAGGGAGAGAAACACCAATGTTTGGTTGCCTCTGGCCTGCCCCCTCCTGGGGACCTGGCCTGGCCGGCAACCCAGGCATGTTCTCTGACTGGGAATCGAAACAGTGACGGTTTGGTTCACAGGCTGGCACTCAACCCACTGAGCCACACCAGCCAAGGCTCAATCAATAAATGTTTTAAAAACTTTAAATTTTAGCTAGATAGGTACAATAGTATTTTTTTTTCTTCCTTTTTCTCTTCTGGACTGAAGTAGGAACTCTTCTCTCCTGTGAGAAACCTTCCTTACATCAATTCCTCCAGTCCTGCCAAACTCCATTTTCCTCCCTTCCTTGTGCTCTAACATATTCCATTAAGTTTTATGAGCAAAGCACGCTCTTTTGTTGCGCATCCGTTCGACTCAAATGAACGGACTCTCGCCTAGAGCCAGCGCTTAGACAGTTGGCATGGAGACAGACTCGCCTTTTCCACAGTTGACGGTTGCCATGGAGACGGACGCTGGCGACACTTAGTTTTGGGAACGTAGCCTGGAGAAACGAACTGTGTAGACTTCTTTCTCCATTCCGCCTCCGAAAGCCAGAAAAAGTGTCTGACATTCGTGTACCCCAAGCGGAAGCCACCCGAGACTTCAGGGTACCTTCCGCCTTTGCCATCGACTGAAGACCCGTAGGCCTCTGGGAAATGTAGAGCATCTGCGAATCTGCGCGTGCGCAGAGGCATACAAGGGAAAGGGGCTGCACACGCAGCCGCTCCGCAGTAGTGGGGAGATAACTCTGGGAGGCCCACCGGAGGTTCAAGACCGGAGGTTTACCCACCGGAGGTTTACCAGGTACTAGAGGACCTCATCTTTGGCCGGAAGAGCGGCCTCAGGCGTTCTGGGGGGTCTTAGGCCATTTACGAGGATAGAGAGGCTAGAGAAGAGGGCGCTGGCTGGGTGACGCCGGGGCGGGCAGGGGCAAGATTAGAAACTGCCTCGAGGTCTAGGGGCGTGGCTATGAGCAGGGCTAGCCCGGGGATTGGCTGATACGGGAGCGGACTTTGGATAGGATTGAGCCAATGAAGCCGGAGTGAGCTGAACGCGCTGATGATTGTTCTGAGAATCCTTATACTCAGGATGGATTGATTGCGAATTCGTCCAGAGTTGTTCACGGATCTCCTCTTGGTCTGGGGACTCATTGACTGAATTGAATGCTGTGGCACCATTTTTTTGCTCAGTTTGTTTCTAAGCTCAATTTTTAAGAAAGTAAATGTTTAGTATAAGTATTATTGTTTTATTTTCCAATCACTTATTGCTAGGTGTTGCTCTAAGTTTGAGGTTAAGTGCTAGGATTCCAAGTTTATAAATGATACTCTTACGAAATACGTAATTAAAATTTATAGTATTAAAATGTATTGAGTGCTTATTATGAACCAAGGGTAGTGTTGGAAAATAGGGGGTTGTTTTTAATGCCAGTAATCACTAAAAAGTATTATCCTGAAACAACTAATATGTACGCATACTGGGTGCCAGGCACAGCTCTAAACATTTATCCTCACCACCTCCCAGTGGAGTCCCTGCTATTGTTATTGTTGTGTTATGTATGAGGAAACAGGAGCAGAGGTGATGGCGCAGGGTCACCAGCTGGTAAAGGACAGAAACGCGAGTCTTTGTTTTAAGCATAATGGCTAGGGATTCAGGGTTGGAACCTGACTGCATAGGTTCAAATCCTGGCTCTAGCACTTTCACACTGAACAGCAGGTCAACAGAGGTAAGTTTCCTTAACCTTTGGTCAGAGTGTGTCCACTTTGTTTTTATACAGTGAGTTCTTAGGTACGATTTCTTCAAACAGTATCTTCTCAGTGTTAGGCATGTACATGATACCTTGGTTTTTGTATCCTCCTGAGATGCCAGCTGCTTCCACCAAGATTCTATTTATTTCAGTCAATGCCCTTGAACACTTGTGATCATAACTCTGAATAGAAAACTAGTGTCGCTTGCCATGAATGGAAATTGGTGGTAAGTGTAAAGGTGATAAAAGCTGCAGGTTTCATATTTTCAGTGGATAGCACTGTCCACCCAAAGTGCTGAGTTTGAGTCCTCCTCTGCCCATCCGAAGACATGAGATGTCAGGTGTTAAAGCCATTGAGGTAACTCAGAAGCATCAAGACTTGAAAAGAGCCCTGACTGGTGTGGCTCAGTGGAGTGAGTGCTGACCTGTGAACCAAAGGGTCACCGATTTGATTCCCAGTCAGGGCACATGCCTGGGTTGCAGGCCTGATCTCCAGTAGGGGGCACGTGAGAAGCAACCATGCATTGATGTTTCTCTCCCTCTTTCTCCCTGCCTTTGTCTCTGTCTACAAATAAATAAAATCTTAAAAAATTTGGGGGGGGGAGACTTGAAAAGGGACTTTCTCAGTGTCATCTTCCAAAATATTGGTGTTTCCTACCCTTCAGAAAACACTAGTAAAAGAAAGAGTTCTGTGAGCAGGAAACTTGAAAACCATTATTGTAGGTCACAGTAATCTCAAATTATGAGGGGAAAAACAGGCTGGGACTGGCATTTTTGAAAGGCTTTAGAAAGGCATTTAAAGAAACCTCTTCTATAGCATCCCAATACTTAAAATCTTCCAGAATCTGCACACGAGAGGACAGGAAGCTAATACATACTAGATGCAAGGGGTTACCTTCAAAGTGGTGCTGCAGATGGGGAAAAGGGACTTTTGTTTTGCTCTGAACATTTTTATATTGTTGGAATTTTTTTAAAGATTTTATTTATTTATTTTTAGAGAGGGAAGGGAAGGAGATAGAGAAACATCAATGTGCGGTTGCTGGGGGTCATGGCCTGCAACCCAGGCATGTACCCTGACTGGGAATCGAACCTGCGACACTTTGGTTCGCAGCCCACGCTCGATCCACTGAGCTACATCAGCCAGGGCTGGAATTTTTTTTAAAGAATGTAATTGTGCATTATATCTGTAATTAAATAGTACTGGCCATTGTGAAAAACCTGGGAAATACCACAAAGTATAAGGAAGAAACTTATTTAACTCAGAAACAAATACTTAAGATTTTCTTCACCTTTTTTTTTCTGTAATCACCATTTCTTGGGAATATCCTAAAGGCTGGACTCCTGCTTATATCCTATCACGAGCCCTTCCCAATATTATCAGGAAGTCTTCAAGAAAGTGCTGATGGGGCTAGACATTACTGAGACCATCTGGTTCTCTTCTTTTTTCAGGAAATCTTTATTTTTAGAGAGAGGAGGGGAGAGAGGGAGAGAAACATTGATGTGTGAGAAATACATTGATTGGTTGCCTCTTGCATGCCCCCAGCTGGGGACCTGGCCTGAAACCCAGGCATGTGCCCTGACTGGGAATCCAACTGGCCACTTTTTGGTTCACAGACTGGCACTCAATCCACCGAGCCACACCAGCCAGGGCTCGGTTCTCATCTGTTGGGGACAGAGGAGATGGCACTACCCAGCCCTTTTGTAGTGGAGCCAAAGTGACTAGTTCTGACTAAGGGAACATGAATGAAAGTGACCAGTAGCACTTTCAGGCTGAGGCAGTGATAAACTCCTGCAGAAGCTTCCAGATCCCTCCTTTTCCTGCCGTGGTAACCAAGGTCACATGTTCCAGCTGGTCGGGCTATACCCTGGTCTCTCAGGTGGATAGACCAGACCTAGCCACCCACTGTCCCCAACCCCTGCCAACCCACAGAGGACATGTAGTGTGAGTGACCAGAATAAACCATTGTTCTGTTCAGCCACTGAGATCTGACACTTAACTGTGTTGCCACAGCATAACCTAGTTCTTCCTGACATAGCAGTCTATTGACAGGGGTGCATGCTAGGCTTTAGTTAACTCAGTGTTCCCCAACCCTCTTTCAGCTATACACCATCGTCAGTTTTTGCTGTGTGTATACCATGTATTTTTCCCTTTAAATCAATTTACTTTTTTCCCCTTAAATCAATTTATTTTTAAAGAGGACTTTCTACCACTACCATGAGCAGGAAACCAGTGTCTTTTGTTAGTAAAGGAAAAAGGGGGGAAATGAAAATAAATGGCAACAGAGCCAAATATTAAATTCTAGCTAAAACTATTGCCAGAGCCTAAGGCCTGCTGTGTCTTTGTAGAGATATGTAAATACCATGCTGTCCGTGCTTTCTCCTTGACTAATTAGGATTGCACCAGAATGGAAAAGTGTGGTTTGATGATGCATCTGAGGATGGGCTGAAATTGTGTAGTTTCCCTCCCAGTCTTTGGGCAAACATATTTAACTGCCCTCTTAATATGGGATGGTTTTCACCACTGCACGCCCTCCCCCACTGGGACAGGAAAACTGGCAGGCAGGGACTCTATACACCCAGTAACCTGGCCAGGCATGTGGCATCAGGCTGAGAGAAGGAACCAGCACCTTTAGATTCAAAACTTTAATCAAAGAACCAACATACACACAAGGGCATTTCTACCCTGTCCCTCAATACCGGTCATTAGTTACAGAAACTGCTTCCCCTGCCCCTCCCATGGCTGCTGATTTTCCAAAGGGTCTCTGACTTGTGTGTGTGCTGTCAAAACTTAAGTGAACACACTTCTTGATTTGAGTTCCCACCTCTGGCCTACCTGTACACTTTGTAGTCCCCTTTGGCATGTAGCAGGCCTGTTGCCCAGACCAGACCATGCACGGGGAGTTGTACATTTTGGCCAACAGAAAACCAGTGTGCTCCTCCCTGTGCAGTGGGCCGAATGATCCACCATTAAATTCCCAGTTTCAACAACAGAACCAATCAGCAGAACTCAAGGCACAAGGTTTTAAAAGCTCAGGAGCACAAGGCACCTACTCCTAAACTTTTTTAGCACCAAGAATATGAAAGATATTAAGAGTCCAATGTCTTAATAAGATTCTGTTTGTGCTTCAGCAAACGCATGACTTGTTCACTTAGTGGGTAGGGCACAAAAGCCCAGAAATGAGGCACCATCAAGAGGGAGAAGGCTGTGTAGTTCCATGAGGTGAGTCTCTGCTGTAGAACAGGACTGGCCAAGGTGATCTGTTGACTTGACAGCTCCAAGAGGAAGGTTCATTTCCTTAATGGGCTCTCCAGCAATCCTCAGTGGCCCCAGAACTTACTGTGGCATGAGGGAATGTGGCATTTTAAGATGTCACTTGTCAATAACAGCACTCCCTATGAAAATGGTACCATCCATTTCCCTTGGATTCCAGAAGCTTCAAGGCAAGGGCAGGGTTTGCCATATTGACATTCCCTACCCTGGTGCCTAGCAAAGCGCCTGGTGAGTGGTCAGCTTAGAAAAATGGTGTATGAAGAACATTCTGGCAATCCATCACAGTTTTCACAAGCCTATCCTTTGTATAGTGTTAACTGTGACAACATCTAGTGCAGCTTTCCTGACTGAATCCAGCTGTTTCCAGTATCATTAACTCCCATGACAAATTGGGTATTGTTTTAAATTTAACCAACAACTTGAAATGCAGGAAGATTATGGGAAAAGGTGGCATGTGAATGTAGAAAGGGTCCTTTTGAATGAGGGGTATGGAAGGTTAAGAGTGGAATGTTTTGGCCATTTGATGTTAGTTTAAATGTTCTTACTGGCTTTCTGTGGACTAGTTAATACTAGGACAGAGCAGAGATGGAGGGGAAGGCAAGGTTAGACTTAAAAAAGATTCATGTGCTGAGTTTGGGGAACCAAATTAAGTCAAAGGCATTTTGGAGAAAAACTTAAAAAAAAAAAAAGACATTAGCTGTGGCTGGTGTGGCTCAGTGGATTGAGTGCCAGCCTGCAAACCAAAGAGTCACTGGTTCGATTCCCAGTCAGGGCACATGCCTGAGGTGCGGGCCAAGTCCCCAGTAGGGGACGCATGAGAGGCAACCAGACATTGATGTTTCTCTCCCTCTCTTTCTCCTTCTCTTCCCTTCTCTCTCAAAATAAATAAATAAAATCTTAAAAAAATATTATGACATTAACTGCAGTAAAGAGAAGGTTGCTAAGTCTTCTCTTCCTTTTAACATAAAAGAGTATATTTATATGTGATGCACACATATAGCTCTTGCTTGGTGAGTACTATGTGCAGGGCATTCAGTTCTAAGTGCTTTGCACCTATTTGTCCTCACAACAGCCCTCTGAGGTAGGTCACTATTATATACTGAGGTCCTGAGAGATAATAAGAGTCTGCAGGTCACTTAGGTGGCAGAGGTGAGATTTAATCCAGCAGACTGTCCCCAGAGTCTATCTCTGAATTTGGATGCTACACAGCTTCTTTTGTGTTTTCATTGTTTTAATGAAACTTGTGTGCAAATTTTCCTAGTCAATCTTTATTAATAAAGAGACTTATCTATTTTGCAGGGGGTGGAGGGAGGATGGACTTACCATGCGATGGTTTCAACTTTAGGTCTCAGATGTTGGGCCCTGCTGCAGCCTGGCAGCCACAAGAAGTATTGCTACTTGTTACTTTTGAGTGTGGACTTTCTGATGTCGGTGGAGACCTACATAGAAGCGAAAGGCTTTCTGACAGTGTTGACACTGATATGGTTTCTCTTGGGTGTGAATTCTCTGGTGCTCACTGAGATGCGCTCTGAAGCCAAAGGCTTTCCCACACACATCACAGATGTAAGGCTTCTCCCCAGTGTGAATTCTCTCATGCTGCCTCAGATTTGTTTTCTGGGAAAAGGATTTCCCACATGCGACACACAGGAAGGGCTTTTCCCCAGTGTGAACTCTGAGGTGAACAGAAAGGCATGAGCTCTGACTGAAGGCTTTCCCACATTCCTGACAAAAGTAAGGCTTTTCCCCAGTGTGAACTCTCTGGTGTCGAATAAGTAGAGCATTCAGGCTGAAGGTTTTCTCACAATCGCCACATTTATAGGGTTTCTCACGTGTGTGAACCCTCTGATGCTTAGAAAGGCGCCAGCGGTGTATGAATGTCTTTCCACATTTATTACACTCAAAAGATGTCTTTCTAGTATGACTTCTCTGATGCTGAATAAGGTACTTACTGTGCACAAAGACTCTGGCACACTGGTTACATTTAAAGGGTTTCTCCACAGTGTGAATTAACTGATGTTCTGAGAGATGTGCACTGTGGTTGAAAGTCTTTCCACATTCTTTACACTTAAAGGGGCACTTGCTCTCATGTAGGCACTGATGTTTGGTGAGGGGGGTGCTGTGGATGAAGGCCTTCCCACAGTCCCCACATTTATATGGCCTCACCCCAGAGTGGCTCATCTGGTGGCGAATGAGTTGTGTACTTTGGCCAAAGGCTTTCTCACACTGGTTACACTCAAAGGGCTTCTCCCTGGTGTGAAGCCTCTCATGCTGAGTCAGGTATTTGCTGCAGTCGAAGGTTTTCTCGCATTTGTTACACTTAAAGGGCTTCTCACCAGTCCCTAGATGCTCTTTTTGTTGTAGGTTCTGATTCAAGATCTTTCCACTCTCGCCAAGTCCTTGTTCTTGGGTGTGAACACTTTGGTGGCTCATTAGGGTCGACCTGCAAACGAAGTGCTCACCACACTCCTGACATTCATGGCGGACTTCCACAGCATGGATTTTCTGGTGTTGAACAAGGTGTTCATTATGGCTAAAGGTCTGCTTGCATTCGGCACAGCTGTAGGGCCTTTCTGTGGCATGAACAGACTGGTGTCGCATCAGGTGGGAAGGCCGGCTGAAACCCTTGGTGCATTTGTCACATTTGTGGGGCCTGTACCCCGTGTGAATCCTCTGATGTTCACTCAGGTGAGTGTTTTGGTAGAAGGCTTTCCCACATTCATTGCATTTGTAAGGCTTTTCTTTACTGTGAACCCTTTGGTGGCTCCTTAGGGTCAAGATATAGCTGAAAGCTTTCCCACACTCATCACACTTATAAGGCTTTTCTCCAGTGTGAACAGACTGATGCTTGATAAGGGCTGACCTCTGCCTGAAGGCCTTCCCGCATTCCTGACACTCAGAGGTAGTTTTCACAGAATGAACTTTCTGATGTTGCAGGAGGTGTTTGTTAAAGTTGAAGGCGGCCTTGCATTTGGCACATTCATAGCGTTTCCGCATGTGGGTCTTCTGATGCCTAGTAAGATGAATGATTTGGCCGAAACTCTTGCCACACTCATTGCACTTATAGGATTTACCACCTTTGTGGGTTTTATGCTGCTCAACAGGCTGTGAGCCAGGACCTGATGGGTGGTCACTGTCCTGACTCTTACATGTTTCTTCTTCAGTGTGAATTTTCTGATGTAACAGAAGGTGTGTGTTGTGACTGAAAGTTTCCCCGCACTTTTCGCACACATAGGATGCGTAGCCTGTTTGAGTCGTTGGATACTCAAAAAGGCAAGGACTCTGGTCGGAACCATTCTCGTCCTCTTCGTTCCCAGGTGGTTTCTCCCTCATATGAATAATCCAGTGCTGGAGGAGACTGCAACTCCGGCTGAAGTTCTTCCCACATTCACTACACTTATATGGTTGCACTACTTCCTGGACAGTAGTATATTGCTGACTCTGGCCTGAGTGGGAATCGAAGTCATTCCTACACTCCTGAGACCTAGCTGGCATCAGGCTCTTCTCGGAAACATCAGAGATCAGGGAATCCTCTCTGGTGAAAAGGAGGGACTCACGACTGAGGCTGCTCTTGAGTTTATGACCCGTGTACTCTGTGGAACTATCCTTGTTGGTGACAGTGTCAGAGCTCAGAAGACTTTCTGGATCTCCTAGCAAACTATCCAACCAGCTCTCACCCATGCAGGCTTCTCCCAAGTTAGGGTTCCAGAGGCCGTCCTTGGAAAATGTCTCCGTAATCTCCTGAGAGAGTCCTTCTTCTGAGAATTCTTGCAGCAGGGAGATCTTGGCCTCAGCTGTGTCTGAAAGAGAGAAAGTGCAAATGCCTTAGTTCTCCTGGGTGGAAAGACAGGAGCTGCAGGGTGAGGACACTGACAAGAGAGAGAACAGGGGATGGGTCCTGAGTCAGGCCTGTCCATCAGGGGCTGAAGAAGAGGTCAAAATGGTGATCCAGTTGGAACTGGCATCACAGGAAACAGGGAAACCATGTCCAAGGGGATTTAAGATAGGAGCTGGGCAACTGCAGGGCCTCCACGGGGTTGGGGGTGTCCTCTCAGCAGACACTCTCCACCATCATCCTCATCAGCTGAGACCTACTTCCTAGAGAACATTGATCAAGGGACAAGAAATGATAACAATGCCATACAACTGTTAACACAAAGGCTATATCTGCTCATTGATAAAGTCGTGGCTCCACGTGCTTGGAAACGGCCTTATGTTAAAGTGGCAGAAAGAGAAATCCGAGAGAGCAGGAATCTGTGCCTGGGTTAGTCACCTACGTGAAAACACTGCAGGAGGCTGCAGAGGACTCGTGCTCACGAGCTCCTGGGTGAGCCAAGAATGGAGCTGCACATTGACCAAGCTGTGCAGCCACCACTCCATGGTTTCTGGTTCAGGGACTGTTCTCTTATTAACAATCAAACCATGAGAAAAGTCTGTCATGCTCTAGATAAGGCCTCTGCCTCTTCTTTATCCCAGTGGGGACATCTTGACCAGCGTCACACCAGGGAATCTTTACTATTTAAACTGATCCCCCTGGGGGAACTGTGGCCTGGGAGAGAGCAGAGCAAATGCCCAGGCTTGAGTTGTAGCCATCTGCTGTGTTCCATGGGCCAGGAAGGAGGGCTGGGCCTGCATGAAGGGGTCAAAACATTTAGACCAGGGTGTCCACAGTATCAGGGGGCATGAAGCAGGAAGATGGAGACCAACTTAGGGAATGGAAGGCTGCCCCCTGCTGAGTCTGGAAGGACCAAGGAGAGGACAGGAAAGGTACCTGGACAGCCATGTGCTGAACGCTGAGGTAGACAGAGAGACAGCAGGCATGCAGAATGAGGGTCCCATCTCTGTCAGGACAAAGGGACAGAAGCCAGCATGTGGAAGACTAAAATCCCAGAAGCTGGGGGTCCTGATAGTTGGGTAGACATACTCCATGAGAGTACAGAGGGCCATGCCCCAGGATCCCACCACCCTCCCACCAGGGGCTGGTGGCCCCTCCTCTCCCACTTACCAGGGCCTGTCACTTCTGGACTTCCTCTCACCAGGGTCTTTAGCTCTTCCCCACCATCTGGATTGGTCAGGCTGGGTCTCAGGGGGTCTGCAGGGAGAGAACAGCATTGTTGTCAACCAGGATGTGGAGGACATTCACCTGCTCAATAGGAACCTTCTGGATCTCAACTATGCAATGCTTTATCCAGCATGCTTTATCTAGCTGCAGCGTTAGCCGATTTTGGGGACACCCACCCTGCAGGGTTCCTGGTCCAGTGGAAGAGGGCCTGAAACAGTCATAATCCAGGATGTTCAGAGATATGACAGCTGGGGCTGTGGGCACAAAACTTGCAACACCTCAAGGGATTAGCAGAGCTTGCAAGATGAAGAGGCCCATACTTAATCATTCATGGTTCACTCATTTGCCTATGGACCACACATCGCCCGAGGCCTCTGGGGGTTGGGCCCTGTGATAGAGGATGTCGGGGTTCTAGAACTCAAGCAGTCCTGTACTGCCCTCCCCCAACTTCCTCAAGGAAGGGAGCCGAGTCACAATCCAGGGGAAAGGCCACTGCTGGCTTCGAAGATGAAGGAAGGCGCCATGACGCAAGCAGAGCAGGAAGCTTCTGGAAGCTGAAAAGGGGCAAGGAAACAGATCTCCCCTGGAGCCAGCCCTGCCAACACCTTGGTTTTAGCCCAGTCAGGTCCATTTTAAGCTTCTGACCCACAGAACTGTAAGAATGTGTTATTTTAAGCCACTACACTTGTGGCATTTGTAGGAGCAGCCATAGGAAACCCATACATATACACAGATGAGCAAGGGCATCAAAGGGAATGCATTTCTCCTGCAGGCTGGAGTTGAAAAACTGAAAAGAAGCTGAGACTGGATCTCCCAAAAGCTGCTTCGATAGCAGATATTGGGTACAGTTTGGAGAAAACCTGTCCCAATGTGATAAAATTACATATAGTTTCCAGTATAGAATCTTTTCTTTTTCTCATCTTTTGGAATAAATTCCTGTTTTGGGAAAAGAAAGAACTGAGACACTGGGAAAAAGGAATGAGCTGATCCAACTGAGGTGAGTGAGTATTATGGACCTGGGACGCTGGGACCCTGGAGCTGCACAGGTAGGTCCCAAGCGGAGTCTCAGTCAAGCCACTTGCTTACTGTGCGATGCTGGTGGTCACAGCCTGTGAAAAGGGCTAACAGAGCAGGCTGGCTGCTCTCCACAGAAAAGCCTGCTCTCAAGGCTGCCCTGGGCTGGTGTCTGGGAACCTGGATTTCAGGAGGGTTCCAGCATTCTCTGACCAAACAGAGGGGCTCTGCATGCCCAAACTGTTCTGCTGAACACCTGCTTTCCTTCTGAGTGTCTGGAACGTTGGTGTGTTCCAGGCAGAGAGTGCCTCCGTGACCAGCCCTGGGTGTGGAATCTCTAAGGAGCATCCCTGGTCAACATTTCACACATGCTGTCACACTCGTAGCTGGGGGAATTAAACGTGTCCTGTATGACTCCACGGGGAGAGGGCTCTGGAAGTTGTCTCTAGTCTCCCGTGCACTTGACCACACGTGCCTTTCCCCTTACTAACTGTGCTGTCTGTCCTTTCACTGTCACGGATCATGGCATAAGGACAACTATACGGTAAGTCCTGCACATCCTAGTAAATCACCAAACCTGGGGGTAGTCCTGGGAACCTAAATGCGGCTACAAAAATGACTCCCCCTCTTTCAATAGGTTTAAAAAGCTCAGCAAAATACGGACAGTCAAACTTCCTCATGGGGTGACTGGAAGATTGAAGGAGTTCTGAGGATTGACTCAGCGCAGGACCTGGCTCCTGACACAGCACCTCTCACTATTCATTCATTTACTAAGGAGCCATTTACTGAGTCCCCATGGCAGGTACTGCTTGCTGCAAGTGCCAGCATCCACCAGTGAGCAACACAGGTGCCCTCAGGAAGCTCCCATCTGGCAGGAGGAGACAGACCATAAAAGCAGCAGCCAGAAAATGAAGGAGGGGGGCAAGCTAAGCAGGAGAGAGAGGAGGGAGTGTTAATGGGGTTGCAATTCTAGGCAGAGGAGAGAGCAAATGTGAAGACCCCAAAGTGTCAGGATGAGGAATAAAGAGCAAAGTGCTGCTGAAGCTGTGGTAGCAGATGGGCTAGAGCCGGGCTTGTCAACCTTGCCACCACTGACACTGGGGTCAGGTAACCCTTAGTCGTGGGGGTTTTCCTTGCCTGCTAGGCATTGCCAATATCCCCTGGGGGGCAGGCTCAGCCAACTGAGCACTGCTGAGCTAGATCATGCTGGTTCTGATGTGTTTAGGAGCTAGGAGTTCATCCTGGGGGTGACAGGGAACCACAGGGGATCACCAAGCAGGGCTGGGGTGCACACTCACTCAGCAAGAAGAGATTCTGGTAGTTGTCCAGTGCCTTGTCCCAGAACAGGTCCTCCTGATCCAGCCCCAGCTGCTCCCAGTCCTCCAAAGTGAAGTCCATGGCCCCGTCCTTGAGGGTCACAAATTACTGAAACACAACACACTATCAGTGACTCCAGGGCTGGGGAAGGGCCCAGTGGCTCACTCAATGTACCCCACCCCCACCCTCCGTGTGCCAGGCCTTTGGAAAAATGGTCTTGTGAGGACCTTCCAACCTAAGAGACTGGGCATTCCCATATATTGTAGGCAAGGACACAAAGTCTTGGTGAAGGGACACAGGCAGGACTTAAACTCAGGTCTGCTCGATCCTAAAATCTATTGATTTCTGGCTTTCGCTTTTTCAGTGTTTGTTCAAGATTTGAAGCTTTTATTATGGAAATTTTCAAATGTATACCCAAATAGAGACATGCACGCAATAAACGGCCACATATCTGTCACCCAGCTTCAATCCCCATCCTATTAACATGTTTGTTTTGTTCATTAAGCCTCTTTCCCCACTTTTATTTTATTTTTTGGTCGAGGAAAAAAGACTTCAAAGTTAATCCCAGGTGGCATCAGATCTCACCTGTGAAAACTTCAGTATTCACAGGAGAACCCCTTACTACTGCACACATATGTACGCCACATCCAGAGTCAGTATTCGGATTTGTCCTGCATGGCAATGGTGGTTTTTTCCTCCCATTTTTTTTCTTGTGGTAAAAGCCATACAAAATCTCCCATCTCAACCAATTTTTAGTGTACAGTCCAGTGGCATTAAGCACATCCACACTGTTGCACAACTATCCCCACCATCCATCTCCAGAAATCTCTTCATCTTGCAAAACTAAAACTGTGTCCCCATTAAACACTGACTTTCCATTTCCCTACCCCCAGTCTGTCACCTGCCATTCTGCCTTCTGTCTCTGATTTTGACTGGGTTCAATGCTATGTTTTTATAGTTGGCTTGTTTGAATCAGAAACCAAGGAGGCCTATGCTCTGTACTGAATGGGCTGATATGCTTCGGAAGGGTTTTTATCTACACCTGCACCTTTCCGCCTTTTGAATCCCATGTTCCAGATTCAGCAAGTCCCAGTCTGGATACAGTGCTTCTCGGTATCATTTAGCTACTCCTCTGCCTGATGCACTTCCTGGAAACTAGTCAGTGGAGCAGCAGCCTGATTAGATTCAGTACAACACGGAGCGGGCAAGAGCCCTCATACATGATGCTCGATCCACTTCTGGCTGCATGACAGCTGGAAGCACCTTTCTGCCAATTTTAGTGATGCCATTTCATTTAACTTTAAAAGTTCCCAGGGAACAGAATAGAAATTCAAAGCTAGAGAAGTACTGACAACAAAAAGTGGCAGCCTTCCCCAGCACCCTATTTCCAGGTGAACCTGTGGCTATCTGGTGTGTTCCTTCCAGACCTCCACCATCACACACACACATACACATTTCAAATAAGAATGAAACCTGTCTATAGTTTGGGTCTCATGTATGGCCCCACTACTTTCCTCTGTGGGTAACTGTTGGCAATTAAGTCACATGCCCCCTCAGAGCCCTGCTTTCTACCCCATCTCAAGGGCTTTTCTGGGAAGTGACTGATGCTGCTGGGAAGCTCCGGCATTGTTCCTAGCAGACAGGAAGGACTCAACCAAAAGGCAGTTGTGTCTAACCTGACGGGGCTGATGGACATAGACAGGGACAGTCACATCCGGGGCGATTCATTCCACAGTGGGGGCAGCAGGCTCCTCTGTGGGAGGAGACCAGAGCTGGGTCTCAAAGGCTGTGCAAGACTTACCAGCCACGGATGGGAGGTAGGGTATTCTAGCCTGAGGGAAGAGCCTGAGAAAAGGCTGGGGGGCTGGAAAGTATAGTGGAACATTTTACTACAAGTCCAACAAGGGAGTATGGCTTATGTGAGTACAAGGGAAGGTAAGATGCCATGGAGGAGCGCAGGACCCAGATCATGCAGGAAAAAGCTGAGAAACCTGGATTTTATCCTGTAAGCAATGAGGTGCCTGGAAGGGTAGTGAGCAGGAGAGTAAGAACGTGAGAGTTTTACTTAAATATTGCTCAAGACTTCCAGGATGGATGGTTCAGTTAGTTGGAGTGTCATCCCATACTTCAAAAGGTTGCAGGTTCGGTCCCTACAGGAGGCAACTGATCAATGTTTGTCTCTCACATTTCCCTCACATTTCTCTCTCTTTCTCTGTTCTTCTGTCTCCCTCCCCCTTCCTCTCTCTAAAATCAATAAACATATCCTCAGGTAAGGATTAAAAAGAAAAAGATCACGACCACGAGAAGACAGTGAGCCCAGAACAAAGGCAGGCCAACTGTGCAGCTTTTGGGGATGATCTGTTAGGGTGGAGGGACCCTCAACTCACCTCAGTAGTAGCCAACTAGGCCCAGCAGTCTGGTTTAAGCTCCCCCTCCTTCCCCTCCTTCCCCTCCACATTCCCAGCTGGCAGCACTGCAGGAAGGACAAGGAAACTGGGAGAAAGTCTTCCTTCCTTCTAGGACTGATTTCTTGGCCATGTTGAATGAGTCCCCAAAATGTCCAGAAGTAGGATCAGTCAGAACATCAGTTTCCCTGCAGGAATCACAATTGTTATTTATTGAAACTACCCCAGCCCCAAGTTTCCACTGTGTTTCAGAGCTGACACAGCAACTTCACAACCATTCTCAGCACTTAATCACAATAAGTACATATTTGGGACCTGTCTCACGCACTTCTCTGTTGTAGCACAGCACAGAATATCTGCTAACAGAACACGTATTTCTCATTGAACCCTTGGGACAATGCTTCTGAGAGCCTGGATTATCTGTCGTCTCTAGAATTTGTGTCCAAGTCAGTTGGCCTCCAAACTGTTGCTATTTCAACAGCAGCAGAATTCTTCAACTTTCTTTTTTTTTAACCTTGACCCATAGTAACATGGACAATCTATATCATGACTGCTCATTCACATGCATAACTAAACAAAAGTTTCATGAGATAACACTTAATCTCACAAAGCAGAATGTCTGGCATGGTTTTTATTCTAGTCACTTTTTTCCATGGAAAAAAAAATTATAGTCACTGCTCAACTGAGTTCTTTTCATGACCCATAATATGCAAAACACTGATGGCTTTTTACACATTTATAGCTCCTGTGAATTTCCTAAGGAGCAGGTGTCAACAGAGCACTGAAAACACTCCATATCATGAAGCAGCAGGATGACTTAATGACCAAGGCCCACAAACTCTCAGATTTTATAAAGGTGACACACATTTATACAATATATTTCATTAGAATCCCAGTGCAATGTAGGACTGTAACAGGGTGCAGCCAAGAGGGGGGCCCCAAACAGGGATATGTAATAGGGTCCAGAACTCAAGGTGTCCAGGAAATATTAGAAAAATATATATAGGATGACCCCACCATCCCCCAAGTCTGAGCCGGAGGAATGGGGCACATGGAGCAGGGCCATTCAGAGCTGTGTTGTTTTGCATTTTTTTTTAACAAATTTTTAAAAAGACTTATTTATTTATTTTTAGAGAGGGAAGGGAGGGAGAAAGAGAGAGAGAGAAACATCAATGTGTTGTTGCTGGGGGCCATGGCCTGCAACCCAGGCATGTGCCCTAGCTGGGAATCGAACCTGTGATGCTTTGGTTCGCAGCCCACGCTCAATCCTGAGCTATGCCAGGCAGGGCCGTTTTGCTTTTTTTTTTTTTTTTTAAGAGCTTATTTATCTAGTTTTAGAGAGAGGAGAAGGGAAGGGAAGGAGAGAGAGGGAGAGAAACATCAGTGTGTGGTTGCCTTTCACATGCCCCCTTCTGGGGACCTGGCCTGCAACCCAGGTATGTGCCCTGACTGGGAATCGAACCACTACCCTTTGGTTCGCAGGCCCGCACTCAATCCACTGAGCCACACCAGCCAGGGCCAGAGCTGTGTTGTACAGCAACAGCTTTGCAGCTAACCTCTGGCATGGGCATTTAACATACATATAACTTTTAACTGGTTTCATGGATATGTTAAATAGCTGTGGCTGTGCTTTGAGCCAGGGGGATAGAAGTGACTTCCACCCAAGATGTAACTGGGAGCAACTCCCCCTGGTTACAGCGCCTGCGTGAAAGATTAGCTCCATGCCATGGAGCCATATCTGCCCAGGCTCACTATGGCAGTCCAGGAAAGCTGGAAGAATACAGGAATGCTGGCAGGTGTAACTGATTGTAGGAGGAATCGGAAATGGGGCTGCAGAGGAAGACTGGTGCAGGGATTTAAACCCAGATATGGCAGCCATACAAGGGAGAACCTCACGGCTTTGGGGTGCTCCCTTTTGCCACGTGGCTTAGGAAATAGGACAGACTTTGCCTGGAAGAAAAGGGGTGAAAGGACTCTTGCTGGTGGGCCATGAGAAGGTGCCACATGGCTTTGTATTCACTGGAGATCGTGGCAGCAACACAGCTGATGGTGCCAGGAACTCGAATCATGGACTGCTACTTCTTTTCCTGAGATACGGTACCCCAGACTAGGGCAGAGGGAGAAGGAAGGACTGTGTGCATCTGTGGGTATTCTAAAGGACTTTAGTATTTTAATGAAGACATTAAGTCACTACTCTAAGTCTGTATAACTTTTAAATAATTCCTTTTGTTTTCACAAATCTCTGGCATTGAGAAACGTCTTTCCTCTGGCAGTAGGCATAGCGAACCTCGTTGGGGGGGATCCCCAGAGAAAAAAGGGGAGGTCCTTTTTGGTAATAGTATATCATTCACCCCCACCCCCGGACTGTTCTGTAACAGGACAGGCAGTATTTTGCTATTGAACATTTCAATATTTCTAGAGCGAAGGGTATAAATACTCACACTAGGTAGGATAATTAAAGTTTAATTAAAGGTTATAAATTACAGCAGTTCTGGTCAGGTTTGGGCACCAAATTTATGAAAAACAAAAAACATCTTCCAGGCTTTCCAGATATTGTGATAACAGATAAGGCAATGCAGTATGGCAGTAAGTGCTAACATTCACTCTCAATGATTTTCTTCACATGACAGATGTAAGCCTCAACTTGTGAGTATACTTCAGTCCATAGATACTATATTTGGCCCACACGGTGCTGGCAAATGGGAGGTCTTGAAAGAAAATTACCTAAAGAAGCCCCAAACTGGGATATTCCACCTATAAATTCGCTCTCCAGCTTCTGAAAAATCTTAGGACTTGGCCATGCTGGGTCTGCATTCCCACGAAGCTAGCTAGATGGGGCTCATTTAAATCTACCTCCACCCCACCCCTAGGAGGTAAATACTCCCTAATGTCCCACAGTCCTCACCAGCAGATTCTCTCCTTTAGCTGAGCTTGCAATATCTGCCTAGTTTCCAAATTACGATCTGTCCACATCTCATGCACCCTCAACCCTGGGAGAAAAGAAACGGGAACCCTCAAGGTCACCACCCAGGCTGTCAGAGTTACTTAAACTAAACCATAGGCCCTGAGGTCTTCCTGCTTCTTAGTGTGGGACGACGGCCAGATCATTCACCTTCTCTTGTGCCTCAGTTGCCACATGTACAAAATGGGGCAAGCACAACAGATCCGCAGGCACTCATCCGTAATTCTAAAAACCAAAAAAGCTCTGAAAACCAGAACTTTATTCATAAATTAGCAGCAAAACTTAATCCGAATTGCCATAGGCAACGTACAGTCCTTTCAGCGTGTATTCAAGCCTTTCCTGGCAGAAATACTCGATTTCCCGGGTCTGATTCCCAAGATGATCCTGGCGCCAAGGACATCCGAGAAAACCGGGGAGCTACACTAATCTCTCAGCGTTGATGAGGAGGTTAGAGGAGAAAATGCGAGGGCAGCACGCAGAAAGCGCTCAATTAAATGTTCAGTCCTTTGACCTCCCGAAAGAACTCCCATTCATGCATCCCTCAAGATCCTGCTCAACTCTACCAACAACTTCAAGCAAACCACCCTCTCGTGCCTGGGTCTCCTCACCCCAAAATAAAGTGAAATGGAACGCTGCCGACGAGGACTGGAAACGACTTAAGCGACAGCCTGGCCCGTAACATGCTCTGAACCAGGGTTCAAGAGTCCACCTAGAGCTACCGCCCAAGGCAACGCGCCCTTTGCCGCGGACGCCGAGAGAAGTTTTCATTAACACTCAGGGAAAACCGGAGCGCCCCGCCGCCCAAACCTTCAGAGTTCTCAGTAATCCCAATCCCGGCGTCTCCTCACCTCGATATTGCAGTGCGCAGTTAACAGCCGCGACCCCAGCCCAGGGAGAGCCAGAGACCGGATTCCTCTCACAGGTTCCGCGTCACAGGTGCTGCGTCACAGCCACTATCAGTGCCTCCTGAACTTACTCGGAATTTCTCCACGCGGGATAGTCTGCGCCAGCGCAAAGACTACGTTTCCCAGAGTGCTGTGCGGACGCTTTCATTGTCTCCCTAATTTCCTCCACATCCCGGTCTTTAGAGGTCCCGCCGAGCACTTCGGTGAGGAGAAACAGAATACGCGTCAGGTGGCAACTGGTATTGAAGTCCAGCTTTTATTCTGCTGAAGAACAACCTAATTAGCGTTCAGTCTTTTCTAGAAGAAGAGGAGGCTTTTGATTTCTCAAGGGAACAGCGGGAGGGTTGCCATAGAAACACGTTCAGACAATTGGATTCCCAAGAAAACGCGCGGAAGGGGCGAAGTAGAGGCGGGAGAAATAATGTGACCTCTGTTGATTGGCGGAGAGACGCCCCGCAGTTTATTCCTCCTTACCATTGACACCACCTTGGCACATGCGCAGTGGAACCAGGCAGCGTTCCAAAAGGGAAAAGAGTTGAGCCGTCGGGGACTGACCCCACTACCAGCCGCGAAGGCGTCTGGGAAAGGGAGTTCCGTGGTAGGCAGGCACGGGACAGCCGGGGGCAGGAGGGTCAGCGGTGCCTGCGCGGGCGCAGTCCTGCATCCGGGCTGAGAATGCGTGCGCAGATCCTTCCTCTCAAGCGGAAGTTTGCAGGGGGTCACTGAGAAGGTGAGTCCAGTCCCCCAGGTGTCCGAGGATCTACCCCATAGGTATTTGGTCTCCACTCCGCTCAAGTCCAGAAGTGAGGTGACGTCGAGGTGTAGCAGGGGGAAGTCTCTTGGTACCCTACGCACAATTCGGTCGAGTTGCCGTGACGTCAGCACGACCCTTTGTGAGAGGCGAAGCCCCTGGGAGATTTTGGGATGTAAGAAGTTTCTGGTCGCTGGGGTAATTGGCCTGTCTTAACTAACGATCCCCAGCCTCTTTCGGCTCTTCGTGGTGGGCGTGGCTACGACTGAGACTGGCGGAGCGAATCGAGAGTTTGACAGATGCCCCCGTTGGGCAAGTCATTTCTTGTTTCTGCTTAGGGCCGGCCTGAGGCGAGTCACGGTTTCCTTAACAACGATCCCTCCTACGCTACAGTGGAGTCTAGATTCTAGTTCTTTTACTGTGCTGGGTCTCATAACCTTTAAGAAGGGGCACAATGTTTAACACGTATATGTTCAGTAAATACTTGTTGAATAAATAAAATAAATGGGTGAATGAGTGATAAAGACTAGCCTGAATGTTGGAGTCGGGTTTTAGTCCCGAACTAGCTGTGTGACCATGGACAGGCGACTTCTGTACTCTTGAAGTAATCTAGCAAAGTGTCAGTGTATTAGTCAGACAAGGCTAGAGTGTGCTGTAGTAACAACCCCAAATCTCACTCCTTTCTTCCATCCGTATTTATTGAGCTGTTGCCATAACACTATCTCTCTCTGACCTAATAAATAGATACTTGCTCACAGTTTATCTTGGTTCCCCCCCGACCCCCAGAATGTGAGCTTTGTTAGGTGAAGAGCCATGTTTGTTTCCTTTGCTGCTATACACCCAGTGATTGACAAATATTAGGAGTTCAGTGAATAATTATTGAGTGAATGAATGAAATTAGCACAGGCTGGCTACAGTAGCCAATGCTCACTAAATATTAACCATTATCTTTCTCTTACATGTGAAGTGACCTGAGTCAGCCTCTCCACCTTTATTCACTTACAGGACTCGGTTTAGATGCAGATTGCAGCCCAGTGAATCTGAGGGCCAGACCTCGACCCAGTAAAGGTACCATGCCTGCAGGCACATGCCCCTTAAGCCCTGTTCACCACCAATAGCCTGCTACTGCTCCATCTCTTCTGTGTCACTGCTCTGATACTCTAGTCCCAAGAGGACCATTGTCATGGACATGACATGGTCCCTGGGCAGGTGTTTGCCCCATCCTAGAGGCCATCTTTATGCAAGGACACTCAGCAAATTCTGCTTAAAGCCACTTAAAACCCCCACAGATTTTCAAATGTTTGTTTCCATGAGTAATCTAGCAAAGTGTCAGTGTATTAGTCAGACAAGGCTAGAGTGTGCTGTAGTAACAACCCCAAACCTCAGTGGCTTAGTCCAAACACATTTCTCACTAATACAAAGTCTGGAACAACTCCCCAGGGCCACCATCCTCCAGGCAGTTTGACCTAGAGCAGGGGTGTCAAACTCATTTCCATCCGGGACCACATCAGCCTTGAGGGTGCCTTCAAAGCTCGGAATGTAATGTTAGGACTGTATAAATGTAACTACTCCTTAACCAGGGGCAAGGAGCTCTACACTCTGCCCTTTGAAGGCACCCACGAGGCTGATGTGGCCCCCAGTGAAAATGAGTTTGACAGTTGTGATCTAGAGGATATCCATTTCAGCGCTGTTGCCAGGACAACAAATTATGAAGTTACACAACCAGTCAGAATTACAGACTTCCTAGAAGCTGCAGGATGCCTGGCAGCAGTCTTTGCAGGCAGCTGTCTGACGCCCTCCTGTGTGGCAAATAACAAGAGGGCAGTTCTATTCCACAGCGGGGTTTCTGCTCTTCTGCAGACCTAGGGGAGGAGGAACCCTTTTCTCCAGCTGAGATGCCTTTCATTAGCTGTTTGGGCTGCCTGTGTTTTTTCAAGGGTGGGCCCCTGAATTCCACGAGGCAGCACCAGTGGGAACTGAGAGGCCTGAGAAGCTCAGAACTTACAGTATGGAAAGAGAAAAGGGGAAAATAGAAATAGTAACAAGTAGAATCTATTAAATGAGATACAGGGCATGACATGGTAATAGCAGCCACTACCATAAAAGGCTTTCCATGAGCCAGGCCCTGTTCTCAGCACTTGCTGTACCATATTTTTTGGACTATTTTGGGAGGAATAATGGTTGTTAATGCCGCTGTTCTGTTTACATTTACATTGGTGAAATATTGTTATTTATGTTATTAAATATTTTACCACATTTTTTGCTTCAAATTTTTTTTTCCTATTTTCTTCTTCTAAAACCTAGATGCATCTTATGATCCCAAAAATATGGGTAAATGTATTCAGTTAGGCCTCAACACCCACTCTATCACACAGAAGCCCCATCTCATGGCTGGGCAGCATGAAGCACAGATGGGTTAGGTTAGGTGCCTAGCACATAACAGATCTTGAACTCAAATCCAGGTAGCCTGGGACAAGAGCCTGTGATTTTAAAGAACTCTTCTGTTCTGCAGTTCCAACAGAGCCCAACCTTTGCTGTGAAGAAAGGACAAGGGTTTAGTTAGACTGAGCTAGACACAGAAATACTCTATGATCTCACTTATATGTGGAATCTAAAAAAAGTTTGATTCCTAGTGCTAGAGAGTAGAATAGTGGGTACCAGTGGCTGTGGGGGGAAGGGGGAGATATGGGTCAAAGGGTACATACTTTCAGTTATGAAATGAGTAAGTTCTGGTGCCCTCTAATGTATAGCATAGTGACTATAGTAAATAATAGTGTACTATACACTTGAAATTTGCTAAGAGTATCTCAAATGTTCTTACCACACACCCAAAAATAATAACCATGGAAGGTGATGGATATGTTAATTAGTTTGATTGTGGTAATCATTTCACTATGCATACATATATCAAAACATCACAGGTACCTTAAATATACGAAAATTTTATTTGCCAAGCGTAAAAAGGAAAGAACTTTCTCTTGCAAGATGAAATGAAGCTACAAGCCCAAGTTTATTTTGACTTCTATTTCGATAGTCCAGCTTATAATTCGTACTGTACACTAAGTCTGACAGGGGTGTCAAACCCATAGCCCGAGGGCCACATGCAGCCCAGGATAGCTATGGATGTGGCCCAACACAAAATCATAAATTTACTTAAAACCTTTTTTTTGCTCATCAGTTTTTGTTAGTGTTTGTGTATTTAACATGTGGCTCAAGATAACTCTTCTTCTTCCAGTATGGCCCAGAGACACCAAAAGTTTGGATACCCCGTCTTACAATAAAGAAAAAATAAGATAATTTTTTCCTTTTGCTATTTAAAACATATTCGTTTAAAGTATCTATTGCACTGTCATCCTTCCTGATGTTCTCTTCACTTATTAACTAGTCTAATCCTGCTTTTATGGACTGAACAGTATCCTGTAAAAATTTGTATGTGGAATCCCTAAATCCGAGTACCTCAGAGTGAGACCATATTTGGAGACAGGGCCTTTAAGGGAGTACTAACATTTAAATAAGTTTGTTAGAGTGCACCTGCTGTGGTCTGAATGTTTGGGTTCCTCTGAAGTTTCTAGATGGAAATCCTTATGCTCATTGTGTTTATAGTAGGAGGTGGGGCCTTGGGCAGGGGGCATTAAATCATGAAGGTAGAACCTCTTGTAATTGAGATTCCAGAGAATGCCCTGCCCTCTTCGACTGTGTGAGGACACAGGACTGGTCAGTCTGCAGCTCAGAACAGGGCCTTCACCAGAACCCAGCCATGGATTGTGAGGTACAAGTTTCTGTTGTTTATGAGCCTCCCAGTCTGTGACATATTACTGTAGCAGCCCAAACAGATGATGACAGGGCCCTAGTCCAATGTGACTGGTGTCCTTATAAGAAGAGGAGATTAGGGCACAGAGGGATGACCACACGAGGACACAGTGAGAAGGTAGCCATCTGCCAGCCCAAGGAGGGAGGCCTCAGAAGAAACCAGGCTTGTCAATGCCTTGACCTGAGAATTCTGGCCTCCAAAACTATGAGAAAATAAATTCATGTTATTTGAGCCATTTTATCTGTGGCTTTTAGTTATGGCAGCCTTAGTAAATGAATACACCTGCCCTATCTTCATTTGTGTGATTTTGGTTTTGGTTTTCAAAGTACTGGGAAATATTCCAGATATACACAAGGCTTAGAGGGTAATGCAGCGAATACCCATTGTCTCACTAAGTCAGGATAGGATAGGCTGTGCTGCAGTAACAAAGAAACCCTGAAATCTTGGCGGCTCAATACAACATAAGTTTATTTGCTGATCATGAGATTCCAGCATGGGCCAGGCAGCCTTCTTTCATCTCATAGCTGTGGTGTTTGGAGTATGTAGCCTCCAGGGCCACCCCTGCAGGGGAGGGGAAGACAGAGGAGGTACTCTGGCTCTTAATGGCTTCAGCGGGAAAGTAACTTCCACTCACACCCCATTGTCCAAAACTAGTCATGTGGCCCCAATCTAACTGCAAGGAACCCTGGGAAGTGTAGGGGAGTATGTGGGTAATTCGTGAGCATTAGCTCTCTGCCTCTCCCATCCCCATCCTGTGCTTCAAGAAATGAACATCACAAATGCAGTTGAAGACCCTCAGTGCTTCTGTGATTGGAGCAGCGCTCCTGCAGAATTTTCATTGACCTTGAGGTATTCCCGGATCTTTTGTGAGATCTGCGGTTCTGCTTTGTACCTTTGCTCTGCTTTATAACTGCCTTGGGCCATTAGAGAGAGACTGGTAGCTACAGGCTGGACACAGCAGGCAGAACTCACTTTAGGAGTGGCCACATCCTGTGTGGATCCTGTGGGCGTACACTTTTCATTCCTTTGTAGTCTTGTTACCATGAGGAACTTGGCTGACTGTTCTTTGGCAGCGGATTAAGTTTCTCTTTCAGTTTCTTATTCCCTCTGACAACTTTTGTCTTCTAGCATGAACACCTCCTGTTCAGACTGTGGCAACAGTATCAAAACAGTATTCAAATTCTGCCCGTACTGTGGAAAGCCTTTGTCTAAAGAGGAGCCGGAGGGTTCCCAGACCTCTGTCAAACCGCTCGTGTCATCCTTCAGAGGTAAGGACCATGACTCTGACCTTTTCCCTGGAAGCGGGTGAGGTGTGCAGGTGTTCAGGGAGGGAACACAGCCACCCAGGCCTCCTCCCTCTTCCTCCACGCTCCGGCATACCTGGGCCTCTAAGCCATTGCATTTGCTGTTCCCTCTGTCGAGGTGGTTCGTCCCACATCTGGTTCGTGACCCCCTCTCTCACTCACTTCCTTCGGGTCTTTACTCGGTTGTTGCCTTCTCAGGAAGGCCTTCCCTGACATCACTAATTAAAATCCCATCTTTCCTACCTATGACACTCCTTATCCCCTGCCCCTGCTTTGTATTGCCTTTGGTTCTTGGAAGTGTCAACTCTATTTAAATCACTCTCATCTCTAGGCCCCATAAGGGCAGGGGTTTGTTATGGTTTGCAGGCTGTTGGTTGTGGTTTGTAACTCAGCTCTGAGTCCTGGCCAATGGAAGGCCCAGACACGGGTCCTGCGTTGGTAAACAGAAGTGGGTTTACTCTACGTGGCAGAAAGTTCAGCAGCATTCATTTTATCATTCGGGTTTGTGTCTGGCTGCCAGCAACAGAAAATGCTGCCTGAAGAGTGGAAACCAAAAAAAAGAGAGAGAGAGAGAGAGAGTGGAAACCAATGACTGGGTTTATTTTTTCTTACTAAAAAAGTCTGACGGGGCCGGTTCAGTGTGGGGTGTGCCCCCGTGATGCAGTGAGGGCCGAGGCTCCGGCTGTCTTTCCGTTCAGCCTTCCTCAGCATGCGGAGTTTCTTTCCATGCATACGGCCTCGATTTTCAAGGCAACTCCTTCATCTCCCGCACTGTTTACATTCCAGGCACATGCTACCAGAATTTGCCTTGGTCTGACCTCAGAGCCTGAGTTCTTAGCCCCAGCCTTCTCTTACACCAACCTAAAGCCAGCTCACCATTCATTCGCCCAGTCATCACACGGCAGATACACACAGACCACCTACTGTGTGCTTAGGTGCAGTGTTTGTCCCCAAGGCCGAGGTAACAGACAGGATGGACCTGGCTTCTGGTCTCTCGGACCTTTTGGAGGCCAGGAGACCAAATAGACATTAACTACACCATTACCAGTAGAGTGCGTGGTAACTGAAGGGAAATGGATGGGCCACAGAACAGGAGGATCAGGGAAGACTTCTCTAGGTGGGTAACATTTGAGCCGAGACCTAGGGATGAGAAGAATTTGCTAATGAAGCTCTGGCTGGTGTGGCTCAGTGGATTGAACACCGGCCTGTGAACCAAAGGGTTGCTGGTTCAATTCCCAGTCAGGGTGCATGCCTGGGTTGCTGGCCAAGTCCTGAGTAGGGGACATGTGCAAGGCAACCACACATGGATGTTTCTCTCCCTCTCTTTCTCCTTCCCTTCCCCTCTCTAAAAATAAATAAAATCTTAAAAAAATTTTTTTTAAGATTTTGCTAATGAAGAGTAGGGACAAGGTGAGGAGTTTGGAACCAGAGTTCTAGGCATTGGGGTGTGTGGCAGGAAGAGCCATGCAAAGCAGAGGAATAAAGGAGGACAGCCTACCTGGGGGCAGACACGCAGGGCCTTGCAGACCTTGGGTAAGGAATTTAGTAATCACTGAGATAGCGGGGAGCTGTGGGAGGGTCTCAGCCATGTGGGGGGCCCAATATGATTTGTATTTTGGAATGACTTCTCTGGCTGCTCTGTAAAGAAATGGACTGGTGGCATGGAAGCCACTTAAGGGGCCATTTGAGTAGTCCAGGGACCAAATGTGCCGGCTGAGGTGGTGTCAATTGAAAGATGACCTCTGTTTTCAGCAATCGGGCAGACCAGATGGCAAGCTGCAGCCCCTGTGGTTTAGCATGCCACAAAATTCTGCATGAAATGGAAAGAATACCTTTTTTTTTAAGATTTAATTTATTTATTTTTAGATAAATAATACCTAAATAAAATTTAGACATAATTTTAATAAAAATAAAATTTTAAACTCAGAGCCCCAGCAGCATGGAAAGTGAGATTGGAAACCTCTAAAATCTGGGACTCCTCAACAGGTAAACTAAAACAAAAAACTTTTCACAGAGAAGATTGTTGGAGGCATGTATCTGTCTCAGCCTGGGTTGTGGGTGAAGAAAAGGAAGAATGTTCTAAGAATTCCAAACCAAAATTATACATCCTTACCAGTTTGGGGCAAGAATTTATACTGCACTGTGCAGCCCCCCAAAACCTCAAGCGGAAAAGTTAGTGTAAAAGGATGAAATGTTGGTGCTTCTCCCCAACTGAGGCAAATCTTTTGTGGAAACACCCTTTATTTATTTTGTAAAGGTTTTATTTATTTTTAAAAAGATTTTATTCATTTTTAGAGAGAGGGGAAGGGAAAGAAAAAGAGAAGAGAAATATCAGTGTGGGGTTGCCTCTCCAGCACCCCATACTGGGGACCTGGCCCACCACCCAGCTATGTGTCCTGACTGGGAATCGAACCAGTGACCCTTTGGTTCGCAGCCTGAGCTCAATCCACTGAGCCACACCAGTCAGGGTGGAACACTCTTTAAAAACTGGTGTCAGAATTCCCGTGGGCACTTGTGGATTCTCAGTGGATCAACAAAGACACCGGGAAACAAGCCACTGTCAGGAGAAACAACAGGCTGCACACTCACCAGACGCCTGAGGATTAACATTTGAGACTGTGTGCAAAACACCTTTCATGTGTTTGAGGAAATCAAGGAAGAAATTTATAATGAAGGATTGGAGCCTCATCCCTCACACCAAAGGGTTGTGGGCTGGATCCCCGGTGAGGGTATGTCTGGGAGGCAACCAGCCAATGTTTCTTTCTCTTTCTCTCCCTTTCTCTCTAAAATTAGACAATATATCCAAAATCTAAAAATCCCTTTTAAAATCTAAAAAAAATATCCTCTGGTGAGGGTTTTTTATATATTCATATATAAAATATGTATCTATGTTATACATTTTATATTTATATCTACATATATGTAAAAAATTAAGGAACAAAAGTTAGTAAGAATTGACCTTTCAGGCTTGAAAAAGAACCAAATAACTCCTATGATGATAAAAACAAATATCATGGCAATCAGAAACTCATTGGATTGTTGAAACTGCAGGCTAGACAAAGCTGAAAAGAGAATAGTGAACTAGAAAATAGATCTGAAAAATTAACTGGAAGGTAGAACAGAGTGACAAAGTGACAGAAGATACAATACAGAGGCTAAGACTCCCGGAGGAGAAGCAGCAAGACTTGGGCGAAAAGGCCGGAGAGAAGAGGGTGGGCGGGTGCGAACCGGGGGTTTCTGGGTTTGCGGTTCCGGAAAGGGCCTTTGTAACCCATCTGCATTCAGTGTTCCCTTCACTAGGCTCAAGGAGAGGGGGGAACAGCAGTTCCGAACTCTCTGCCAAGAAAGTGAAATGGTCCGGCTGTGTCTCTTCTTCTCCATCGTCCCTCTCCTCAGACCGTGACAGTTCTGGGTCTGAACATACCTTGAGTCCCCCTGAGAAACCCAAAGGTAAGAACCAGGGTCAGTCTGATCTGACTGTAGATGGTTAAAAGGCGGGTCACCTGACAGTGTGTGGGGGCATCATCCCCTGCACAGCGTCTCTCACACCTACCTGGCCCCTTGTCCCCGGCCCCATCCTCCCCCTGCAGTCCGGCTCTGACCCCACCCTCCCTGCTCACAGTCACCCACTGCTCCCCTCGCCCCACAGCCTGGCGTCTGCAACTCTGTGGGGTCTGCTTCCCGTTGGAGCTCTCACCAGACCCTCCACACAGGACACTTGCTTTCTGGAAATTCTTGTTAGGGTCTGTGGCTTCCCTTCTTTGCTAGGCCTGACCCCTCGGCCCAGGGCACTCTCGCCTCCCTCCCAGGCCCGGCTTGCTGCCGCCTTTCCAGCGCTGAGAGGCCTAGATCTCTCAGAAGCCCCTTCTGAGTACCCTAGGCTAGGTCAAGGCCGTCTCGTCTCCCCGCAGAGCCTCTCTCCTTCGTCCTTTGTCTGGGCGCCCCCAGTGCCAGTGCCGCTCACTTGCGCACATGTCCCCTCCAGGCTCCTTGTCCCTTCCTGCCTCACTTGCTGGACTGAGAGCTCTTTGTGGACAGGGACCAGGTAGAGTCATCTGTGTGTGGCCCACGCCAGCCAGAGAACAAGGGAGGCTTGAGGACCATATGCTGGTCCCCTTCCTGCCAGGCCCTCAGATCGGAAGCCGCAGCCCTCGGTGTCTCCTCTTTGTCCCTTGTTCTCCTCCAGGCCCCACTGCCTCTTGCCATCCTGTGCCTTGGTGGATGGTAGGTGGGGGAGTGACGTAGTTAATATTTCCTATGTCCATGGCCAGTTGCCAATATCTGTCCTCTTCTCCACACCACCCCATTCTCTTGCGCATCTGGGAGCCACTCTAACAGATTTCTTTATACTTAGCACAAGGTCAGGTGCTGTCTCAGGGTGTTTTCAGTCGAATATCTGGAATGTTTGGTTTTTTGCCCTGGCACATTCTATCCATTCAACAAGACTGAACTCAGATGTCCCCTCCTCCTGGAAGCCTTCCCTGACTTCTCCAGGCACAATTAGTCTCTTTCTCATATCTCCCTGAAGTGCCTTGTTTGACCAGCTGTGCCCATGTCAGACTCCCCCACCTAGTTAGGGGTTCCTGAGGGATGGGCTCAGGTCTGACTCGTGTCTGGGTCCCCAGCTTTGTCCCACAAAGAGCTGACCCGTGAAAGGTGGCAGGAAGCATTTGCTCATTAAACAAATGAATAAATGAACAGTACTATGAGTATTGTCTCCTTACCTGTTCAACTTTTCTCTCCTGGATGCCCGTTCTTTATTCTGGCCATCCTGCTGCAGGGTCCCCGAAAACACCTCCCACCCGCAAAAGGAACCTGCAGACAACAAAAAGAAGCCCTCAGACAGTGAAGCGGAGCTGGGTGACCACCTTGCTTAAGGCTTTGCCCACAGGGACAGTGCTGACAGACAAGTGTGGACGACACTGGAAGCTGGGAGCCATTCAGAGCAGAGACGACCAGGGCATTCTCTATGAAGGTACACTCTATTTACAGGCGGGGGTGGGGAGGTAAGGTGCTGGGCTGGGTCAGGCCATCTTGCAACCAGGGCATGGGGAGGGAAACCCCTTTCTGAGAATGAAAATGGAAGTCATATCCCAGCTGCAGACCTGCCTCTAGGCAGCATCTTCTTAAACTTGGGATTGCAGACTACCCACCTACAGCGGCTAGGTAGTTAGAGTAAATGAGTGCAGGAGGCTGGGAGTAAGGCAATTGGGAGCAGTGGCTACTGTGGCCAACTGGAAAGCACTCTTCTTCAGCTCCACCTACTGTTGTCATGTGGGAATGCAAGCCCAGTGTGACTGAATGATAAGGATGACAACTCTGCCCTGCAGAAATAGGATGGCCCCCTACCCTGCACACATTTGGTTTCAATGTTGAGCCTGATGATGTCACACACCAAGAGGACATGAAAGGTTTATTTCCTTCAGAGTTATCTCTTGGGGGGGGGGACAGGTCTGTAATGTCCTGAGATGACAAGGAAAGGCACCTGGGACAGGTTTTTATTGTGGTTAGGAAGTGGGGCCAGGGTGAGCGTCCCACACAGGGCCAGGGCCTCATGTGGTTTGACTCTCCCACCAGCACCCGAGGAGAGAACCCCAGGCTTTCCCACCAGCTCATGCAGCTGTGGGATGGAAAGGGAAGGGGCAGGGCCAGACCTAAAATCTGTCAGCAGTCAAACATCAAAAACTGGACACTTTATTACAGTGAAGAAAATAAGCGTGCTAGAAGTGTTAGTAATAATCAGCCTAACATTCACTGAGTTCTTACTCAAGGCCAGGCCCTGTTCTTAGCCCTTTAGGTGGTTTTGGGGACTTTTAGGTCGTCTTTTAAGATAAAGCTTATGCAACATAAAATTCACCATGTTCAAGTCCACAGTTCACTGGGGTTTAGTATAGTCAGACAGCGTACCAACTGGACATCGGGTATGGGCCACCCCGGATCTGCAGCTGAGGGACCCCTGAGGGGCTAACAGCTGCCTGAGGCAGTCGGGGTGGGGCTGGACTAAGGCAGCAAGTCCTCCCTGGAGGGGGTCTGCATCCATCATGTGGCACTCACCCATATATATGGACAAAGGCCGACAGGGTGGGTCAGGGTCCCCCAGGCCACCCCAACGTCAGGGATGCACTAGGGGACCACGGGCCTCTCATGCCAAGATCCATCACAGCAAAAGGACATGGCAGAGTTGGCAAAGAAGAGAGGCACACGGGGTGAAGTGTCAGGGGAGACCAGCCAGCGCAGCTTCCAGAGACTTCTCCCTGTGTAGTCACACAGGACACACTGCGAGATGGGACAGCACGTGTGCATTGTTAGAGACTCCACACCCGGGGTTTTTATTGGGGGCTGGTCATGTGGGCACCCTCTGCTTGGAACATAGCAGCATGCCCGCCTCCAGAAGGAAAGTAGACGTTTAGCAGAACAGTTTGGACACAGGGAGCCCCTCTGATTGGTCACAGCAGCGGTCCCCAGCCTTCTCAGCACCCGGGGCTGGGTATACAGAAGACAGTTTTCCCACAGACTGGGGTGGGGAAGGGTGGTTCCGGAATGACTCAAGCACATTACATTCAAGCTCACCCCCTGCCGTGTGGCCCAGTGCCTAACAGGCCCTTACCGTACCAGTCTGCAGCCTAGAGGTTGGGGGCCCCTGGGTTAGAAAAGCTGGAACCCTCCGGAAATCCAGGTTCCCAGATACAGCCAAGGGCAGCCTTGAGAGCAGGCTGTTCCATGGACAGTGGTCTCTGGCCAGCTGTGTTAACCCTTTTGCATAGCCGGCTATTAACAAAGAGTGAAAGAGGGAGAAAAAAAGGAACCTGTTTGAAAATGAGGAGGAACAGGTCTTACAAGCCAAGAACACCCCGGACCCTGTGGGAACCAGGCAACTGAAACCCCTGCTCATTCCTGGGAAGTGTGGGGGCCATGCGCTCACTTTCCCTGTAGGTTATGACCTCCCTGCTGTTGTCCGTCCACAGCTGAGTCTTTCTCCACCTGTGAGTCCACCGGTGAGTCAAGTGCCCAGAAACAAAGATTCTCCCTGAAACTGGTGAGTGGCCCTGTGGGGGTGCCTGGGGTGGGGGAGGGCTGCGCTGAGGGGCGGGCCTGGGGCTTTGGCCAGTGCACCAGATCTCCACTCCTCTCTGCGGGCTGGGGCAGGCAGGAGAGCAAGGAGCAGTGGTACCCTGGGCAGGGCCCGTCTGCCTCGAGGCCTCAGGTTCTTCCTCTCACAGGGCCCCTCCGAAGCTGCAGCCAGGTCTACGCCCAAGCCTGCCTCTGATGCCTCCCGCTGTTCCATCGGGCAGGCGCCTCCCCTCTCCGAGCTGGCTTGCCTCATCTGTGAGATGGAGCCAAGAATACCCTCGTTGGGTGGCCCATTCACCCACAGCCCACCTTGCAGGCGGGGTGTACCAAGCCCTGCTCTAATGTTTAACTGTGCCAGGTGTTCAGGTTCAACAGAGAACCAATCAGATGGCCTCCCTGGGCTGAGGAGTCAGTGAATCATGCTTGACCTTAGAATACAGGAAACATGCACTCAGGCGGGGCCCAGAGGGAAAATAAACCGAGAAAGTGAGAGCAACCCGGCGGGCAAGTCCCGTCCTTCAGTGCAGAGGAAGTGCCTACCAGGGGGCATGGGCATGGTCAACGGTCTCACCATCATCCCTGGGTGCAGGAATTATGGGTGACCTTTATTTATTCAGATTTTCTTACTCACCCCTGGAAAACCGGGGCAGCTGGATTGGGCCCCTCCCTTGGCCCAAGACAGGCCATGTGAGTGGCGTGAACGGTTTGAGTGAAGGCTCCAGGGCCAGGCTCCACCTGCTGTGGGGAGCTCTTTCCAGCCCCACTCTGGGCCCAGAGCCTCACAAGCAAGCCTGTAGGGAGGTTACTGCGTTTCCCCTTTTTCCAGACGAGGAAATGGGGACTGGGTGCCTTGCCCAGGGACACTCAGCATGCAAGTTTCTTTGTTCACAGCTTTAGCTCCAATGCCAGAAATAATACTCAGCACATAGTAGGTGCTTTGTAGAAAGAATGACAAATCTGGGATTGGAACCTGCTTCTCTTTGACCCTATGCTTTTAAGAACTCAGCTGTGCTAGTTGTATTTAATTAAAATATTTGGCTTTACTGCTAGAAAAAGATGACCCAATGTTAACGGATGGTCCTAGGAAAGATAATATTCTATTGCCCTTTCACTTAAAAGTTGGGGACAGTGGTCCGGGGCTGACATGATGGTTCCATAACCAAGGGGCCCAGTTTCCTTCTCTCATTGCTTCGACATCCTGAACCCATAACCTTCATCTTGTGGGTGGAAATGGCTGCTCCAGCTCCCACCGTCACACGTGCATTCCAGCCAACAGGAGCAGGAGAAGAGGAAGGAGAAGGCTGTCCCCAGCCCAGTAAGGGCATGGCCGAGGAACTTGCCCACATCACACCCCCATTGTCCAGAACCTACCATGTGGTCATTCCTCACTTCAGAGGTAGCTCAGAAATCTAGCTTTTAGCTGAAGGCCACACATGTAGGGAAAATACGTCAGTCTCATCATAAGAAAATGAAAAAGAGCCCGGGCAGTGGGAGATAACATGAGCCTCCGACACGTGTTCATGGGTAGCATGCACCCTGAGGAATTCGGTTCTGTTGTGCAGGATGTGGTGGGGAACCTGGCTTGTGGCTGGCATTGCCCTGGGGTGATGAGCTGGGGTCCCTTGGCCCAGAGACTCCAGTGGGACAGCTTTCTCCCCCCATCCCACGCTAGGATGCCAAGGACGGGCGCTTGTTCAACGAGCAGCACTTCTTCCTGCGGGCTGCCAAGCCTTTGCAAGGTACTCCTTGGGGAGGCGGGCGAGGGCGAGGGACTCAGGGGTGCCAGCTTAGTCCAGGCAACTAGCTTCTCCCTGAAGGTGTGGGAAGCGTGGGGGTCAGAGAAGACCCAGCTTTGCTCCTGTCACCCCTCGGGCCTCAGGCCCCACAGGACAGACAACGTGCGCTGAGGCCAGCTCACACCAGCTCTTGAGAGCCAAGGATTAAGTTCAAAATTAGCTCAAGCCAGTTGTTAAACATAGCCATTATTTAAATTAATACATCAATGAACCATCAAATAAATTAGATTCAGAGCAAGGGTGATAAATACTCAAAACTTGTCACTTCCCAATTATTCGTCTATGTTTTTGTTATCCGTACCCTGTTGGCGTCTGCTGTGCCCGGGTGATAGACACACCATGTGACTGAGCACTGCGGGGCATCTCTCCCATCTCCACATTCTGCAGTGTCATAGCAGTAGCTTGAAAGCAGCCACAGTGGGAGTATTTACACCACGGAGACTGGCCAGCACTACAAACCAGGGCTGTTCCCCCTGGACAGCTGTTTATTCAGCTTCTGTCCGCACAGCTCTGGGTCCGTGCCATCCCACTGAGGCCCCGGACCACAGGCTGACGTCTGGTGACACCGTGACCGGTTCAGACGTTTCCCGATCTCATCCACTCTGTGTGTGTATCTAGAAGTTCTGCCGTTCTTATCCCTGGCGCTCATTCCAGATCTGTATATTCTTTCTCCCATGTTCACCCCTCTTCACCCGCACACAGAGATGACTGACACTCGGGTCAACCAGGCTGACCCTGTCAGCACACCCATTGTCAACTCGCCCACAGAGGTGGTCTCTCCAACCAGGAGACCAGGGTCTGGCCTGGGCTTGGGCGCACTCTGCTTCTGGTCTGGGAACGGGCTGTTGTCCCCATGGGCCTGGGGCCAGGGGGCTCTAACCTCTCGGGTCCCTGCCTCCCACAGTGGACAAGTGGAAGAAGCTACAATCGACCCCCCTACTAGCCATCCCCACCTGTGTCGGTTTTGGCATTCATGAGGACGGGTACAGGTGAGTCACCACCTTACTGGGCCCTTTTTTTCTCTCCCTGTCATGTGTTCAGGGTCCAAGACCCTGGGGCCTTTGGCCAGATAGCTGCTTCCTTCCTTTCTGCCGCTTTGAGCCAGGCTGACCCCCCTCAGTCAGAACCCTTCATCTTGCTCAGGACCAGGGCCTCATAGCCACCCAGCCACAGTCCATCCTTGGTGGCCTTCATTCTGCCCCCTCCCCTGGTTATCTCTCCCACCTCATGGGACACGCATGTCTTCCAGGTTCTTGGTGTTCCCCATGCTGGGGAGGAGCCTGCAGTCGGCCCTGGATGGCAGCCTGCAGCACACAATACCCGTGCTGTCTGTGTTCCAGCTGGCCTACCGGCTGGTAGGTACCCAAGCAGACTAGCTCCCGGCGGGGGGATGGCTGCCGGGCTCCGGCTTACCGGACTGCCCACTGACACATGCAGTCCACACTTGCCCCTGCCAGACCCTGAGGACCTGCACACTAACTGACTGACGCAGGAGAATGCCAGGCTGTCAGAACCAGGGGATAAGCAGGAGGGGCGTTCCAGGGCCATGGGAGGTGAGGATGGGGCCCCAGCCTCAAATTTAGGGCTGCAACTGGGCTTCCTGGCAGAGACCCTTTCTGAGGCAGGAGTGGGACGGAACAAGGCCCTGGGGGTGGGGATACGTGAGGAGAATGTTCAGGCCAAGGACACAGCTTGAGCAAAGGCTTATAAGGGGCAGAGAGCATAAGGCATTGGTTCATTCACTCATTCCTTTATCCATCCTTTCTTTTATTTTTTTATTTTTTAGATTTTATTTATTTTTAGAGAGAGGGGAATAGAGGGAAAAAAGAGAGAGATGTCATTTTATGGTTGCAGCTCATGTGCTCCCAACTGGAGACCTGGCCCACAACCCAGGTGTGTGCCCTGACTGGGAATCAAACCGGCGACCCTTTGGTTCACAGGCTGACACTCAGTCCACTGAGCCACACCAGCCAGGGCCATCCTTTCATTAAATATTTGCCAGGTCCCTGCTGGGTGTCAGGCACTGTCCCAGGGGCTGGGAGCGTGGTAGGGAATAGCACAGATGTGGGTTTTATGTCTAGTCAAAGAGGATGAAGTTAAACAGTTGCACAAATTAAGAAAAGTTCTTAACTAGAAGTGTCCCCCTGCTATGATGGTGAATAAGAGGACCAAATTTAAATTGGGGAAGGCATGAATGCGGCAAGAGGGTGACACATTAGGTGAGTCCCAAAGGTTTTTATGCTCAGAGTGTCTGCACTGTGGCATGTGGACGGACGAAGGGTAAGAGATTATGTGGAGAGATCAGCAGGCACCGGCTCACGTAGGGCCTTGAGTACCAGGCTGAGGAGCTGTAACTCTGCCCTGAGGCACTGGGGAGCCATGGGAGGATTGGGAGCAGCAGAGGAGCACTATCAGCTCTGCATGCAGAAGAGGTCCCTCCCCTGTGGGCCTTGAGGGGAGGACCAGGAGAGAGTGAGGCCTGAGGAGAGGCGTCAAGCTGTGAGGATGGAGAGTTTGTAGGACAAGCAGAACTTGGTACACAGTTAACCCTAGGGGTCAAGGGGGCCTCGGGGATGTTGTCACAATGTAGCTAACACTGAAGCAGTTCAGTGTATGAGTCTGGAGCTCAGTGGAGAAGTCGGGAGTGAGACATAAAAATATAAATTGCTTAACTAAACTTATTTCTATTCTCTAGGAGAAAAGAGAAGAACTCTTTGATATATGCAGACTTTGGGGGGGCGGGGTTGGCAGGAGGCAATAAGTAACCAACTTCTCCCCTTCCTGGGTTTGCAGTCAACTAAGAATAGATCTAAGAGATGGAAAACCAAATGTTGGCTTCACTGCTGAATTTTTTTTAAAGATTTTATTTATTTATTTTTAGAGATATGGGAAGAGAAGGAGAAAGAAAGGGAGAGAAACATCTATGTGTGGTTGCCTCTGATACATTCCCAATTGGGGATCTGGCCCACAACCCAGGCATATGCTCTGACTGGGAATTGAACTGGCAACACTTTGGTTCTCAGGCCTGCGCTCAATCCACTGAGCTATACCAGCCAGGTCTACTACTGAAATTTTTTTTAATACTACATTTTTTTAAAAGAGTTTGTTTGTTAAGTCCTGGCTTGCATAGCTCAGTGGATTGAGCGCGGGCTGCGAACCAAAGTGTTGCAGGTTTGATTCCCAGTCAGGGCACATGCCTGGGTTGCAGGCCAGATCCCCAGCAACCACACATTGATGTTTCTCTCCCTTTCTCTGTTTCTCCTTCTCTTCCCCTCTCTTTAAAAAATCAATAAATAAACTCTTTTTTTTTAAAGACTTTATTTATTTATTTTTAGAGAGGGAAGGGAGGGAGAAACAGAGAAAGGGAGAGAAACATCAATATGTAGTTGCCTTTTGCACACCCCCTACTGGGGACCCGGCCTGCAACCCAGGTATGTGTCCTGACTGGGAATTGAACTGGCAACCCTTTGGTTTATAGGCCCGCATCCAATCCACTGAGCCACACCAGCCAGGGCTTGACTTTTTTAAAGCCTTATTAGAAGACCTGCTTTGGTGTGCTGTCAGAGTGGACTTCCTAATGCTCCCCTCAGAATGAGCCAGGCCTAACCCCCACCACCACCCTAGTCATAAGCAGGCCATATGACCACAGGCCCAACAGCAGGGACTCAGTCACCAGGCTTTGAATCAGAGCCGCTTAGTGTGAGTCATGCTGCTCACGGAGATCCTTTTTCCTCCCCAGCTGGATGCCCTGGAGTTCCTCCACGAGAACGAGTATGTTCACGGAAATGTGACAGCTGACAATATCTTTGTGAACCCAGAGGACCTGAGCCAGGTAATAATCAGGCCCTCCCCACCTTGGGGCTCCCTGGGCTCAGGATCTCACCTATCTTAAGACTTCCATTTATTACAGCTTTTTTAATTGATTTTGGAGAGACAGGAATGGAGAGAGAGAGACATCGATTTGTTGTTCCACTTATGGATGCATTCACTGCTTGATTCTTATATGTGCCCTGACTGGGGATTGAACCTGCAACCTTGGTGTGTCAGGAAGACACTCTGATGAACTGAGCTACATGGCTGGGGCAAAACTAGAGATGAGTAGCAACTTAATTGAAAAATGGGTAAAGGATAGGAAAAACAGTTTATTGACAAAGAAATCCACAGGCTAGTTAAATATATGAAAAGGTGCTCAACCTCCCTAATAATCATTGAAATCAAAATTAAAACATACCATTTTTTTAACACTTTGAGCAAAGTTATTTAAAAATGGTAACATCTATGATGATAAAGAAATAAAAGTTCAGATCTGAACTTCTGATCCAGATGTAGGTAGACACACTTCACCTCCTGGCACAGCTGTGTGAAGGGCCACACTAACCTCAGAACAGAAACCACCCAGAACTGCCAGAAAATCGAACTGTATGGAAGTTCAGCAGCCAAGGATCTAATGAAGCATCCAGATGGCCAGGAGGGGCAGAGATAGAGAGCCAGGGTGCAGGGCACGCAGTGTGATGGCAGTCGTGGCAGCCATCGGAACAGGTGGTCCCACATTCACGTGCAGTTGGTAGAAATTGGCAGGGGGGATACCTGGGGATCAAGCGATCACAGCCTTGGGGCAGACTACGCAGCCCAGGGTTCCAGTGCTGGGAAAATAAAGCCTCATAACTTCTGGCTGTAAAAACCAGTGGGGGGTTAGGATGGTGGAAGAAATGGCCAGTCTCTCAGGAGAGTCCATTTCAAGGGCCCACACGGTCCTAAAACATATGCACCCCACCCGCTCTGGAACCACTACCAGGCCAACAGCTAGAGGGCACCAGTTGCATACGGGAAGTGGTCCAGGTGACTGGAAATGGGGCAAGTGCCGAGCGAGCCTCCAGCAACCAGACAGCAGCACTGTCCCCTATCCGACCCCTCCCCACATACAGCGCTACAAAACAATGAAGCAGGTTGCTCTGCCCTGGAAATTACCTAAAGCTCTGCCCCACACAACATAACAGGTGCACCAAGTCAGGGAGTCACACCAGCTCTAATAGAAACAAACACAGGGAGGCTGCCAAACTGAGGAGACAAATATGGCTCAAATAAAAGAACAAAACCCCAGAAAAAGAACTAAACAAAATGGAGATACCCAACCTGTTAGATGCAGAGTTCAAAACACTGGTGATTAGGATTCTCAAAGAACTCTAAAAGTATGGCAAAAGCATAAGGAAGAAATGAAGACCCAACTAAATTAAATAAAGAAAAATCCACAGGGAACCAACAGTGAAGGGAGGGAAGCCAGGGTTCAAAGCATCGATTTGGAACGTAAGGAATAAACCATCAACCAGAACAAAATGAAGAAACAAGAATTTTTTTTTTAATGAGAGATTAAGAAGACTCTGGGACATCTCCAAAAGTGCCAACATCTAAATCATAGGGATGCCAGAAGGAGAAAAGGAAGAGGAAGAAATTGAAAACTTACTTGAAAAAATAATGAAAGATAACTTCCCTAATTTGGTGAAGGAAATACACATGCAAGTCCAGGATATACAGAGAATCCCAAGCAAGTTGGACCCAAAGAGGACCACACCAAGACACATCATAATTGAAATGTCAAAGCTTAAAGATAAAGAGGGAAAGCAAGAGAAAAGCGGAGTTACAAAGGAGTTCCTATAAGACTATCAGATGATTTCTCAAAAGAAACTTTGCAGGCAAGAAGGGACTGGCAAAAAGTGTTCAACATGATGAAAAGCAAGGACCTACAACCTAGATTACTCTGTCCAGCAAAGCTATCATTTAGAATGGAAGGGCAGAGAAAGCTCTTCCCAGACAAGGTCAAGCTAAAGAGTTCATCATTACCAAGCCCTCGTTATATGAAAATGTTAAGGGGACTTATTTTTTTTTTTTAGATTTTATTCATTTATTTTTAGAGAGAAGGAAGGGAGGGAGAAAGAGGGAGAGAAACGTCAATGTGTGGTTGCCTCTCACATGTCCCAACACTGGGGACCTGGCCAGCAACCCAGCCATGTGCCCTGACTGGGAAATGAACCAGTGACCCTTTGCTTTGCAGGTCGGCTCTCAATCCACTGAGCCACATCAGCCAGGGCTAAGGGGACTTATTTAAAGAAGATCAAAACTATGAGCATTAAAATGACAACAAATACAACTGTCAACAACTGAGTCTAAAAAACTAAAGCAAACAGGAACAGAATCCTAAATATGGAGATCATTTGGAGGGTTAAAAGCAGGGAGGGGAAAGGGGGAGAGTGAGGGGAAAAGTACAGGGATTAAGAAGCATAAATGGGCCCTGGTTGGTGTGGCTCAGTGTACTGAGCCCCAGCCTGCAAACCAAAGGGCTGCTGGTTTGATTCTCAGTCAGGGCACATGCCTGGGTTTCGGGCTAGGTTCCCAGTAGGGGGCTCACAAGAGGCAACCATACACTGATGTTTCTCCTTCCCTCCCTTTCCCTTTCTAAAAATAAATAAATAAAATCTTTTTTTCTTTTTTTTATATATTTTATTGATTATGCTATTACAGTTGTCCCATTTTCCCCCCTTCACTCCCCTCTACCCTGTGCACCCTCTCCCACCCATATCCCCCCCCTTTAGTCATGTCCATGTGTCATACTTATAAGTTCTTTAGCTTCTACATTTCCCATACTATTCTTACCCTCCCCCTATCTATTTTCAACCTACACTCTATGCTACTTATTCTCTGTACCTTTTTCCCCTCTCTCCTCCTCCCACTCCCCTGTTGCTAACCCTCCATGTGATCTCCATTTCTGTGGTTTTGTTCCTGTTCTAGTTGTTTGCTTAGTTTCTTTTGGTTTTGCTTTAGGTGTGGTTGTTAATAATTGTGAGTTTGCTGTCCTTTTACTATACATGTTTTTTTCTTTATCTTCTTTTCTTAGATAAGTCCCTTTAACATTTCATAAAATAAGGGCTTGGTGATGATGAACTCCTTTAACTTGACCTTATCTGAGAAGCACTTTATCTGCCCTTCCATTCTAAATGAAAGCTTTGCTGGATAGAGTAATCTAGGATATAGGTCCTTGTCTTTCATGACTTGGAATACTTCTTTCCAGCCCCTTCTTGCCTGTAAGGTCTCTTTTGAGAAATTAGCTGACAGTCTGATGGGAACTCCTTTGTAAGTTACTGTCCCCTTATCTCTTGCTGCTTCTAGGATTCTCTCCTTGATTTTTACCTTGGCTAATGTAATTATGATGTGCCTTGGTGTGTTTCTTCTTGGGTCCAACTTCTTTGGGGCTCTCTGAGCTTCCTGGATTTCCTGGAAGTCTATTTCCTTTACCAGAATGGGGAAGTTCTCCTTTATTATTCAAATACATGTTCAATCTGTTGCTTTTCCTCTTCCCCTTCTGGTACCCCTATAATTCGGATGTTGGAACATTTAAAGATGTCCTGGAGGTTCCTAAGCTTCTCCTCGTTTTTTTGAATTCTTATTTCTCCATTCTTTCCTGTTTGGTTGTTGTTTTCTTCCTTCTGGTCCACTCTATTGTTTTGAGTCACAGTTTCCTTCCCATCACTATTGGTTCTCCATGCATCTTCCTTCATCTCTTTTATGGTAACCTGCATTTTTTCATTTAATTTGCCCCCAAAATCAACCAGTTCTGTGAGCTTCCTGATCACCAGTGTTTTGAACTGTGCATCTGATAGATTGGCTATCTCTTGGTCGCTCAAAAGGATAAATCCTGGGGCATTGATCTGTCCTTCTGTTTGAGACATGTCTCTCTCTCTCTTTCTCTCTCTTTTTTTGGTCTGGTCACTCCTGTTACAGTGAGGGGTGGAGCCTTAGGTGTTCACCAGGGCTGGGCACCCCAGTCACTAGATTGCGACGTTGTATGTGGGGGCGGGGGTGGGGGCGGGAGGGAACAATGGCGGTAACTCTGTCCTCCTGGGACCCCAGTCCCTTCCCTGGGATCCTGGGCTGCGCACTCTGCCCTGGTCCACAATCGCCACCTCACTGGGTCCACCTCCTGCCACTTGCGTACTCAGGGTCCAACCGCTTCGGTCTTGTGCGCCCCAGATGCCTTACACGCTCCCGGTTGCCCTATGCACCCACTGCTCTCTGCTCTCTGCACTGCAACCCGCGCCCGACTGCTCCTCTCTGCCCCTCCTACTGGTCTGGATGAATGGGTCTACTTCAACTTCTTGGCTGTCCGACTTCCATTCAGATAAATTCTCTGTCAGTTGTGGGTGTTATTCTGCCTCTAAATTGTTGTTGTTCTAATCTTGGTTGTGTGTGGAGGTACGGTGTGTCCACCTATGCCTCCATCTTGCCAGAAGTCAAATAAATAAAATCTTTAAAAAAGAAAAATATCTTTAGAAAAAGAAGCATAAGTGGTAGGTACAAAATAGACAGGGGGAGGTTAAGAATAGTATAGGAAATGGAGAAGCCAAGGAACTTACATGCACTACCAATGGACCTGAACTAAGGGGGGATTGCTGGAGGGAAGGCAGGTACCAGGCAGAGGGGGACAAAGGAAAAATTGGGATGACTTAATAGCATAATCAATAACGTAATAGCATAGTCAATAAAATATACTTTAAAAAAAGAAAAGTGCTTTATATTCTGTTAGAAGTATGAATTGGGCAACCTCTTTGGAAGGTAATTTGCATATAGCAGTCAAAATTTTAAATACATATGTTGTTTGACCCACCAGCTCCTCTCAGGAATATATCCTGCCCACATACTCAGGGGGCTGTTCAGAGATGTATGTTTAAATATGCAGCATTCCTCACAACACTGATTGTAACAGTAAAGTGGGAAAACCTTCAATACATGCTCCCAGTAGGGTGCTGATTAAATGGTGGGGGTTTTTTTTTCACATTTTTTATTGTTATTCAAGTACAATTGTCTCCATTTTCCCCCCACCCCAGCCATCCCCACTTTCCGCCCTTGATCCTTCCCCTCTTTGGTTTCGTCCATGTGTCCTTTATACATGTTCCAAGTAGATTCCAATTATTTTTTCAAATGACATGACTTAAGCAAAGGTTTAAAAAGGGAGGAGTGCAATATATTGATTGGTCCAGGGAATGGAAAAATGGAGGACTTCACTGGTTTGGGGCATGGCTGAATCTAGGACCAATTGGTCATTGCCAGGCAAGACTCTCTTCCCTCAGCTGACAAAATCACCACTGGCAAATCAGGCCTAAATCCCTGAGCTTAGCAGCCCTGTAGAAATAGATCAGGTGAGCCTCACCTCAGTCACGTGGGCTGAGTTGGAGAGAGGAGATCCCAGGGAAAACCCTCAGGCTGTGTTAGTCAGAGCTCTCCAGAGAAGCAGAACCAACAGAATGCACACAGAGAGACTGAGTATAAGGCATTGGCTCACACAATGATGTACAGCAGCAATTTTCCACCAGTGTGCCGCAAGAATTTTTAAAGCATGCAATATCTGACTAGTCAGGGGCACTGACCTCTTTTCCCTTAGATTATCAAATTTTTTTGAAAATGACAACACACCAGTAGCTGTCCAGGGAGAATGAATCAAAATTATACCTATTTTTTTTGTGTCAGAACAACAAAAAATACATTTTTGGTGTGCTGTAGAATTTTAGTAATTTGTTTATGTGTGCCATGAGATGAAAAAGGCTGAAACTCACCAGTGTACAGAATTGTACAGAAGAAGACCTGTTATAGGGAATTGGCTCACAATTATGGGGACTGAGAACCTCGAGATATGCCGCTGGCAAGCTGAAGGCCAGGAAGAGATGATGGTGTGTTTCTGGTCAGTCCAGAGGCCTGCAAAACCAGGTAAACTGACTGTGTGAGGCTGGCAGCCTCAAGGCCTGAGAAGGGTCAATGTTTCAGTTCAAGTCCAAGGCCGGAAAAGGCCAATGTCCCAGATCTTGCAGTCAGCCAGGAGTTGTCCCCACTCACGCAGCCTTTTGCGTTCTATTCAGGCCCTCAACTGCTGGCTGAGGCCCACCCACATTAGACAGAGTGATCTACTTTACTTAGACTATGATTTAAATGTTCATCTGATCCAGCCCTGGCTGGTGTGGCTCAGTTGGGTAGGCATCATCCTGCAAACTGAAAGGTCACAGGTTCAATTCCCACTCGGGGCACATTCCTGGGTTGTGGGTTCAGTCCCCAGTCAGGGTGAATGCAAGAGGCAACCAATGAATGTTTCTCCCTTTCTCCCTCCCTTTCCCTCTCTCTAGAACCAATAAAAGGGAGAAAATGTTTCATGTTAATCTTCCTGAGAGACACCCTCATAGACACAGCTAGAATGTTTGGTCAAATATTTGAGCACCCAGGGAGGTTATATTTAAAATTAAATACCACAAACTTTGACCAGAAGAAAAGGCTATAGATCTGTCTTGGACAAAACCAATAGTTGTCCTTTGTCCAACTGGCAGAATGCAGTGAGCCATTAAAATGCAGGTGGGGCCGACTGTGTGCCTGGCCGAAAAACACTTTACTTTTGGTTTTCAACTCAGTTAAGCCTCATAGCCAGCCTGCAAGGTGGGGACTATCGTCTTCATTTTACAATCGGAGAAATCAAAGCACAGAAAAGTTAACATAACTTGCCCAAGGTTGCACAGCCCCTAAGGGCCATGCCTACACTTGAATCTGATCTCTCTGGCTCGGAATTAATGCCCTGAACCGCACTTGAAGCGCAAAATCTGGACGCCCAACAGGAGGTGCGGTGAGATCCCTTTGTGGGAAACTAGATCCCCTGCCCCATCCACACGTGTTTGCCAGTTATTTAAAGGAAACTGTTTGAAGCAATAAGGTGCTATTATCAGTGGTTACTTCTGGGTGATAGGTTTAGGGGGCTGGGTTGCAGTAGGGATGAGCAGTTTAGGTTCTTTTCACTTTCCACTCTTTGGTGCTGTTGGGCATTTATTTGTTTCTGGTTATACCCCCAATTGAACTATCTGATTTCAGGGGTCCTAACTTCCAAACTGCATGGCTTCTCCCCACGCCCACACAGGTGACCCTGGCAGGCTACGGCTTCGCCTTCCGCTACTCCCCAGGTGGCAGACACGTGGCCTGTGTGGAAGGCAGCAGGAGCCCCCACGAGGGGGACCTGGAGCTCATGAGCATGGACGTGCACAAGGGATGCGGTAAGAGGCCAGAGAAAGGGGGTCAGGACCCTGGAGACACGCTTCTCATACAAGGGCAGCTCTAGGTTTTCACAGCCACGGACAGCAGAGGACCATACACTGGAGTCACCTCAAGGAGCCGTGACAGGGATTTAAAATTAAGAATAGAGCCCTGGCTGGTGTGGCTCAGTGGACTGAGCGCCAGTCTGTGAACCAAGGGGTCAGCTGTTTGATTCCCAGTCAGGACACATGCCTGGCTTGCAGGCCAGGTCCCCAGGAGGGGTACGTGAGAGGCAACCACACATTGATGTTTCTCTCCCCCTCTCTCTCCACCCATTCCCCTCTCTCTAAAAGAATAAATAAATAAAATCTTTAGAATGAAGAATAGTGTCCCCAAGCATTGGGGAGTTGTGGGTAGTGGTTCAGCACCAAGGACAGAGGTCAGCTGGGCACAAGGAAACCCTGCAGATCCAGAGGCCCAGATTCAGGATCTGTTGGAGACTTGGAACATGACAGTTGCCCACCAGTCTCCCAGGAGAGGCCGCTGAGGAAGCAGTTGGCTCCCTGTGTCTGCAGCTCAGGAGTAAACTGCAGATGGAGACTCAGAGGTCGACAGGATCTCAAGAGTTGTCAGCCGAAACCCAGGGAGAGGGTGAGACTATCCAAGCAAAGTGTGCAGTGAGCAGAGAGCCCAGGGCAGGTTCCCCGAGGAGGTCACAGGCCCTCTTTCCCAAATCCCTTGAGACCTTGGCCATCCGTGTGCCTTCATCCTCCCCACAGACTGAGCTCTGAGCCCACCTGGGGGAGAGGCAGTGCCTGTGACTCTGGCATCAGGTGGCAGAAGGCCAGGTGCAGTGGGCTCTCGGTGTCGGGCGAATGCTTACTCGAGTTGTCGTCCAAATCATGACATCTGGCCAGCGTAACAAAAATAAAACCCAGTGGTCGTCTTCGCTCCCCTGCTGAGGCTGTGTGTGTCCTGTTCTGTGTCCTCTGCGGCTCTGGTAACCCCACAATACAGCCATCTCCCCACTAGACTGAAAGACTGGGACCCAGCCACACTCTTGTCGACAATTTGAGAAATTGGATGGGCTGGTGCACAGGGCTCTGAGGGCTCATCGAATGGATGAAAGACAAGGAGATGAGGGAGTGAGCTAGTGCGAGCAGAGATGGAGGGAGGGCTGAGACAGTGAATGAGTAACTGAGAGACGCGTGAGAGTGGGGAGAGTGGGCAAAGAGTGAATGAGCAGCCAAGAGCCCGTGTGTTTGGGTGGTGGAATGTGTGAGTGTTTGGTTGAGTCAATGAGATAGAGAGGGAGGGGCTGGGCGTGGCAGTGAGTGGAGCATCCAGACCAAACCGCCACCTCTTTCCCCCTCCCCAGGGCCCTTCCGCCGCAGTGACCTCCAGTCCCTGGGCTACTGTTTGCTGAAGTGGATCTACGGGACCCTGCCATGGACGAAATGCCTGCCCGACATCGAGGCCATCATGAAGCTGAAACAGAAGTGAGTCTGGGGGTCATCGGAGCCCAGCACTGGCCCGGCACCCCTGCAGCAGGGGCAGAAGCTCAGAACCCCACGGGGGGCAGAAAGGACGGGGAGGCAGCGTCCAGCAGAGCCAGGGCCTCTGCAGTGCTCAGGCGTTTGCTCTACATCCTTTTCCAGCAGACCAGAGTGTGGGCTCTGGAGCCCCACTGCCTGGGGTCCAACTCCGGCCACACAGCTGCGGGGGCAGCGGGGACACCTTAACCTCCGAAAGCCTCAGTGTCCTCAGTGAGATGGGATCCTATTAACACCCACTGTGGGGGCGATGGAAGGGTTCGGGGGAGGCAGGGACACAACACTCCATTGAGAGCCCAGCCTGCAAAAAACGCTCACCACGCACTGGACCGCGTGACTCATTCATTCTTTCACGAGCATGTGGGCAACTGAGCAGTAGGTCTGGGCCCTCCTCCGCACAGCAGCAGCAGCCACTGGTGCTCACACTCCCCCCCCTCACCTCTGCGTGTAAAACCTCCAGAGCCGGCTAGTTCTGTTTACACATTCAGCACCAAGGACAGCGCCCCGTCCGGCCCCTGGAGGCTGGGAAGGGAAGTGCTGAGGTGTAAGGTTCAGCACCAAGGACAAAGGTGCCTGTTTGCAAAGAAAAGTGCTGCCGCTGCGGTTCAGCACCACAGGCAGAGGGACATAAGCGTGGGGCCTTGGTCCTGGGCACCAAGGGCAGTCAGTGGACAGCTGGAGGGACACAGGGAAGCACTGTGGGCCCAGAGGACGGGATTCAAAATTTGGTGCAGACTTGAGGCTGAGAGTTGCCCAGGAGTCCCCCCGGGAGGGCCATCTGGAGGGTAGTTGGCTGTCAGTGTCTGAAGTGCAGAAACGAAGTCTGCACAGAGATTCAGACCTCAGCGGTATCTCGGGAGTTGTCAGCAGCGGCGCTGGGAGGGGTGAGCGTTTCCAGGGAGGCCATGAAGAGTGGGAAGCAGGAAAACTCTCCAGTGAACAGCATTGTGTCTGCAGCTTCTAAGTTCTTAGCGTGCTGTGTTCCTTCTAAGCCTCGCTTGCTTTATCCTTCCCCTTCAATGTGCCCCATCTGCCCCCTCTCACCCATGGATACCCACCCACGCCAATATGCCACACCCATGTTCTACTGACACGTTGGCTTTAACATATTTGTACCCTTAATCTTTCATGATGGTGGTGGCACTGTGTGGTCTGACTTGCACAAATGGTGTTCGCTAAATCAAACCTGTTCCTGTCCTTTTTCCTGCGCCACTGTGTTCGCCAGCTCTCACCCCAGTGTTCCACATGCCTCAGGTTTCCTGCTTCTGACCACTGCTTTTAAAGAAGTTTGTACGGACGTGTCTGCGTCCTTGAACACTGTACAATGAGTGTACTTACTCTGCATAAATAGTGCTCTGCTCGAAATTCCATTGTTTCTGGCCTTCTTTCAGTGCTGTGTTTCTGAACCATCATCTACGTCGCTGGTTCACCACCTCTGAATACTTCTCCTGACTTTGCTTGTTTAAATGCACCTCTGTCCTCGAAACACTTTGAAGCCCGTGTGTCCCCAGGGCGGGAGGCTGGACACAGCCTCCCTCCACTGAGCCCTCAGCTGTGCGGTACCTGCTGTGCTCATGAGTCGTTCTAGGCCCTGGGGCACAGGATCCAGTAAGACACGCACCCCTGCCCTCGGGAAACTCCCACACCTGCTGGGGGAGAGGGGAGATACCAAGAGTGGAGCACAGTGCAGGTCAGGGGTCAGACCGGTGGGGCAGTCAGAGCCCTGGGGAGATCCAGCAGGGTGCTGGGGACAGGCAGGGTGAGAGCACCTGCCACTCTTGTAGACTTAATGGTCAGTGTGGGTGTCACAGCAAGGGTGACAGGCCAGTCACCTCCAGAGGGGCGGTGAGGCAAGGAGGAGGCCTCACTTTGGTTGATGTGCCCCTAACATCCCTGCAGAAGGAAGGACAGACAGACAGACAGAGACAGACAGAGGCCTTCAGCTCCCAGGCTTCCGCAGGCTGCCTCTGCCACAGAGCCTGGCAGACATGCCTACTGTCTTGTTTCCTTGGGACTCACTGCTGCTGGAACTTACTCTCCAGCTCTCCCATAGCTTTCCACCTGTGAAGTGCAGCCGGGTGAGAACACGAGTCATAGGACGGGGGCACAGGTGGCAGGAGTGTGCCGCCCGTCCACTGACGCATTGAGTGGGCCTGAAGCGTGTGGCCCACTCCTTTACATGTTCTGTTGGCTTAGTTAGGGCCAAGGCGGAGTTGCCCTTGCGAGCAGACCCCACAACAACGCTGTGGCCCAGATGAGGCAGCCGTTTGCTTCCCTCTGTGGACACCCCCAGGGTGGGAGGTGGAGGGTGGCGGGTGCCTCCGCCTCCTTCCACGGGCACATGTCCTTCTCCGGGTGCCAGCCCTGCTGCCACCATCGACCTTCACTTTGAAAGGGCAGGACCGGAAACGATGTGTGTCTCCTGGTCATGTGGCCACCCTGAGCTGCGGTGGGCTTGGGAAACGTCTGCAGCCTTTGGCTGCCGACCCTGGGGATCCTGCCATCCAAGGGGAGAGGTGACACTGGGGGGGGAGGGGTTGGCAGGGAGCAGGTCCTCCACAGTGCCACCTGGCGTCATGTTTCTGAGGGCAAGGGCCACACTGGCTCTCTTCGTCACCGTCACCGTCACTGTGTCATTCACAGCACAGTGCTGGGTGTTGGTGAGTGCCCACGAGATCGCTGTGAAATGAACACGTGAGCCTTTGCTCTCAGGCCTGGGCTTCCGTGTAGACACGCAGGTCAGCCAGACAGGCCCCAGCCTTGGGGATTCCCAGGCTGGAGGCAGACATTTGGACAGGAAGCAGACACTGCATGTGGTGGTGGAAGCCCCCAGGGGCCGCTGTGGGAGCAGAGGGGAGGCACGTGACCTGGCCTCAGCCCACTGGGAGCCTTGACCCCAGGGGATGCCTGGCTCAGTCTATAGAGAGCAGAGTTATTTCCCAGGCAGGCAAGGGGGAAGCAAGATTTCCAGGCCAGTAGGATGGCACTTACGTGAACTCTTCATTCATTCATTCACTCATTCATCCACTCATTCATTCACTCATTCATTCATCTAGGACCTGTCTTCCCAGGGCATCATTGTGCCAGCCCTGTGCTAGCAAATGCTGGAGGTCAGCTGAGGGCCCCTCTTGCCATCAGTGGAACCACCTGCTGAGGCTCCAATGGGCTGGATCCTCTCTCTACCTCCCTAACTCCTAAGAAGTCATGTTTCCTTTTTCACATCTCTCCCACCTTCCCCTTCATGATGACCTCAGGTGCCTCGCTCAGAGGCTCCGCAATCGCCAAGGTGGTGCAGAGTAAAGAAAATGGGTCCCAGTAAGCGTTTTAATATTGATGATTTCAGTACAAATAGCACTTCATTCCAAGTCCCTGATCCCAACCGCAACTACAGAGGGAGGGTGGGACAGGTGAACAGGCTCCACCTGGAGACCTGGGCAGTAATATTGCTATCATTCTGGACCCCACCGCCCAGAGTCGAGGCAGTAACGAAGAGAACCACGAGGGGGCGATGTTGGAGCTTGCAACTTTTCTGGAACCCTAACTTGTCTTCCTCTGGGACATCTTAGAGGTTGGTGTATGTGACCTTTTTCCACTCACTCAACAAATATTTGTTCATTTTCTTGTACATCCTAGTTCATGCCAGAATGAATGACTAAAAGAAACAAAAGCCCTGTGGATTGAGCGCTGGCCTGCAAACCAAAAGGTCACTGGTTTGATTCCCAGGCAGGGCGTGTGCCTGGGTTGTGGGCCTGGTGAGAGGCAACCAATTGATGTATCTCTCACACACTGATGTTTCCCTCTCTTCCTCTCTTCCTCCTCCTCTCTAAAAAAGTAAATAAATGAAATCTTAGGAAAAAAAAAAGAACGAAACAGAAGAGACACTGGGATGCCCCATGGCTTTCTGGTGTGCGAAGCACCCAGCTGGGAAAGGACAGACGTGACCCCGATTTGGTCCCTGCTGTTAAGGCTGCCAGCTGGGCGGGAAAATCCCACCACCACTGACAGCAACAGCCAGTGGGGGAAGGACTGCTCACTTGCTCTGTCACTCATTCATTCATTCACCACACACATCCTGAGGCTATACATGCATCTTGCCGGGTGCTGTAGTGCATCTGTGGCCTTCTGTACAGGGTGTGAGCAAACTCAGGAGGGATGGACTTCCTCTGCCTAGAGGGGCCAGGGGAAGCTTCCAGGACACCAGCCCTTGAGCTGGGTCCTGAAGCCGGAGCAGCCACCTAGTGGGGTCAAGGCAGGGAAAGGCCGTCCAGGGCAGAGAGGGCATTATGAGGCCAGAGATGTTTGGGGAGCTGGAAGAACTTTGGTGTGGCCAGAGTGTGAGATGAAGGGGAGGAAGTCAGGGAGACAGGGTCAGAAGGGCCGGCCTGCTCCCGGGGACTTTCCTGGGGAGCCACAGGAGGGCTGCGAGCTGGGAGGGGCAGAGGCAGCTCTGGGCATAGAAAAACTCTGGGACCGTGCATGGGAGATGGAAGACCAGGGAGGAAGCTGGGGTCCAGGGAGAGGGTGAGGCCTGAGCTGGGCCCAGAGTCATGCACAGAGTGGGGGGTGGGGCAGAAAGGGCTAGGGAGCAGGCAGGTGGGGCTTGGGGACTTCCGGGAGGGTGGGGGAAGGGAAGGACAGTGCCCAGGGTCTGGGTGGACATTGGAGATGAGCCAAGGACGTAGATGAATTTCTGTTTTTCCTGAGTGGTCCAAGAAGGGTGTGTATGTGTTTATGTATATTGTATACAACTATCTGTGTGTGGATAGTCATTCTTCATTATTCACGGATTTCATGTGTGTGAATTTGCCTGTTCACTCAAATGTATCTGTAACCCCCACATCAACACTCAACAGTGCTCTTGAGATCATTCTCAGACACACGCAGAGTGGGCAGAACTTAGGGTGGCCTGCTGCCCACGGTCCCAGCGGAGGTCAGACAGGCCGTGCCCCACCTCTTTGGGTCAGCTCTCTCACTGTAAGCCAGCATGTGGCCTACTTTATGGCCCACTTTCCGCCTTTTTGTACTTTTTGTTGGTGATTTTGCTGTTTCAAGTGGCCCCAAGGTGCGCTCTCCCTCTCAGGCGCCTGCCCACACCTTTCTTCCCTCTCAGGTAGGCATCTCCTGAAGTCTAAGGGACCCACGAGACTTGCAGCCAGGGGAGCCGTGGGCAGCGGCAGCTCGTCCCGGGCTCACCCCCTGCACCTGTCCCCAAGGCTCCTTTCCTCTGACTCCAGTGAGCTCAGGCAGCCCGGCCCAGGCGCTCCTGCTGCTGCTGCTGTGCTAAGCCCTTCCCTGCTTCACTGTGCCCCACTTTAAGGAATGTACTCTCACAATCAATCAATCAATCAATCAATCAATAATACAGCGGCCCCAAGCGTAGGCTGCAGTGCTGTCTCGTGTTCCTCAGCATCAGAGGCAGTGACGTGCTCCCAGAGAAAGGCCGTGTGTTAGACGAGCTTCCCTCAGTGCTGCTGGCCACGAGTTCCATGTGGATAAATCCACATTATGTTAAATAAGATGCCTTTGAACATAACCACATAAAACAAGGTTCTTATGTATTGATAAGTCGATGAAAATGTCGGGAGCAGCCCTGGCTGGTGTGGGTCAGTGGATTGAGCGCCAGCCTGAACACCCAAGGGTCGCTGGTTCAATTCCCAGTCAGGGCACATGCTGGGGTTGCAGGCCAGATCCCCATTAGGGGGCACATGAGAGATAGCCAATCCATGTTTCTCTCTCCCTCTCCCCCTCTCTCTTCCCCTCTCCCTAAAAGTAAATAAATAAAATCTTTTTTTAAGCTTTCCCCCGCAAAAAAATGCCCTGGCTGGTATGGTTCAATGGATTGAGCACTGGCCTGGGGACTGAAAGTTTGCTAGTTTGCTTCCCAGTCAGAGCGCATGCATGGCTTGCAGTCAGGTTCCCAGTTGGGGGTGTGTACAAGAGGCAACCAATCAATGTTTCTCTCTGTGTCTTTCTCCTCCTCTTTCCCCTCACTCTAAAAATAAATGAAATATTTTTTTAAAAAAGAAAAGAGAATGTTGTGACCGGAGGCTCACAGGAACCTAATACATTTCCCCTACAAGCAGATTCAGAAGTTGCTAATTCAGTGTTCAGGGTGACTCCACAGGGCGTAACTACCATGAATAATAAACATCTACTGTGCAGCGATGAGACGTTTTGTCTAAATGGTTGCTGTCCCTTCCCCGAAAGACCTTTGCATGTACCTCTGTCCTCTCAGGTTCCTTGACAATCCGGAGGCCCTGGTGAGACAGTACAGTCGCCGGATGAGTCCCTCAGGTATGTCCTGAAGGGGAGGGACAGGCAGGGGGACCATGGCAGGACAGGGTTGGGGGGGGGCTTGGATCCATGCGAGGTCGCCTGTCTTTAACACACCTCTGTTGTCCTTCTTTGAATATTTCAATTTGCATATGTGTATGTGCTCATCGTAGAAAAACAAAAATCTTGCCCTGGCTGGTATAGCTCAGCGGATTGAGCACAGGCTGCAAACCAAAGGGTCACCAGTTCGATTCCCAGTCAGGGCAGGTGCCTGGGTTGCCGACCAGGTTCCCAGTGAGGGCCATGTGAGAGGCAACCACACATTGATGTTTCTCTCCCTCTTTCTCCCTCCCTTCCCCTCTCTCTAAAAACAAATTAAAAAAAAAATCTTCTACCCAAAATTCATAAGTGTCTCTGAACAAAAACAATACACATGCACACAAAACCTATGTACATGCCCTGACTGGAATTGAACCTGTAACCCTTTGGTGTATGGGATGACGCTCCAACCAACTGAACCACCTGGCCAGGACATAATGATTTTTTTTAAGATTTTTAAAAATATTTTATTTATTTTTAGAGAGGGAAGGGAGAGAGAAAGAGAGAGAGAGAGAGAGAGAGACATCAATGTGCGATTGCTGGGGGCCGTGGCCTGCAACCCAGGCGTGTGCCCTGACTGGGAATCGAACCTGCAATGCTTTGGTTTGCAGCCTGAGCTCAATCCACTGAGCTATGCCAGCCAGGGGATTTTTTTTAATGAAATCATATTTTGTATATTGGTCTCCACGTTGCTTTTTTTTTATGTAAGAAGAGTCTACCTTGGAGATTTTCTGTATCAGTTTTTGTAGAGTTTCATCAGTATTTTTTAATCTGTGGTAAAATACACCTAATGTCAGTAATTTAAAGCTGCAGTTGTGACTCATTAGTCACGAAAACCAATTTAATGGGTTGAAAATAAGATTTTTAAAAATTTATTTTTAAATATATTTTTAATATATTTATTTTAGACAGAGGGGAAGGGAGGGAGAAAGGAAGGAGAGAAACATCAATGTGTGGTTGCCTCTTGCACACCCCCCTACTGGGAACCTGGCCTGCAACTCAGGCATGTGCCCTGACTTGGAATCGAACTGGTGACCCTTTGGTTCTCAGGCCAGTGCTCAATCCACTGAGCCACACCAGCCAGGATGGATCTTTAAAAATTTAAAAGAACAGAAAATATATTAGTGCTTCTCAAGAATTAAGGAAATATGAGCTGTAAGTTTCAGAGATACGTGTTTATACACGTATGTACATATGTGGGTGACAGATTATAATGTAAACTATATTTCTAGTTATGTTTCAGTTTTTAAATACTTGAAAACCAGTACTGCATCTGGGTGCATCAGCCCACCATACAATACATGATATAATGCACCATATAAATGAATGTATCAAAATATTTTGCTAACTCTTCATTGATAAACCTTTAGAGCCTTTAGATTGTCTCCAACTTTCTGATATTATAAACTCTTTACTCCTTTTTTTTCTTTACTGGGTTTTGGTGTAAATACCAATCTAATCTTTGCTTATAAAATTATTTAAACCAAACAGAAACATGTTACATAAAAAATGAAAGTTCCTGACCCTTCCTTGCCCCCTCCCCAGTCATACTTTTAGAGAAATCCAGTGAGCACATATCACTTACCTACTGTTTTGTAACAAACCACATCAAAACAGAATGACCTAAAACCACAGCCATTTCTTTTCTTTACGACTCAAATAACTGTCAGACCGGGTTCAGCCCAGTGGTTGATCGGCTGGTCTTCATGCCCGGGATGGCTCCATGGGGCCGGGGCTGGTGGGTTCAGGTGGCTCCTCTCCCTCCTTCCCATCTGGCGATAGGTGTCCAGTTGTCACAGGCAGGCCTAGGAGTCCTCAGGTGGGATGGCTCATCTCTGCTCCCCGGGTCCCACACCCTCCAGCAGGCTGGAGGGGGCTTCCTCATGAGGTGCCCTTGGGGAAGCCTTCCAGGAGGGCAAGAGTGGACACTGCCAAGCATGGGGGTCCCGGAACGGCAGGTCCTCCACATTCACTCCCAGCGTCAGCAAGGCCAGCCCACTCTCCAGAGGCGGGAAGCAGCAGTCACATGGTGAGGGGACAGGCAAGCAGGGACTGCAGGAGTGGAGACTCCGCCAGCTGCAGCCAGTACTCCATCTGCATATGTGGCCAGCAATGGATAAATGCTTGCACGTGTGGTTTTGTTTTACAAAGCCATTGGTTTTTACAAAACTCTGAAACAAAAACAGTCTCATCCTGCACACGTTTTGGTCGACATCTTGCTTTTTACGTTCCTGACCATCGGGCTCTTGGTGTTGTTACTCACACATGCATCGTAGCGGTTTTTCACAGCTACACCATATTCGTAGTTTGGCTAAACCATCCTTTTTAAGGCCAGTCCCTGTTATTGGAGATTTAGGCTGTTTTTGGTTTCTGTATGTGTGTGGTTTTTTTCTCCCAGTGTTCTTTCTGGAGAACTCCTACAGCGCCCTCTAAGCAGGAGGCAGGATGAAACAGACACGGATAGTTCCTCTGATGCCTCCAGCTCTGTAAGGGCTCACTTTAAAAAAAAATTTTTTTATTTGCTCTTAGAGAGAGGAGAAGGGAAAGAGGAAGAGAGGTAGAGAAACATCAATGTGTGAGAGATGCAGTGATGGGTTGCCTCTCACCTGCCCGCAACTGGGGGCCTGGCCCACAACCCAGGCATGTGCTCTAGCCTGGGAATGGAACCAGCGACCCTTTGGTTCGCAGTCCGGCGCTCAGTCCACTGAGCCACACCAGTCAGGGCAGGGCTCACTTTTTAATTTCCTGAAACCCCTGAATTCAAGTCCTGGCTGTGCTGCCCAAGTTACTCACGCCTCCAGCCGTGCGTTCTCGATCCTTAAGGAGTGAGTTCCGAGCTCGTCGTAGGCCGGGGCGGGGCTTGCGTGATTGACGTGGGGGTGAGGGCGGGGCTGGCCCGCCTGTAGGAGGAGGAGGTCGCAGCCTCTAGTTAGGTACCTACCAGGCCGGGGAACTTCCGTGGATAAATGTACCTCTCAGAGCTTCAGCTTGAGTAGAAAGGGGCCAGGAACAGATCCCGCCCCCGGGGTTGCCCAGGGAATTCAATGCAGAGCGGCCTGCGCAGAGCTCCGCCCAGGAGCGCTGCCTCAGCTTCGCTGCAGCCCTGATCCAACGAGTTTCTTAGTTTAGTGGCGCACATCCCCGAGGTGGGGATTATTATGCCTGCTATCGGTGTGATAACGGACGCTTTTTGAGAGAGTGATGATGGTATTGTACTTATTCAGGAGGGAAAGAAACAACAATAGCAAAAAGTCTTTATCATTTAAGCTGTGTCCCTGGGGCCTGCGTCTGTGAAGCCAGAACTATTTTGCATTTTGAAATGGGGGGGGGGCGTGGAATGAAAACATTACTGTGAAACTTACCTGAAATTCAGGCTGCAGCATCCATAAGTCTGGGCACAGCTACGCCCATTCGCTCACTCACTTGCTGGCTGCTTTTGTGCGAGAACGGCTGAGTTGAGTTCTTTCCGACACAGACCAACCAAAAATGTCGACTCACTGGACTTTCCAGTAAAAGTTTGCAGGTCCCCGTTTTAGGGGTCCACTAAAGATTTACAGGTAAAATGACAATTAGCTGGGATCTGCTTTCAAACAACACAGGAGGGGCAGTGGTAGGGTTCAGAAGAAAGATTAGCTTTGATTGACAGTTGCAGAGACTGGTGATGGGTTTGCAATACTGTTTCTCTGTTGCGTATGTCTGATGTTTTCCAAAAAAAATGTTTTAAAGTCCTGGCTGGTGTGGTTCAGTGGATTGAGTGCCAGCCTTTGGCCTGCAAACCAGAGGGTCACCAGTTCGATTCCCCGTCAGGGCAGGTGCCTGGGTTGCAGCCCAGGTCCCCAGTAGGGGGCACATGAGAGACAACCTCACATTGATGTTTCTCTTCCTCTTTCTCCCTTCCTCTCTCTCTAAAAATAAATAAAATCTTTTTATTTATTTGAGAGGTATTTATTTGAAATAAATCTTTTTATTTATCTGAGAGGTACATTAAAAATAAATAAAATCTTTTTTAATGTTTTTATTTATTTGTTTATTTATTTATTTTTAGAGAGAGTGGGAGGAAGGAAGAAAGAGGGAGAGTAACATCAATGTGTGGTTGCCTTTCACGTGCCCCCTACTGGGGACCTGGCTCGCAACCCAGGCACTTGCCCTGACCCGGAATCGAACCGGGAACTCTTTGTTTCACAGCCTGCACTCAATACCCCTGAGCTATACCAGCCAGGGCTAAGTAAAATGTTTAAAAAAAAATTTTTTTTTAATCTCAGTGCCTGTGGCCACGCCAGGCACAGGGGCTACACAGACTAGATGGGCACCGTGAGTGAAACTCTCAGGGCGCAGCCACCTGTGCTCAGGGCTGGGGGCCCCTCTGAAACCTGTCCCGTGGTGGGGGTGTCTCGGCCACAGAGGCCCCGCAGGAGTACCTGCAGGAGTACCTGAAGATGGTGATGGCCCTCCAGTACGACCAGAAGCCGCCCTACGTCGTGCTGAGGACCAAACTGGATGCCCTGCTGCAGAAGCTGCGGGTGTCGGCCTACGGGCCCATAGACCTCCACATAGCGCCGTAGGTGGGTTCCGCGGGGACCAGCCTGTGAGTCTGAACCCCCAGCCCTGCTTCCTGGACCTCACTGGATGTTTATTCCAGGCGCCAACCTCCTAGTTAGACGCTGGATTTTTCCACAGGGTTCTTGAACTTTCCAACCCCTGCCCCGCACCTCTCCCCCACCCCACCCCCCAAGCAATCACAAGTAGCAGAAACCTGACTCAAACTGGCTTTTCCAAAGAGGCGGGTTGATGGTCTCTTGCAGCTAGAAAATTCCAAATGGGGAAGCTTCAGGCATGACGGGATTCCCAGCCCAGAAAATAGCATAGAGGTACTATCTGCCTCTGTCTTTCTGTGTCCTTCTTTCTTCCCTCTGCCCCTCCAGCCATCCCCCTAGAGTCTCTGCTCTCCTTTTGGTTGGCTCCCGTGTCCGCCCTCTCCCCCGAAAAACCTCACTGGCTCAGTGCCCCTGCTATTTGCACGTCGTGCTTCATCTCGCGGCCCTTCCTGTCAGCGCAGAACGTCCTTGTTTACGCAGCACCAGTGCCGCGTTCTGTTCTGTGCAGAGGGAGGGGTGCTCCCGGTAACCTGCGGCTAGCCTGTGCTCGCTTTGTGTGAGAGTGCACAGGAATTTGGGGGAGGTCAAAACTAAATGCACTTCACTAAACAGCTTTGGCAAGGCCGCATGGGCGTTGTGAAGAGGAGCTTCCCCTCGGTCCTCCTCCATCCATGGAGCTGAAATTTCCTCCCGGCCGGCTGGGATCAGAGCTCAGGGTTGGTCTAACTCAGGCCTTCCCCGATGGGGGCAAGAACAGCTGGGGGCTTCGGTCACTGTCTGCAGACACTCTTGGTTGTCACCACTGGGGAGAGGGTGCTACAGGCATCTAGTGGGTGGAGCCTGCGGCTGCTCAGCCTCCCACAGCGCACAGGCCGGCCCACCACAGAGATTCGCCAACCTTATTAACGTAGTTCGTGCCGAGGGTGAGGGAGCAGCCATGTCTTCAGGCGCGCTCCTGGTGGCAGCCGCAGCCCTCTTCCTGGTGGCACTTTGGTTACACTGCTTCCTCACTCCTGCACCCTTCCTTCACTCACGTCCCAGGGCGGACAATGTGAGATCACCCATAGGTAACGCTGTTCACCCAGGCCTGGTCCTGGAGCTCACCGAAAATGCCAAGGTGTGGGTTCAGTTTGTTCCACGGGATCATGAGGTCTCGCCTGAATGACAAACACTTTCCAAAAGTGAAGGCGTGTGACTTCTCCACCAGTGTGCCCCAGACCCAGTCTTTCCAGCCTGGCAAGTGGCTGCTCTGTCCCGGAGCTGTCCGAAAGGCCTCGGGGCCTCGGGGTCCTCCCCAGGCCCCTCCCTCCTCCTGCTGTCCCTCCTTGTCCATTTCCTCCAGGTCTCGGCCCTGCCCTATCCCAGGGACCCCGCCCTCCCCCAGATGGTGGACTGTGCGGTCACTTGTCGTAATCACCTGCTGGCATGAGCTCCGTGAGGGCACATCATGCCTTGCTCCAGCATCCCTGTCTCTCCGGCACGTTGCTGCCTGGCGCGCCCATGTTTATCGAGGGGCTTCGCCAGCCTTCCACGGGGTGCAGGCCTGTCCTCCCTGCCTGCCTGTCTGCACAGCACAACAGCCGCATTTCAGGGCCATTATGGTTTCCGATCTGCTTGCTCTCCAGGGACCTCTAATTCAGCAGCAGGTTTGCCCCTCGGTTGGGAACGTAATGAGATGCTGTTTAAGGAGCCCAGTGACCTCGGGGTAACTTAAAGGTCACTCCACCTCTGCTCTGTGGCCACTCCTCGTCTTGCCCGTGGGCCCGCCTTCCCCTCCTCCAGTCCATTATACGCCAGCCACCGTCCTCCGCTCACCTGCCAGACTCTGCCAAGCCCGGTCTGCCTCAGGACATTTGCACTTGCCATGCCCGTGGTCTGGAATGCTTTTTCCCTTCCGGCTTTGTGCGGCTGACTCCTTCCCGTTTCTGGCTCTCAGATCCCGAGGCCCCCTGACCACCCCCGCCCTTGGGGGACCTCCTCACCTCCTCTCTTACCTGTCACCTCTTCTCTGCACAGCCGTGCCCGCCTCGAAGGGAAGCATGTGTTTAATTTGTAGAGTCTCCACCTCCCTCCTCAAAACTGTCAGCCCAGCAAAGGTGTCTTGTTGCCCTCGTTTGCAGTGGGTCCCAGTTCCCAAGAAGAGCTTGTCCCACAGCAGAGCCTTAAAGGGGGCTCCTTGGATGCATAAGATGCTCACAGCGATTTTTATTGTCTTCCAGAACTTTCAAGTCCCAGTTGAAGTAGAAAAAAAAGAGAAGAACTGTGACTCCAGGCCTGCTGTAGACATGCTTCTAGAAAGATCCCTCAAATGTGCATTCCTGCCGCTGCTTTCAGAGACGCTGCCTGTCAGTTTCGGTTAGCGTCAGGGCACCTGGCAGCTGGGCCCCAGGCGATGTGAGCAGCCTCCCGCCCAACTGTCCCACCTTTCAGCCGGTGTCTCCCAGCAGCCGCTGGGTCGTGAACAGAGAAGACCCCCAACTCACGGCCCCTCAGGGAGACCCTTCCTGCCACTGGCACCACTATGCTTTGGTAATAAATTGTTTCACTGGAGCTTGGAGAGTTGCATGTCTGCAAAAGAAATCCCTCTTGAAAAAGTCGAACTCCCTTTTTCCCCCACCCACCCATCCCTTCAACCTTTCCAGACCTCATGGGGCCACTCATCGATGCATTTGCCCGTCCTTCTGCCCGTCCTTCCATTCATACACAGATGCTCTTCAACTTACAATGCGGTTACATCCCATTATAAGTTGAAAATATTTTAAGTTGAAAATGCACTTAGCCCTGGCTGTTTTGACTCTGTTGGTTGGAGTATTGGCCTGTAAACCAAAAGGTCGCAGGTTCAATTCCAGGTCAGGACACATGCCTGGGTCGTGGGTTTGGTCCCCCATTGGGGTGCATGCAAAAGGCAACTGATCAATGTTTCTCTCTCACGTCAATGTTTTTCCCTCTCTCCCTCCCATCCACCTTTCTAAAATCAATAAGCACATCCTTGGGTGAGGATTAAAAAAAGGAAGAAAGAAAAGACAAAGAAAATGCACATAATGAACCCAGATACAGAACTATACCTTCCATAAAAATTAAACTCAAATGCAAAACTATGAAACTTCTAGAAGAAAACATAGGAGAAAAACCTATATGACTTTGGTAAAAAAAAATTAATAAAAGAAGGAAAGGAAGAAAGAAAAAACAGGAAACTGCATTTAACACTACGCCATGGAGTACCTGCTGTTTACCTGGTGACCACTAGGCTGAGGAAGCTGTACTCACAGCCGCTGTCTGGTGTCATAAGACAGTATGGCACCCCATCTCGCTGGCCCGGGAAAAGATCAAACCTCAGAATCCAAATTCCACTATCGTTTCCACACCCTGGTAAATTCAAAGTATTGTATGTAAGTCAACCCACCAGAAGTCTGGGACCGTCTGCATCTGCCCATCTGCCCAACCCTCCATCCAACCATTCATTTAGGACTTGTTCCCCCAGCAGCTCACCCTCCCTGCCTGCCATTCATTCATCCTTCCTTTCATTCAACAAATACTCACCAGGCACAGGCATCGTGCCACGCAGAGGATCCTGGTGAACCAGACCCACATCCAGGTGACAGAAGCCCGTTCTCTGTCCCCCACACCTCGACTCTACCCCAAAATGAAACTTTGGCTTAATCAGACATTTGTGGTGCTGGTGCCAGCTGTGGGGTGGTGAACCATTTTTACCGCAGGACACCGCTGAGCCTTCAGTGAAGGCAGGTGTGGTGCATCTGCAGGAGGGCCCCCGGTCGCACGCAGCTGGGAGCAACGAGTCATTTCCCTCTGCTTACGAGAAAGGCTTGCTCCTAAGGCAATTATGAGTGGGATCCCTGCCAGACGAGGCCTCAGAAACAATAGCAAACATTTGCAGAGACTCTTCCTGGTGTTAAAAAGCAAAATTCACGCTCTCACTGATGTAGTTCAGTGGATTGAGCGTGGGCTGTGAACTAAAGGGTGGCTAGTTCAATTCCCAGTCAGGGCACGTGGCTGGGTTGCAGGCCAGGTCCCCAGGAGGAGATGCTCAAAAGGCAGCCGTACAGTGATGTTTCTCTCCCCCTCTTTCTCCTCCTTCCCCTCTCTAAAAATAAAATAACTAAAAAGTTAAAAAAAAACCCATACTCAATGGCTAATTTTAACAAGTCAGCAAAATCTGTTTATTTAAAGCACTGAAATTGTTCTTTAGTTCTAAAGAAAAGGACCCCCAAATTCTTGACTTTAAAATATACCCCAGAGGGAAGTCTATTTCATTTCTTATAATTTCCAATATCTGTTCATCAGTAGGATTATGCAGATTGAAAGAAAATAGTGTTAAGTGCTCTGCAGTTTACCAGAACTTCTTGGAAGTGCTGAAGAATTGATGGAAAATGTGCCCTTACCAGTGGGGCTTGCTTGGTTGGGTGTCATCCCTCAAACCCAAAGCTCACCAGTTCAATTCCTGGTCACTGTTTCTCTCTGACATCAGTGTTTCTGTCCCTCTCTCCCTCCCTCCCCCTCTCTCTGAAATCAAAAATTAAAAGTATAAAACACTCTTTTAAAGAATTGATGAAAAATGTACCCCTCCAAGTGTCAAAGCCATTCTTTACAAAGACATTACTTGGACCAGGACGAGAAATTCTGAGTTGAAGTGGGTTATTATCGCAGCATTTCCATGATGGTCTTTTCAAAAAGATTTTATCCCTGGAAGAATGTGATTCTTTCCCATAGATGTCCCAAAATACTCTCTACCAACCCGGGGACAAGTGGAACCATCTTAAGGAAATAAGAAATGACAACAAGCCTCTCATTTTGTGGGTGGGCACCATACTTTTTTTTACTATATTATTCCTTTTTTTAAATTTATTGCATTTTTTTCCATTGCCATTGGGTCCCCTTACACCCTCCTCCCCCAGCAATCACCACACTGTTGTCCACGTCTGTGAGTCCTTTTCCCTTTTGGCATCATTTTCAGGAGTCACTAAGCAATGCAACACAGTCCTGCAGCAGGGCACAGCCAGTTGTGCCACAAAGGATGGAATCCCAACCCATCGAATTTGAGGAGCAATTATAGTACAAAGGTGTTAACTTTTAAAAAAATATTTTCTTTATTTTCAGAGAGAGAGACAGAAACATCAATATGTGAGTTGTCTCTCATGGGCCACCAACTGGGGACCTCACCCACAATCCAGGCATGTGCCCTGACTGGGAATCAAACTGGCGACCCTTTGGTTGGTAGGCCAGCGCTCAGTCCACTAAGCCACACCATCCTGTTGACGGGAGAGACCTGGTTCTTCTTGCTGACGCATGTAAAGAATTACATAGCAAATCTAGTAGTATGTAATCAGTTTATCAGTGGCCCATTCCCATGGAAGAGAACAGGACTGGGTAGGGTAAGGGGGTGAAAGGCAAAGTTTCAGGGCAAAGCAGGCTGAGAAAAGCAAGAGTGGCTGGAGACCAGGGTGACAAGCCCCAAGGCAGCCTGAGGCTGGGTGGCCAGAGGCCCTGTGGCCCGAGAGCCAAGAGCACCCTGAGCCCGAGAGAGAGAGAGAGAGAGAGAGAGAGAGAGAGAGAGAGAGTCCTTTGTACTGAGGACTTATATAGTTGGTGGGATAGGATGGAAAAAAAGTTACATATTGATTAATGGGTAAATGTGGTGCCAGCTTTGCTGAGGGGATGTGACTACCCAAACTCAGGTATGTGCAGGGGTCTGTTACCCCAAATCCTTATCTTGCTCCAGGCCCCATTTGTTCACCTTGTTTTAAAACAAATACATGACAGAAGGCAGTTAATTAAAATTGGGGCACTTTCCAAAGTTGTTTATGGGCTCTTTCTGTAAGCATCAGAGACTCCCTGGTAAAACAGATAGTGACCAGAGATAGGCAATTAACCAAAGTTATTTTATGGGTTCTTTCTATGGGCACCGGGGACCCTCTCCCACATTCAGGCATTGGGATGAAAGCACAGTTTCAAAGCTTTCTTTCCCAGACTGTGGAAATGTTACATAGACTTTCAAGGACTTCCCTCCTTTCTTGCTAATATAGTGTCTCTTGTGATGTTAGAACACCTGGCAATATTATCAGACCAGGCTCAGGCCTGCCCGAGTTAGCTTGTGAGACTTGTCTCCTTCCTCCTCCCTGCCTCGGTTTATTATTTATTCCACCTAACTGGTAAAAGGCATTTCCTGGCAACCAGGGTGCTAGATGCTGGCCAGTGACAGTATTGCAGTCTCAGAGTTCTTTCTGTGCTGGCTCCTGCCTCAATCCAGGGCACAAAGGTGTTCACTTTATGCCAAAGCCTGTTTACTGTGTTGGCTCAGCACGCTCATGTTTTCCTATTAATGCAAACTGCGGGGGAAACTCAATGGGCAATCAATGCAAAAGCAAACAAAATAAGTTGGATGTGACCACTGTGAAAACAAATTCCAAAGTAAATGGGACATAGGCTGTAACGGCAAGGAATTTTATAAGCAACCTCTGCAAAAAGAAATGGTTAAGGAGAACCAAAGTGTCAGGGGCATAGAATGAAAGAAAGAGGTGTGTGATTAGATAAGCTATCACTTAGTTCAGGTCATCAGTGAATGATTTTTTGTGTGTGTGGTACAAAAAACAAATGGGGCTTCTAGGAAGCTCGCTCTGAGAGACCAGTGCGCAGCGGCCATGCCCCGGAGGCGGTCCCTATGGAGGGGAGGGGTCACAGGCAGGTGGGGCGGAGCTGCATTGCCGCCCAGCGACAGCCTTGCCCAGGCCTTCAGGGAGCCCTGGAGCTGAAACAGCTCTGCAGAGTGGTCCCCATCAGGATGCCGGGACCCTAATTCCAGGCGGGCTGCCCTGAGAAAACGCGTGACCTGAGGCGCGGGGACCTCTGCGCACGCGCACCTGTCCAGCGCTTTACTGTTCATTGTTGCGTCGACGCCCCACCACAGCCCTACGGGTTAGGTTTCTCGTGTCCACGTTACAGAGGGGACACTGAGAAGTAACAGTGACGTGCTCGAATTCGTGCTCCTGATTGGTGATGGGGCTGAAATTCGAGCCCAGTTCCGCCCATCACCACACCACTGGGACACCCGCACAGTTGTCGTTAGCTCGTTCTCAGTAATTGCCCCTGATGTCTCCCTTCCCGGAGAAGCCCTGGGTCTTCCAGCCACAGGTCGCCGGAGCTGGGGGTCCTTATTCGCAGATCTTGATCTCGGCATACTCGGTGCTGCTGGTGGCCTCCTCGTCCGGACGCTCCCAGGGCCTCAGCCCTTGGAAGCTGAGCGAGGCGTAATGGAGCTCGTGCTCCTCCCCCGAGGTGGGCGTGGCCGCTGCCGGGGCCGAGTGGTCCCTGCGGATGCCTGGTGGGCACTTATGCTGGTAACCCTGAGTGGAGAGGAGGAAAGGGAGTCAGATTAGGAGAATGGGGGCTGGGAGACAGCAAGGGACCTGGAAACTGAGCAAATTAGTCTTTTATCTAATCACAAACATTGGTGGAACCCCCATTCATTCATGCGGTCAACAGATATTTGAGAGTAATAATGTCTAGACCTTAGTAATCAATTGCCAGTCACCTAGATTCCTTTCAACAATCTACTTGGGTGACGCTATCCCTATTCTCAAGTATCAGGTGGAGAATCTGAGACTAAGTAAGTACCCCCAAAAGCACACATTTAGTTGTTGAGACCGCCAAGGTGCATGCCTGGTCTCTCTGGCTTCAGTGTCCGCTACCTTATGGGACAGCTTCCCTGTACCAGGCCCTGCCTATTCATTGGGGAACAAAGCAGACACCCTGACCTTCCTTCCGCTTGCAGGAGGGGAAGCAGCCATTAAGGTAGTAGTCAATTATATTACTCTCTAACTGCAAATTGCACAGGCAGTATGAGAAGGGCAGGAATTTGCTCAGACCTGGACTGCCCTCAGGGACCACTGAGCATTTCAGAGGTTCAAGCAAATGAATTCATGAAATTATCTTATGAACCCTGCAAAGGATATCACAGCAAAGGGTTAACCTCACCCAAGGAAAAGCTTGGGCTTTGTCCCCAGCACCAGAGAGAGAACCTCTAAGCCCTTGGAATGTCCTGCCTGACAGGAGTGTCTTGTTCACCTGGGACCTTGGGCCTCACCAGGCAGCCCGTGTGAGGGATGGCGAGGGCCTTGGGGCGTGCGGTATCGGCTGGACCTCGGCAGGGGGCAGAGACTGAGTCCAGCTACCAAGGTAGTCAGCCGTGCCTCCCTGACTGACCCCCAGTGAAAACTGGACACTGAGGCTCAGGTGAGCTTTCCCAGTGGGGACATCCACGTGCGTCTCACTCATCGCTGCTGGGAAAAGTAAGCGCTGTCCCGCTGGGCCCCCTGGGAGACACTGCGGTGGGAGCTGGTGCCTGCATCTCCTGGACCCTCCCCAGGCGCCCCTCCCCTTGGCTGACTTTAATCCACAGCCTTTGGCTGTAATGACCTGTAACTGTGAATGAAACAACTTTTCTGAGTCCTGTGAATTCCTTCTGGTGAGGTATGGAACATGAGAGTGTCTTGGGGACCCCTACACTTGTAGTAGACAATTATTTGGGGCCCCCTCTGACATCTGTGCTGGGGAGGAGAGAGAGGAAGGAGGGGGAGGTGGAGCTGTGGGGGCAGGGAGGGACCCACTGGACCAGAACACGTGCAGTGAGATGGACAGGTCCTAGGCTCTGGGAGAGGAGACGGGGAACAGAGGGCAGGGGGGCGCCCAGGTCACTGGCCCGGGCGACTGAGTAAAGGGGGACACAAGAGGAAATGCCTGTTTGGGGTACGAGATGATCGCCTTAAGGCATCAAGACAGAGGAGGCCATGGCCACCCTGGGGAGGTGACTGGAGGAGGGATTCTGGTGGATGGAGGGCCACAACTCACCGGGGAGGTGGGACCCCGCAGGGAGGGGGCATCCGTCCCACCAGCTGCAGCCTCAGGCATGTCCTTCCTGCGGGTCTTCACTCTGAAGGGGGGACGGGGACCTTTCAACAGCCTGCCTGGCTGAGAGCTTGGAGTGTGACCTCTGCCCCCCTGCCGAAGAGGCTGGAAGGGCTGCCCAAAGCCGGGACTGGGGGACACACTTAGGCAGATGACTTTCATAATGAGAGCAAGTGCCCTTCACGGGTGGCTGGGGTCGGGATAGAAACTGATCCTGCCCTGTTCTCGCAGCCTGGGCCACTGCTGGGGCCGTCTGAGATTTCAGGACCCAGACCCCTTCCCCCCACAGCCTCCCCCTCCCTCCCCCCAGGGTCACACTCACTTGAAGAAGATGAAACAGAGGCAGAGACTGAGCAGGCCAGCGACGCCGGCTCCCCCGGCAGCCCCCAGGAGGAATGGTTTCCCCAGCTCGGGCTTCCCTGCAGACCAGTGGGGTTTGGGGTGACTCCCCATCCAAGCCCCAGGCCCCGTGCCCCTTCCTCCCGCGGAGCCTGAGCTCTCCGGCCCTTACGGGGCTCTGCTCCTCACCACTTCCTCCCTCTCATCCCTTCCTGTCTGGCCGCAGCCCCACTCCCCAGCTCAGTCCTCCCTTTGATCCCTTCCTTTCTCCCTCAGCCTCGGCCCCCGCAGGCCCCTGACCTGGCAGCAGCAGCAGCAGGACGCTGGCGCTCTGGGCCCCGTGGACATTCTCAGCCTCGCAGCTGAGCCTGAGGCCGGCGCTGAGCCCCGCGCGGAGGCTCAGGGAGCTGTTGGCCCAGGGCCCCGCGGAGCTGGAAGTGATGGTGTAGGAGGCGGTGCTGGGGTTCCCCTCCAACAGCCCCTCCCCCAGCCGCCAGCGCAGCGAGGGGGCCGGCTCGGCTCGGGAGGAGCAGCTGCAGCGCAGACCTTCGTCTTCCCAGGCGCAGGAGTGTCCGAGCAGCCGTGGGGGGTCTGTGGGGAGCGAGGAGAAGGGTCAGCTGTGCCTCTACGCTCCCAGGACCCGGGCGCCCTGCCCCCAGGTGTCCCATTCCCCCACTCACAGTGCACCGAGAGATGCAGGGAGACTTGGAGGGAGCCCAGCGGGTGCTGAGCTCGGCAGGAGAATTCGCCTTCGTGCCCCGACTCCACCCGGGACAGCTGCAGGACCCCCGGGTTCCAGGGCTGGGAGGGGCTCAGGGTCCGGCTGCCCCGGGCCCAGCTCAGTGTGGCGGGAGGGTTGCTGTCCGCGACGCAGAGCAGGCGCAGCGAGTCTCCCTCCCGGACCGGAAGAGATGAGCCGTTCCCCACGTGTTCCAGTTCTGGGGGCACGGAGAGGGAGGGGGCGCTGAGCCCAGGCCTGCGCTCCCGAGTCTTCTACCCACTTCTCTCTCCTTTACTTACTTTTTTTTTTTTTAAGTTGGGAAGGGATCGCCAAGTTAAGTTTTCCAAGCAGCTTCGTTGAGCTATGTAATTCTCGTGCCACACAACTCCTTGTACATAGCATAGCCACAATCGATTTAGAACGTTTTCGTCAGCCCCCGCGAAAGAAACGGTGCACACCTCCAGCGCCTCCCCGCGTCCTCCCATCCCCCCTCCCCAGGCCACCACTACCCTACTCTCTGTCTCTGCCAGTCTGGACAGCGCACGGAAATAGAGGCAGACTCTGTGGCACCTACCTCCGGCTTCTTTCACTCAGCGTGGCGCTTCCCGGGCTTGATCCCTGTCCATGGCCAAATCATGTGCCCCACCTGGATGGACCACGTTTTGTTTCTCCCTGCATCCATCCGCTGCCGGACACAGGAGCTGTGCTCCTTGACTTCTTCGAGGAGCCCCCCTGGTCCACATTTCTCTCCTTCCTGACCTACGCAGTGCCCCTCCTCAAAGGACCCAGCAACACGGAAGCATCCTTCCAGGCGTCTCGGGACCTCCCGTCTACCTCCTCCTCTCCTTCCTTCCCCCAGTTACCTCGGGACAAGCAGCGTGTGGACAGGTTGCACTCTAAAGTTTGCAGAGGAGCCCTGGCTGGGGTGGCTCAGTGGATTGAGTGCCAGCCTGTGAACCAACCTGTTCGATTCCCAGTCAGAGCACATACCTGGATTGCAGACCAGGTCCCCAGTAGGGGGCGCATGAGAGGCAACCACACATTGATGTTTCCGTATCTCTTTCCCACCCTCTCCCTCTCTTTAAAAATAAATAAGTAAAATCTTTAAAATTCACAGAGGAGGAAGGGGTGTTGGGAATGAAGCCTGTGGCCCTGGACCATTAGCTACCCCCTGGCTCTGGTTAGAAATGCAGAAGCTGCATTGTCACAAGATCCTGGAGAAAGTCGCAGGCTATGTAAAGCTTGAGGAGCAGAGCCCTGGAGAAATGCCATCCCGTTCGCCAGGGGAGCGTTCAAAGTGGCAATGCCATGGAAAGCAAACTCAGTCGACAGCTCAAGTGCCCAACAGAGGTGAAATGGAAAACTGGAGTGTGTCTCCTACACAGTAGAGCGATCCAGAGATGAGGAGACACATGGATGAATGTCAAGGACACGGGGTGGAGCCACATCCAAAAGAGGTAACTGTGACCCCACGCTAGTCACATTAGCCACGAGGTGGGAGCAACTCCAGTGTTCCATCAGCGGATGCAGGGAGAAATCAGAGGTGATCCATTCACACCATGGAATAGTATTCGGCCATGAAAAGGAACTTTTTGAAGACATCACCCTAAGTGAAAGAAGCCAGGTGGGAAAGAGATGCAAAAGACAACATACTGGGTGATTCCATTTGTATAAAATATTCAGAACAGGCAGATTCTTGGAGACAGAAAGCAGATTAGTAGTCTCCTGGGGCTAGAGAAACGGGGCGGGGGGAAAGGAAGGAGCTGCTAATAGGCACAGGGCTTCCTTTGGGAGGGGTGAAAATGTTTTGGAACCAGAGAGAGGCAGTGGTTGTCCAACATTGTGAATGCCCTAAATGCCACTGGAGTTCCCTTTATAATGGCTAACTTTATGTTATGTGAATTTCATTTCAACTGAAAGTAAAAAATTAAAAGATCAGACAGGAACATGTGTTTCAGTCCTATTCACATAAAGCCTTCAAAACCATGGTGAATTAAACATTGTGTAGAGATTCAAACATATCTGGGTTTTTTTCTAAGATTTGATTTATTTATTTTTAGAGAGAGGGGAAGGGGGGAGAAAGAGAGGGAGAAAACATTGATGCGAGAGAGATACATTGATGAGTTGCCTCTCGCACACCCCCTACTTGGGACCTGGCTCACAACCCAGTCATGTGCCCTGACTGGGAATCGAACCAGTGACCTTTCAGTTCACAGACTGGCACTCAATGCACTAAGCCACACCAGCCAGGGAAGATTCAAACATATTTGGTAAAATTATAAGAAAAGTGTAGTATGTCCTGGGTAGTGTGGCTCAGTTGTTTGGGTGCCATCCTGCAAAGCGAAAGGTTACAGGTTCAATTCCTGGTCAGGACACATGCCTAGGTTTCAAGTTTGGTCCCAGTCGGGGGCAGGGGGTGGGGTGTGGGAGGTGGGGGGCATGTACGAAAGAAAGGCAACCAATCAATGTTAGGCTCCTTCTCTTTCTCTCTCCATTCCCCTGTCTCTAAAAACCCTCTCTCCCTCCCTCTCCCCCTCTCTCTCTAAAAGCAACGAAAAAATATCCTGTGGTGAGGATAAAAAAAATAATAGTGGGAATGTTGCCGTGTTCATTCCCTTGATTGTGGTGATCTTTTTGCAGTGTGTATGGATATTACATTATCACGCTGTACACTTTAAATGTATATAACTTATCCCTCAGTTATACCTGAAGCGGAACTAAAGTAAAATAAAGGAAAAAGAATAGTAACTAGGGCGTGAATGGGAAAGGGGCATTTAGGAGGTTCCAAAGGGAGTGAGAGGCTGTCCTGTTTCCTACCCTGGGTGGTACACGTATTTGCAAATCGTGTTAGCACATAATGAATAGTAGGTTAAAACAAAGTGTCAGCGAGAGCTGGGCGCCTCCCACCTCTGTGCCCCTCCAGGGTTTGGCCTTGGGCTTCGATCCCATCCTGGGGGAGGGGACATCCCTGCTTACCTCTGGGGCTTCCTCGGAAGACGCTGATGGTCAGGTTCCGTGGAGCGTCTGGACAGGGAGACGCAGCGAGGAACGGAGTCAGAGCCGGCCGTTCCACAGCCACCCACCCCAGGGGACGCAGAAATGAGAAGTGGGAGACAGCAAAGCCTGTGCCCTTCCTGCAGGCCCCTCCCCCACCCGGCATCCCGGCTCCGCACTCACAGGACACGTTGAGTGTGAGGGTCCTCTCCCTGCTCACACTAGTCCTGGGAAAGGTGACCCGACAGGTGAGGTTGGTGCCGTGGTCCTGCGGGTGAGGGGTGAGCAGGATCTCCGAGGAGTTATAGGCCGCCTGGTCCCGCCCCAGGGGTCTGAGGACAGCCCCAGTCCAGGTGATGGTGAGGGGCTCGCAGGCCCCGGGCATGGAGCACGTCAGGTAGGCAGGGCAGCCCGACTCCAGGGGCTCCTTGACGCGGATGTCGGGGATCTGTGTCAGCTCTGGAGAGGAGAGACCCGGAGGCTAGACCTCATCGGGGACCCCCGCTGTGTGCCTCTAAGAGACGCAGTCCAGCCCTGAGCTGCAGCGCCTCCCTGTGGTCTATTCCTGGTATTCCACTACATACCTGTCACGTCCACCGTGACGAGGTTACTTGGGTAACTGCGGTTCACAAGACCTCTCTCCAGTTGGAAGTAATACTTTCCTCGGTGGCTCCTCTGGGCGTTTGTGATACTCAGGGAGCAGTTGTTGTCCCCGGGGCCCCCAGAGAAGTAGAATGAAAATCTGGCCTTCTTTTTCACTTTCTTGATTTTCTTGTTTGTGGCCAGGAGTTCTGTGAGATTATTCTTTTTCAGGAACCAGTAGCCATAAAGAGGGGTCGAGTCGTTCCCGCCGACCCGGGGGTAGGTCACGGTGCAGGGCACGTGGACACACAGGTTCTCCTGCACCGTCACCGATTCTGGCACTTGAAGTTTGTACCCTCCTGGATCCTTCCCAAGGGACCCTGGGGGGACACAGAGGCTCAGCTGCAACATCAGCCCCCACCCTCGCACTGGCCCCTGGCCCAGGACCCCTGGCCCTTGGTTCACTCACCTGCCCACAGCAAGGGCAGAAGCAGCCGCAGCATCTCCGGGGTCCCCGGCGCTGGGCCTGTTCCTGGACTATCTGGCTTCTGGGCCTGCCTGTCTAGCCTGGAAGGAAGCTCCAACAGGAAGCTTCTGGAGGAGATGGGGGTGGGGACCATCCACAGAAGAGGAACCTTGGGAGCCTCTTCTTGGGACTTCTCCTTTCATAGAGGAAAGTAACAAGGCAGAGAGAGAATGCAGGGTCACCCGGTACCATTCTCAGGGGTAGGGTGGTCCCAGGAATGGGCTCTTGGTGGCTGTTGGAGTGAGGACTCCAGGTGAGGTGCTGGAAGCATTCATTCATTCATTCATTCATTCATTCCCAGGCACACATCTACTCAAAGCAGGAGCTGGAGCAACCAGGAGACTATGACCACCCAGCTGCTGCCACCAGGGGCTCACCTTAGAGTGACCCCAAAGCCAGGGCCCGCCCCCAGGCTCCCCACGGGCATTCTGCCTCCTGCCCCCTGCCTGTCTTGGGGCTGGGTCTCTAGTCCCCACAGGGCTTCTAGCCCCACAGTGAGAAATGGGAGCCAGTCTCACAGGGCTGCGCACTCCTAAGGGCCTCGCACCAGGGGTTCAATGCTCTGAAATTGCTGCCTTGAAATTCTTAATAATTTTATCTCTGAATATGTGTTTTGTAAACGAAGTCTACAGGGATAAGGAGCATGCACCCAGGGTACTGGAACCTTGGGTCATGCTTCTGCCACCTCCACTCCTGCACAATCCCCAAGATGGGTCCTAGGCCCTGCTCCTACCCAGGCACAGAGTGGGCTGGGTCATGCTCAGGTGAGAGGGAGGAGCCCTGGGCACCTGTGAGGGTCTGCACTGCCCACCCCGCAGTCAAGCCTGAAAAACACTGAACAAGCTCTGGCCAGGTAGTTCATTGATGAGAGCATCATCCCCATATGCCAAGGTTGCAGGTTTCATCTCTAGTCAGGGCACATATGGAAGCAACCAATGAATGCATAAGTGAAACAACAAATCAGTCTCTCTCTCTCCCTCTCCCACCCTCCACCAAATCAATTTTTAAAAAAAACACTGAACAGCCCTGGCTGGTGTGGCTCAGTGGGTTGAGCACCAGCCTGCGAACCAGAAGGTTGCTGATTCGATTCCCAGTCAAGGCACATGCCAGGGTTTCGGGCCAGGTCCCCAGTAGGGGAGCGCACAAGAGCCAGCTGATCAATCTTTCTCTTGCACAATGATGTTTCTTTCCCCTATCTCTAAAAAACAAACAAACAAAAAAAAAAGCACAACACTGAACAAAAGGTGATCCATCCATACAACACAGTGTTATTGAGCCATAAAAAGGAACAAAGTTCTGATCCACGCTACAACATGAGTGATGCTCAAATGCTATGCTAAGTGGAAGAAGCCAGACACAGAAGGCCACACACTGTACAACTCCACTTATACATGAAGTATCCAGAATAGGCAAATGCATGGAGACAGGAAGTAGATCAGCGCTGCCTGGGGCTGGAAGAGGGGGAACAAAGAGGGACTGTTAATGGGTATAGGGTCTCCTTTTGGGGTAATGGAAAAGTTCTGGAACCAGATAGTAGTGATGTTTGCAGAATACTATGAATGTACTTAATGCCACTGAATTGTGTACTGTAAAATGGTTAAAATGGTAAGTTTTATGTTATATATATCTTACCACAATATTGTTAAACAGTTTATTTATTTATTTTTAGACAGAGGGGAAGAGAGGGAGAGAAACATCACTGGGTGTTTGCCTCTTGCACACCCCTTACTGGGGACCTGGCCCCCAACCCCGGCATGTGCCCTGACTGGGAATTGAACCAGCAACCCTTTGGTTCACAGGCCAGCACTCAATCCACTGAGCCACACCAGCCAGGATTCCAGTGTCTCTTATGAGGACGCTAATCCTATGCATGAGAGCCCCACCCGTATGACCTCATGTAATCTTAATTACCTCTAAAGACCCTAGCTCCAAACACAGTCACACTGGGGGTTAAGGCTTCCATAGGTGCATTTGGAGGAGAGGGGACAATTCAACCCATAGCACTAGGAGAACTCAGCATTGCCCACGTGACTCCTCTAGGAGAGAGGACGGGAAGCTTGCACCTGGTCTGTCCTGAATGTGCCCCATACACCTTTCCCCTTTGCAGATTTTAATCTGTATCCTTTTGATCTGATAACACGTAACAGTTTCTCTTAGTTCACAAAGTTCTTCCAGTAAATCATCAAACCTCAGGGAGCTCTTGGGGGCTTCCAGAGCAATCTGTTCCCCTCCTCAGGCTGTGGTGTAGGAAGCCATTGTTTCCCTAAGTGGAGGCCCCATGGCCAGCTGCCTGTGTCTGTAGACTCTGCAGACCAGGGCTCCCTGTCCTCGGTGCACCCCCTGTTGGACTCGGTACTCCCTCCTAAGGGCTCAGCGCTTGTTTGAGCTGGAAAGTTGTTGACCAGAGAAATTGCTGAGTATCACAAATACACAGAAGGAAACAGGGTGACCACTTCCCCATTTCTCAGTCATGTGTCTCTCAAACATAAGGTGACTTTTACTTTTTTTAACTGAATGGTCCCAGGTGGCTCCACAGGGACACCACGCCGCATCAGCACAGCACATCTACAACCCGTGGCCTGTCCACCCAAGGTCTTTGCATCCCCTGCCTGTCCTCCTCTTGCCTTTGCTACTGTATGGTCCACTGCCCAGCCTGGACTCCTGGGGAAGGGCCTAGTGGGGACAGGCGCTGTGGAGAGGGGACCCCAGGACCTGCTTTTGACCTGGACATTTGGCTTTGTCTTGGTTTGAGTCAATTTTCCTATTTCTGCAGAATTGCAAAACAGGCCCCTGAAACTGCCCTTCTTTCCAAGCAAGTAAGCTATTTGTTGTTTTTCCAACAGAGGGCCAGAAAGGATGTGGGTGGGGAGGTCAGCCATTGGCAGGATTCCAGGGACCTCTGAGAATGTCGCATTGACATATAGGGGTGTGGACACGGAGTCACCCAAAGTTAGGAAGAGTCCAGCGGAAGAGAAGAACCCTGTTGTTTTTCTTATGCAGGAGACACCACTGCCTCTGGGTCTCCTTGGCCTGAAAAGCAGATCTGTGTGTGTGTGTGAGTCTTTGCACCTGTGCATCTGCCTGTGGGTGCACATGTCTGTGTCCCTGAGTGTGTATTCAGTGCTTGGGTGCCCACGTGGTGGGCATTGGAAACCAGCCTTATAGGCTAACAGTGGGAGGGGCCCTGTATCTTGGGTGCTACACTGAGGATTCAGGTCATTATTCTGGAGCGGCAGGAGCCATTACTGTGTTTAAGCAGGAGAATTGCTCTTATAGGAATGAAAACATTTGGTCCTGCAGCACCCGCTGTGCAAGACCCCTGGAGTGGGGGCCCCAGCTTCTGGCCCGTTCTGCACAAGGAGACTAACTTCTTCCAGGCTTGGAAGTGCTATCTCTGTACCTGATCTGGACCGCCCAGCAGGCTGACCTGAAAGCAGGACAGCTGAATCCTCGGCTCCTCACAGCCCACCAACCCTGGCACTCTAGAGCTTCCCCAGGTGTTGTTGGGGCGTGAGGGTGCATTCACCTGTTGAGCTCAGGCACGTGAGCAGGGTGAGCAGGGGCGAACCTGGCCTAAATTGCGGAGTGAGTTGTCAGGTGACTTCCCCAGACTCCTCCCAGGGTTTGGCTGTGCTCCAGGGCGGGGAGGGACTGGGAGGGGCTCTGACCAATTGCAGGGACTGGATCTGTAGGGCTGCAGTACCTAGCCCCGAGAGAGACGGAGGGAGTGGCGAGGGGGCGGGGCTGAGAGTGTTTCTTTCTCTTCCCTCCCAAGGACAGAATCAAAGAAAACGCCAGATTACAGGTGGAGGATTCAAGAAGACAGCGTTTGTGATAGGTTATCCATACCAGGCCCTTCCAGGTATTTTATGAAAATTAACTCATTTAGTGCTCGCGACAACCCTATGGAGTAGGTGCTGTTATTCCCATTTTATAGCAGAGGAAACAGGCACAGAGAGGCTGAGCAGGCTGCCCAAGGTCACACAGCCGGCTGGGGGTCGGGGGGGGTCTCCACCACGGTCTGTCCCGCCCCCACACCAGGCGGGGAGGCCTCCCAGCACTGACGAGATCGTGGATTTGGGGTCTTGTCGGTCCTCCCCACCGGACGTGAGCTCTGGGAGCGGTGACTTCGGCGCACGGAGGCGTTTAAGAACAGGTGGAGTGAGGAAGGGATGAATGGGTCTCAGCATGACCACATCCCTGTGTCCAGAGCCCTTCTCCCTGCCCTTTGCTCCGGAATTATATTCGTGGTCAGGTCTTCTAGTCCCAGTAAACAGGATCCTCGGGGCGACGCGAGAGCAGAAGGACATCAACGCCTGGGACCACCTGAGTAGAGGACGCAGCCAAGCCCGCTTACGGCCGGACACGGGCGCCACCTGGCGGCGGAGTGCTGGAAGACAGCGCGGCCGGGAAACCCGAAATGTTTGCTTTAGGTCTAGGACAAAGGCAGTTGGATCTGGGGTTCATGGTCAGTTATGTGGAAAATCAGAGTTCGAAGCTGGGGGCTGGCGACCAGTGGCTTCCAGATTTTTTTGGTGCACAGTAAGAACTCACTTCACGTCAACAGAGTTTGACGAAATACCACTCTGCACGTTTTTTATTCTATTCTATTCTATTCCTTTTTAAATTTTTATTGATTTTAGAGGAAAACAGAGATTTGTTGTTCTAATTTATGCATTCATTGGTTGCTTCTTGTATGTGCCCTGACTGGAGATCGAACCTGCAGCCTTAGCGTATAGGGGTGCCACTCTACCCAACTGAGCTACCCAAGGCTCTCTATTCCTATTGTTTTTTAAGATTGATTGATTGATTTTCTAGAGACAGGGGAAGGGAAGCAGAGAAAGAGGAAGAGAATACCGCATGCCCCCAGCTAGGGTTCTGGCCTGCAGCCCAGGCATGGACCCTGACTGGGAATCAAACTGGTGACCTTTCAGTTTGCAGGCGGAGGCTCAATTCACTGAGCCACAGTAGCCGGGGCTCTATTACTATTTTTAAATGCTGATCAAAACCCTTTAAATTGGCCCTGGCTGGTGTGGTGTGAACTTAGATCTAGAAATTTCCACTTGCTCCTGCTAGGTAGCAACACCAGCCAGGGAGGCGTGTTTGAAACTAAGTTCACACTGAGGGCCCCTGTCCCCGCAGCTCTGTGCATCCAGGGTGGACATCCACAGGAAGGCTGAGCTGTGGACAAAAATCTGAAGCCTGTTTTTGAAGACTCTTGTCCTGCTCAGCACCAAGAGGTGAAGGATAATGAAAACCCTGGGGTCACCAAATGGGACATCTGAAAGATGACCCTCACCACGATAAACTGGTACTGTTCCCTGTGACCACTGCCACTCACTACCGCCAAGTTATTCTCTGGGTTCTGGAGGCCAGAAACCCCCAGTCAGGGTGTCGGCAGGGTCCTTCCCGGCCTCTTCATTTCTGGCAGCTCCTGGCGTGCCTGGGCTTGTGGCTGCTTCACTCCAATCTCTGCCTCCACCCTCACAGGGCCTCTCCTTCTGTTAACTGACTCTGTATCTTCTAAGGACCCTTGTCCTTGGACTTCAGAGCCCATGTTGGCATTTTTCCAAGGTCATATTCATTGATTCTGGGGGTTAGGATATGGACATATCTTTTGAGGGACCTCCAACACACTAGAGGCCCCAAAGGCTAAACTACCAAGGGTGAGCAAGGGTTAAACTCATTCCCCCGGTTCACAGAATAGCAGGTGTCAAACAAAAAGAAAATTGGGGAGGGGCAATGGGAAGTACCTGCTTAATGGGCAGGGGGCTTAGTTGGGGGTGATGGAAATGTTCCGGAACCAGACAGGCAAGACGGCAGCACAGCACTGTGTCCTCAAAGCCACTGCATCACTCACTTTCAAGACAGTTCTTCATTCAAAACCTAACAACGGTCTCTTCCTTTGCATGAACCGAGATAATGCGTGTAAAGTGCTTAACATAACGCTGGGTGCATGGTAGAGCCTCAACAAATAGATGCAGGGCAACGTCCCCGCCACGGCCACCAGCCCATCTCCCTCTCGCCTCCCAACTACCCCTGGCAGGCTTTAATCAGGCACGGCTCCTCTGCACAGGGCACCGCACAAGTCTTGTGGCTGTCTAGCTCTTTGTGTGTGTGTATGTGAGAGAGATTTTTATTTATTTTTAGACAGAGGGGAAAGGAAGGAAAGGAACATCAATGTGTGGCTGCTAAGCACCTCCTACTAGGGACCTGGCCCACAACCCAGTGCTCAGTCCACTGAGCCACACCAGCCAGGGCCAGCCCTTTGTGTTGTAGTGTCACCCATTTTTGTATGTGTGACAAGGACCACGGAGAGTTGGCGCCTTTGGCAATCCTTTCTTTTGCTGTCTATGCAAGTAATTAAGGCTCTGAACCTCAAAGTGGGTGTTGTGTTGTTACCATTCAGTCAGTCCTATCTTGGCCTTGGCCGTGTGCCACATGGGTGGGCCTGACCGTTAAGTTATTTCCATTATCATCATTCTTGTCTTTGGCCTAAGATTGCCCCATTTCCCATGTCTCTCAAAGACAAAATGCACAGACCGGAAGAAATTCCTCATTTTATTTCCACCACAAGCCCTCAAAGGATCACTTCCCCAACCTCCCTCAACTAGACGCAGCCCTGCCCCAGCACCTTCACCAAACACTGATCTCCCCCCAGAGCTAAAAGGGACACCCAATTGCCAACTATGGCCACACCCACCTGCCTTCTTCCTGCCCCCACCTCCATAGCCACCGGCTCTTCGAACTTGGCCACCCTTGGGCTCCCTGACCAAATGTAGTTTCCCAGGGTCACCCGGCTTGCTTCTTTTGCTTACTATATGGGCGCCATTCTTAACACCCTCCCCGACTTACTCCCCAGGCAGCCCTCCTGCCCTCATCTGGGGTCATTCTGCACAGCTCCAGGCCTCAGTCTGCTGTTCCAGAGACCAGGTTTCCAAGCTCTCCCCTACTCCCTGAACTCCCCAGGGGCCTCCCTCCCTCAGCTGTCACCTGAGAAGGCCAAGCATGCCCTGGTACTGGGGAGGGAGAAGGGGAGCAAAATCAGAAATGCACAAGAGAGGACACGAGAATAAAAGGAGAAAGGGGGAGGTTGGAAAGCAGCTGGAGGCAAAGGGAGGATGGAGGGACCCTTCCACCTCAGCCTCAGAGACAGAGGTGAGCCAGAGGTGAGCCAGAGCTGAAGACCAGCGCCCCCTACAGGCCAAAGCCCCTGCCCATCTAGCTGTTGTGGGTCCTCTGGCTTCGGGCCTTGTACACCTCGATGAGCAGATCCTTGACATACTGGATCTCCCGCTCCACAGACTCAGCCCTCTCCCGCAGCTCCCGGTTCCGTGCTTCCAGCCCTTGGCACTCACCCTCCAGGGCCTCACCCTCCGCCCGCTTCCTCTGGCGGTACCTCAGAGCAGCTGACTTGTTCTGGTCTCTCTTCTTTTGCTTGCGGTCCCCTCGGGCGGTGGCAGGATTGGGGTAAGGGGCCGGGCGAGAGGGTGGAGGTGGAGGAGGGGGCTGCTGTGCTGGGGGAAGGGGAGCCAACCCCACATCCCCCTGCCCGGCCTCGTTGCGGCAGTACATGACCAGTAAGTCAAGGGTATCCAGGACAGGGGGCTGGGGAGGGTCAAAGGTGGGGAGTGGGAGGGGGAGAGGAAGGGAGGATGCCAGTGGTGGTGGCGGTGCTGGTGGTGGAGGCAGTGGAGGCAGATGCGGTGATGGGGAGGGAGGTGGGAGAAGCGGGGCATCAAGGAAGAAGTCTTCCATCTGCTCCAGCTCCTTCTTGAGGAGGGACGCCATGGCTTCTAGGTCAGGTGGGGGTGGGGACGGTGGGGGGAGGGCACCTGAGGGCAAGGGGGGCTCCAAAGGGAGGAGGGCGGTAAAGTCAACCCGCTCAGTCATCCAGTCAGAGAAGCCATCACCTGGGGGATTGGAGGAGGACAGAGTTCCTTGAGTTCCTGGTCTTCCACCCAGCTGGGTGCCCACTCCTGTTTGCTTCATTTATCTCATCGAGTAAATCCACCAACCAGCCAGTCAATCTGCCAACCGATCAATGAATCACCAAACTAGTCAAGCAAACAACCAACAACCAGTGGACCAGCCAATCAACTAAATAAATCAGTCCACCAATCAACCAACCCTATTAACCAACCAATCAATGAACCAGTCAACCAACGAATGACTCAAACAACAATGAACCAGCCATCTCTTCAACCATTCCAACATCCTCTTTACTGATTAACCTACATCTATAGCTTCTCTGGTTTACTCTGAAGTTTATCTTAAAAAGGAAACCAGGTATCACATACACAACACACCCCGTTTCATCTTTAATTCATCAGTTACTGAAAACCCACTATGTTCCAAGCATTTGGGGCACACTAATGAATCAAGTAATTTCTGCTTCAGGGCCTTTGCATATGCTGTTTCTCCACCTGAAAAGCTCTTCCCTTGGGTCTTTTCCTTCTCATCCTCTAGGCTTCAGCCAAAATGTTATGTACTTGGTGAGGGTTTCCTGGCTACCCAATCGAAGCTAGGTCCCCACAGTCATTTTTTAGGTCAGCTACTAAGCATTTCCCACTTCTCCCAATACCTCATCATTGAATCTGTCTTGTCTGCCTCCCCACTGGAGTGCAAGCTCCAGGAAGACAGGGGTCATGTCAGTCTTGTTCCTAGCTACATCCCTGGCACTCAAAACAGCGCCTGGCATATTACAGATGCTCAACAATTATGTATCCAATGAATAAATGAATGAATTCTTCCTCTTTCTACTCTGCCCCCCATGTCCCAGCTCACCCCACCCACATTCTTCACTGGCCCTTACCTGCCAGGGGCTCTCCCCCCCCTGGAAGCCCGCCCTCCAGGGCTCCCCCAAGGACCTCATAGGGACCCAGGGGGGCAGGGGCCAGGGGGAGTTTCCCATAGTCTACGAGCCAACCCAGGCCGCCAGCTGGGAGCACGGCCCTGTCCAGCTCCAGTCCCAGGGTCGCCAGGAGTGACATGGCTGCAGCACAGGTGCGGGGCGAGGATGGCAATGAAGGAAGCTGCACCAGCAACTGGGAGGAGGCTCTGGAGGTAGCTCAGCTGGGCGAAGACAGGCACCACGGTGAAAGTGGAGGACCTACGCGAGTGAGACAAAAGTGGGTGGGGTCACAGGCCAGCCTCACTCACGGCCAGAAGTCACAGGGTAACCAAGCCACAACCCCATATCCCCAGGGTCCTCCCAACCTCTCCCAACTGGGCTTGGGGCTCCACCTTGCCCTCTCAGAATTCTAAATTTGTCCTTTTTTCCCCCAATCTCTGAACCCTATCCACTCCCAAGGGAATTCTCATTATGCCTGCCTTACTTTTCTCCAAAATTCCCAAGACCCAATCTTTTCAGTACAGAAACCTAATGGTCTCCCAGGGGAATTTCCTTTAGCCCCTCCTACCCACACCATATAAAGAAGTCAATTCCTGGGTAATTTACTTCAGGCCACACCTCTTTCTCTAAAAATCCTTCTATTAGGCCCCACCCCCTCCCTCGGTGCCCTGTCAACTCAGTTCCCATGGGAATTCCCTCCCCACCCCCACTGCCCTGCCCCTTCGATGTCATCTCTTCAAATCCCATTCTTTCCTTTGAGAACTCTGCAGTGATCTGCATTACCCCTCCCAGTCCCGCCTCATTGTTTATCCTGGCCCTCTTCCCGAAGATTCCCCAGTCCTGGCCTCTTTCTCCAATCAGAGCCCCACCCTTCATCTGAAATTCACTCAACCCCGCCCCCTCTCACAATGGCTCCTGTAAGCCCTGTCTTACGCGACGTGATTGTTACTGTAGCTCCACCCCATTCTTAACAGGTTGTCTCTAAACCTCTCTTTCTGCCCAGTCTAAGCCACCACCCGCCCCAAACGCCTGAATGAAAGGGAGGGAAGCTGTGCTGTGGGACTTAAGCAATGTGGAGCAGGGAGGGTGGAGGGGACCAGCAGAATACAGCTCCCACACACTCCAACCTTCCACACGTGGCTGCCTCGCCGAGGGCCAAAACGCATGCTCAACCACTAGGACCGTCCCGTTGCTCTCTCACTTCCGCCCTCCTGCGGATTACTGCGCATGTGCAGCTGTTTACTGCCAGACCTTCACAAATAAATACGGACTCTGGTGCGCTGAGGCGCTCGAGCAACAGCGAGAAGACAGAATGGTTCCAAGAGGAGGAGGTGGAAAACCCTCTCCAAAAGCTGTTAATGCGCCGGCGCAACCGCACACAGACCGTCTCTACACCCCGACATTCTCTGGAATTAAGAACTCTCCCTCACAATCAGGCCGAGTGCGCATGCTTGGCCGCGCCCCGACGCCCGCTTTCCTTTCTCTGCGCTTGCGCGACCGTGATCCCTTACTCTTGTCCCACCCCCAACGCCCCAAGCTTGGTCGTGAAGGCCGCGAGCTTCGAAAGGGCGGGAAAGGCAGTTGGAGCGGTAGGGACGAACGGTTACTCACTCCATGGCTTCTGAAAGGAGAGGCAGTGGCGGCCTCGGCTGAAGAAAGAAGGTGGGAGCGGAGAACGCAGGCGTGGTGAGCACAGAGACGGGCAGAGGTCTCGGAGGGGTCGCGGCTACAGAGCCATCGCTGGGGCTACACAGGCCGAGCTGGTGTCGCGTTAACGCGAGGAGAGATCTAGATCTGACGTGATGCGAGGATGGGGAATGAAGTGGCCCCGGGGACAATGGACAGATATACCAGGGGCGGCGCAGCACGGCCTGCTCAGATCCTTCCGCGACGCGCCGCGCCCCGCCCCGCCCCGCCGAGGCCCCAACCCGCGGGCCTAATTCGGCTCTTTCCTTTCTACGACTTGGGATTCAGTTCCCTTTTTCTTCTTGTAACTGGAAAAGACACTGGCGTTTGGTCTGCCTGTCACTACCAAATCCAATAAGCAATGACAGCGGTTGAATCTTTTATGGGTGCTTTATTCAGATGGCCGGCGATCTGAGAAGATGGCGGGTTCATACCCTAACCATCTTCCCTTTTCTTTCCTGGCCAGATCTTTTATAAGGGGTTGGGGGAGGACAAATAAGGTGCAGTGAGGGCTTTGAAATTCAGGGAGGATTAGGTGAGCAGGAAAGAGTGAAGCTGCAACATTCCTGTTCTCAGCAGTTAGCTGTTCCCAAGGGCGTGGGGGGGGGCGAGTCACACAAAAGGCCCGGATGCCTCCAACTTGTCCCCAGGCGGTAATCTCTAGCCAGTGCCCCAGGAGGTCGGCTGCTTTTCTCAGGAGCCAGGATGGGCCTTATCTATAGTTCCTGAAACAAAAGCTTAACGTACACATTACTTGCTAGACTGACAGCTTTTTACCTTAAGCTAAAATTTGCTAAATCTTGAGTCCCCTATCATTCTGACCCCGGAGAAGATTCTGGTCCTCCCTTCCCTGTGGCTCTGGGGTCTGTCTCCCTCCTTCTGATAGTGGATCTGGCCCTCTGCTCTCTTTGACCATTGGGCCTGATTTCCTCCTCCCTGAGACCAGCACTGCTTCATTTCTCATTTACTTCCCTCCACTTTATGAATTTCCGGCCAGCCGCATGCTGGTCTCTTCATTCCCCAACTTCCGTCTCACCCAGAAAACCCTTTTTGTGAGTTAGGGCCCCTCGTGAGTCACAGCCCGCCCTCCATTCAAATTGCAGACCAGCCATGGTGGCCTTGGGTGAATAACTGAAGTCCTCTGGCCTCAGATTGGGAACTGTCTGTAAAATGAGAATAATCAACTGTACGTGATGGAGTTAGTTGTTCATGAGAAATCAGCCGATACTTGTGAGGCCCCACACTCAGAGCCCAGCTCATACATGTCTGTTCCATGTATGTTGTTATTAAGAGAAACTCTAGGGCCCAGTCTCCCCCTCCCCCACCCCCGTGAGAGCCCCAGGCACTTGACCAACCAACCCCTGCTAATAGGGCCTTCTTGTGTCTCATTCACTCCTCCAAGGGGGCAATTTCCAGCCACCCCCACCCTTACCCGTTCCAAATGTTGGGTATTCAGCCCCGTCCTGATCCAGGGATGCAGGGAATCAGGCATCATTGCCCCCTCTCTGCCCTTTTCTCCTTGTGCTGCCTGCCTTCCCTCAGCCCTTGACCACCGCACTGCTGTCGGGGCGGTTGGTTCATTCTTCTGCCCCTGCTCCTCACCCTGATTTCCTGCGATGCCCTCCACTTGGTTAGTCTCACAGTCCCGACAAACATGGGGAGAGCTGTACGTCCATTTACTAGAACAGGGAGCTTCCTGGCCAGTCCTTCCCTGCGCACTGGGTCCTCCACCAGCTCAGGTGCATGTGAATCTTCCCTCTGGTGTAGAAACTTCTCTCCCCACCCCGCCTCCATCCACATCAGGGCGTCACACTGGGAGTTCAGTCGTCACTTTTATGGTGGTTATGGGACTGAATCAAAATCTAAAGGTGGGAGAACCCTAATCTTGAGAGTTACGTTGGGAATAAAGATACACAGATTTCTTCCACCTTCCCTGAGCATGCAGGAGGATCTGACCTCTTTTCCTTAGAGCACTGAAGTCCTCTCTGCCAGTATTTGGGCAATTGTCCTATATATTTCCTTGAGCCGGCAGGGGCTGCATTATTACCTAGGCATCACAGAGCAGCAGTCAACATCGTAGACTCTGGAGCAAGGTGGTTTGGGTTCAAACCCTGATTGTACCCCACTTACTAGCTGTGTGACACTAGCCATTTCTCTTACTTCCCTGTGTCTCAGATTCCTCACGTTTAAAAAAAAAAAAAAAAAAAAAGACCTGGCCAGGTGGCTCAATTGGTGGGAGCATTGTCCTCTGCACCCAATCTGTTGCAGGTTTGAGTCCCAGTCAGGGCACATACATGAAGCAATGGATGAGTTTCTCACATTGACATTTCTCTTTCTCTCTTCCTCTCTAAAATCAATAAATGTATCCCCAGATGAGGATTAAATAAATAACCAAATAAATAAGGCCATTAATAGTACCTACCACTTAGGGCTGTTTTGAGGATTAAATGAGTTCATCCAGGTCAAGCGCTTAGTTAGACTAGCGCCGGGCGCACAGCAGGCACTGTATAAGGGGTTGTTGTTATTGAGGTGGATATGTTTTACCCCGTTGCTGAGCAGTTAGTGCTTTAAAGTTGTGACTGGTCCCCCATCTTTTAAGAACCGGCCTCCTTCCACTTGCCAGTGGAGATTTGAGTGATAATGGGGCGGGGAGGGGATTAGGGTGGAGTGTTAGACAGGATGCTGGCAGTGAGGAGGTACAGTTACACACACACGTTTCTGAGATCCTCTACATTATGCATGCGGACTAGGGTTTTTTGTTTGTTAACTATTTGGGAATAATTTTCGGTTTATAGAAAAGTTGCAAAAAAGATAATTCAGGGTTTCTGTGTACCCTTCACTTAATTTCCCCCATTGTTGCCATCTTGCATTAATGTGGTACCTTTGTCACAGGTAAGCATCTGTGCATTTCTTTTACCAAAATTTTAACTTTATTCTGATTTCATTGGTTGTTCCCCAATAGCCTTTTTTGTTTCAGGATCCCTTCCAGGATGCTGTATGACATTTAGTCCTTGTGTCTCCTTAGCCTCCTCTGGTCTGCAGCAGTGTCCCTGGCTTTTCTCGTTCTTCATGGCCACTGTAGGCCGGGTGTTCTATAGAAAGCCCCTCAGTCTGGTTTTGTCTCATAGGCTAGGTTTATGGGTTTTTGAGACCATGGATATTGACCTTATTTTTTAATAACTGGAAATGAACTTGCTCTGTAGGCGAATAATATTGCTGGCTGTGTGCAGTGTATGCAGACTGAGAAGACATTGGGGGAGGGAACCTGGTGCCCCTGTCCCAGCCCCTTGCACTTCTTTCTCTCTAGCCGTTGGATCCCACCCAGTTCAACTCTGGTGCTGACTTCCCCACCCAAGCAGCTGAGTAGGCGCCAGTTCTCACACTTAACTCTCTAGCCCTTCTAAGTATTTCTAATTTATGGAGGGTGGGTCATCAGTGGCTGTCTGTGAACCCAGGTCCTGGCACCCTGAATCTGCTTCAGTGCCTACCCCTGACTTGGACCTGTGGCCCCTCTGGGACTCAGATGCCTCAGCTTCCCTCAGCTTCGCAGAGTCTAGGTGCCCCAGCCCTTTCAACTCTTGAACAGGGCTTGGGAGCATGGGTGGGGCTGCTGGGGACTCTTTGTCAGTTCGGAAGGACCAGCCTTGGGGAGTGAAGTGGCAGTTGCAGGCAGGTTGCATCACCCTGGCTCTTTGATGGGGAGGGGGAGTGGAGGGATTCTCTGGGGGCCCCAAGCTCTCCTGGCAACAGGCTCCGGGTTAGCAGAGCCCTGGATCTGGGAGAGGACTAGCACAGCAAGAGGAGGGCCGGGGGCTATGGCAGGGGAAGGGGAGCAGCCACCTGTGCAGGACCCTGGGAATCCAAGATGCTGCACCAAGAAGGATTATCACATCGTAGAGGCTAACCCACTGGTCTTGGAGGGGGCAAGGCTGAGACCCATAGAGGAGAAAGGCATTGATATAATCACACTGCTGGTTGGAGCCTAGCGCCCCCCGCCCCCCCTTTACAGCTTCTAAGGCCCTACAAGCCCCAGGGAGAATCTGTTTGCTCCTATTAGATCTGACACCCCACCCCCCACCCCCGCCCAGGGCATAGCCTGCTGGGAGGCCACCAGGCCTGGGCTATCACCTTAGGTTTGCTGCTGCTCAGTTGACAAATTCTATTGATTCTAACTTGCTTCTCCCCATCCCCCCTGCCTAGAGGAGGCCCTCCTCACCTGTACTGTTGCAGCAAGCCCTCACTGCTTTCCCAACTCAGGGGACAGTCTGCCATCATGGGAAGGGCACTAAGTTTGCATCAGATGGTCCCAGGTTCCAATCCTGAACCCACACCACTTAGTCCTGGCTGGAGGTGCAGACAGGGTCCTTACTCTGCCTCAACTTCACCTGCTTTCTGCAGAGCGGGTCAGATTGAGGGCTCTGGAGCCTGCCTGCCAGGTTCATGTCCCATTTCCACCACTCCTGTGTCCCTGAGCCAGTGGCATCTCCTCCCTGACCCATAAAGTGGGGATAAGAGGCCCCATCTCATAGTTCTTGTAAGGAAGCAGATCAGTGAATGTGAAATTGCTAGAACAGGACCTGCCTACTTATGAACAGTAGTTATTTCTCTCTAAGGCTTGGGGTGCTGGGAGGACTGCGTGAAATGAGACACGTAAAGCCCAGCACTTAACTACCTGGAGGATCCTTACACGTTTGTTTCTCTTCCCATCCCCAGCACACTCAGCTCTGCTTTCGCAGACAGATGTTTGTGTCCATGGCTGCTTCCCTGAGCCCTTGGAAGGCAGGGTCAGGACCCTCGTTCCCAGTGTCACAGCCCCCAGCCCTGTGCTACTGTAGTCTCGGTGGGCATCAGTTCACTTTTAAAAGAGTTGCTTGTGCACAGAAGCTGGGGAGATCTGTAGTGTTGTCCCTGAAGAGGCAGGAGGGCAGGTATCTGGGTTATGCAGGCCAGGGGGCCAGGGGTTGGAGGTGGGTGTCCTGGCAAACAAGGGCAGGAAGGCC